TTAGCAATAGGATGGGAGACACCCAGGATAGGCCAGAAGGAGGGGGCAGGGGGATGGAGAAAGGGCAGCAGGTCCCTCAGACGCTCCCTCTCCTCCTTTCCTTCTTTCCTTCCTTCCTTCCTAAGTACAGAATGGTGGGAAAATATTTGAGATGAGGGAGGGAGAAAACAGGCAAGAAACACAGCTGGGGAGGTGTCACCCTTTGTGAGGAATGAAGAAATGCACCATCACCTGGAATTAGCCAGCACATGGCCCTCACCTACTTCACATATCTAGCTTGATGGGGTCTGGGAGAGGGGATGCCATGAGCAGCGTGAGAGTCAACATTACCTGTGCAATGCCGCCCAGCCCCCGGCCTGCCCAGTTTTGGCAGGCAGCAGGGCACTTTCTTCATAGTGCTGAGAGGTTGAGCCGGGCAGTGTGAAGCTCATCAGCTTTGCATCTTGCTGCCTACTGAAACTGGGCAGACTGGGGGCTAGGCAGCACTGCACTTCTCATCAGATTCACGCCCCAGCTCAGCTCTTGGTGCTGTGAGGAGAGTGCCCCGCTGCCTGCCAAAACCAGGCAGGCTGGGAGCTGGGTGGCCTTGCTCTTCTTTTTGGATTTGTGCCGCCCAGCTTAGCCTCTCGGCACTGTGAGGAGAGCACCCTGCTGCCTGCTGAAACCTCTCCCCCAGAGTCCATCAAGCTGGATAGATGAAGTAGGCAAGGGCCATTTGCTGGCCACTTCCAGGTGATAGTGCATTTCTTCATGTCTTTATGTGAGGCTTTTGCTTTTCCGTGTTTTTCTCTTTCTCCTTCTTTGCTTCTCTTGTCACTTCCTTTCTCTCTGATGTTTTCAACATCTCTATATTCAATTTTATCCAAATTGGTTCCCCCCCCCCCGATTTATTTTGTAGTCTTAAGGGATGAGTTGTTTTTTTCATTTCTTGTAATTTTTTTCCCACTAGGATTAAATCATGTTTTCTTTCTTTGTTAAGTTCCATCTTTGAGTCTCTATTTTCAATTTTATGTCCACTTATTTGTTTTGTCTGCTCCTTTTCTGTTGTTGTTTCCTGGAAGGTTTTTGTTGTTGTTGTTGTTGTTTTGTTATAAAGTTAACTTAGAGATAGATTGATTTGTATTTTAAAGTTATTTTGGATTTCTTTGTGATTTGAACTCAGTGTTATTTGAATTAATTGCAGTATACTATATATCTCCTCCTGAGAGGTATTTATGTTTTCTTGGTGTGTTCTGTCTATATGTCTCTGATCCATGATGCCCAAAAGTTGGAGTTTTCCTTCTTATCTGCAAATAGCTTTAGAGTCCCGGTTAAATAGATATTTGTAATCCAAAGAGTTCAAGAAAGATTTTTTCTCCTAAGGTTTATAATTCTCTCTTTGTCTGCAGCCCAGATTGGTGTCTTTTTTGTCACAGCTGTTCTATATTCTTAAAGTTTTGAAGGTCACAAACACAGATTAGCTTTTCCCAGGTTTTGGCAAGTTCTCTGTGGAAATCATAGCTGTCATAATCTTCATCCACCACTAGGTGTCAGCATCTATTTAGTTTTCAACATGAACAATGGTCTTTAAAATGAGTGTCTTAACCATTCAACAATCTTAAACTCGTCCAAAGTTAAATTTTAGCTTTCAGGTTTATAAATTTATTTCACTATCATATATTTTGATCCTCCATAGAAATTTTAATTCGCCACTTCCGTTGGTATAAGGATGGGGTGGAAGTCCCCCTCCTTCACTTTTGGAGACATTTTGCTTCTTGGGGATCTTTTCCAGGAAATTAAGTGTAGAATAGAAAAGGGAAAATCAGATTCCTCACCCAATTTTAAGTACAGTTTACTGTAGTGCTGGTTAATTCTTTTGGACTCCGGTTGCAAGTAGCTTGGGCTGATTGATGAAATACAACCTTTCTCCTTTCAGTTAGAAAGCTTTCCCCAAGATGAACGGAATGACTGCCGTCATTCCAGAGTCGCCGGGGCACCCTTGTTTCTTCGCTGCCTCTCTGGGGTGGCTTGGAGCCATTAGAGCAGTGGTTCTCAACCTGTGGGTCGGGACCCCATTTGGGGTCAAATGACCATTTCACGGGGGTCACCAAACCATGCTGTCCGCCATTTTTTTCCCTTTTCCCTAGCTGTCCTACTCCCTCTTATTGGTGGCCACACCCACTTGGGGGTCACCACAACATGAGGAACTGTATTATGGGGTCACGACATTAGAAAGGTTGAGAATCACTGCATTAGAGTCTCCAGGCAGAATGAAAGTTGGCCGTGGGGGTGCGGCAGTCCACAAGCCTGCAACCAGTCACTACCGCGCAGGACCGGAAGTCTCCACAAGGTTCCATCTTCAGTCTCTTCATAAATGACTTGGGGGAGTAGAAGGGGAACTCTTCAAATTTGCAGATGACACTAAGCTGACAGGAATAGCTAACACCACAGAAGACAAGTTCAGGATCCAAAAAGATCTTGACAGAATTGAAGCATGGGCCCTATCCAACAAAATGAAATTTAATGTGGAAAAAAGCAAGGTTTACATTTAGGCAAGAAAAACCAAAGGTACAAGTACAGGTTAGGTGAAACCTGGCTCAAAAACAGTAACTGTGAAAAGGGACCTTGGAGTCCTAGTGGACACTCACTTAAATATGAGCCAGCAGTGTGCAGCAGCAGTCAAAAAGGTAATACAGTCCTTGGTTGTATAAATAGAGGCATAGAATCAAAAGCATGTGAAGTATTAATACTGCTTTATAAAGCCCTAGTAAGGCCACACCTGGAATACTGCATCCAGTTTTAGTCACCACATTAGGAAAAAATATGTTGAGACTTTGGAAAATGTGCAAAGAAAAGCCTAGAGGCCTAAAGCCTAAAGGCCTAGAGACCAAAACATATGAAGAACAGTAGCAGAATTTGGGTTTGGCTAGTCTAGAGAAAAGGACTAGGGGGACATGATAGCAGGATTCCAGTATTTGAGAGTCTACCATAAAGAGGAGGGGATCAACTTATTTTCCAAAGCATCAGAGGGCAGGACAAGAAACAATGGATGGAAACTAATCAGGGAGAGAAGCAATCTGGAATTAAGGAGAAACTTCCTAACAGTGAGAACAATTAACCAGTGGAATAGCTTGCCATCAGAAAGTGGGGGTGCTTTAATACTGGAGGTTTTTTAAGAAGAATACTATTTATTCTACTACACTAAAGAGAATTGGAACTCAATGCCTTTTCTTTCTTTTTCCCTCCTTTTCTACACTTTTCCTCTTTCCCTCCCCTATTTTTTTATTATTTACTTTTGTATTTTTGTATTTTATATTATAAACTAATAAAAAGGATAAAACCTGACAGTCACTTGTCTGGAATAGTATAAGGTCTCCTGCTTGAGCAGGGGGTTGGAATAGGAGACCCTCAAGGTCCCTTTGAGCTCTATTCTGATTGAACTTGCAGGGGCGTCCATTCAGCTTGTAAAAAAGGCGTAGGTTTATCTGGATCACAATACTCTTATTTGCTTCTATCAAATTGTTTATTTTGGCTTTGAGGAACAACTTGAAGCTTTACTTGATTCTGGTGCAACCACAAATTTCATAGAGCTATATAGTTAGGAGAAGAGTTACAGATATCTAGAGTAAACCTGTGAAGGAAAGGTAGAGATGATAGATATGCAGCCTCTAAGAGCGGGTACCATCATGGTTAACAATTGAAGAGCATGCTGAGCTCTTATGTCACTCTTAATCTTCAAGAACTGTCGTGTTAGGGTTGACATGGCTAAAGCTACATAACTCAGTAGTAGAGCGGGAGAGGAAAACTCTTTTATTTCATTCTTCTGCCTGCCAGCACCACCAAGTTGCTGAATAGCAATAGCACTTAGACTTATATACAGCTTCATAGTGCTTTACAGCTCTCTTTAAGCGGTTTACAGAGTCAGCATATTGCCACCAACATCTAAGCCTCATTTTACCAACCTTGGAAGAATGGAAATCTGAGTCAACCTTGAGTTGTTGAGAATTAAACTGCCAAACTACTGGCAGTCAGCAGCCAGCAGAAGTAGCCTGCAATACTGCATTCCTACAAGACAGGTCATTCAGTAGCTACCAATTTTGATGACAAGGTGCTGCCTTCAGACATGGAAGATGTCTCCCTTTATGTTTTAGTGCATGGAACAACAATAGGAGAAGAGAACTGCTTTTATCTTTTATTTGTGGGCTTTTTAGTTGTATTTGCATTAGAGACTGGTTATGTTGTTTCTTAGAAGAAGGGCATTATGTGTTTGATCTTTATAGTAGACTAGGTCATTCATTAGACTTTGGTCTCCTTCAGCTTATTCTTGGTTTCAAATCAGTTCAGTATCTAGGTAATTGTCAGAGTCTACTCTTGCAAGCTGAGCACCACTCTGCTTGAAGAGGCATTGTATCTCAGAGTACTTTATCAGAGTAATAACCAGTGTCAGATGAAGTTAGTTGAATGCTTTCAGATACCCGAACATTTTTGTATTTTATAAAATCATGAATAATTCTCTGTATAATGTAACAAAGCAAGTTTCCTTTATATATAAAACTTCATCTTTTCTGTTGATATTCTTTATGCAATAATTTACAGTGCTGTAAATTCAAATACATTTATATTATTTTTATATACTCAGGTATCTGACTATTATCATTTTTAAAGATACTAATTAGTTCTTAAAAATGCATATGACCTGACTTTTATATAATATGATGTGAAATGCATATGATATGACCTGATAAATTGCACGTGGCCTAATGTATGTTCATCTTAAGTTCTTTGAACACCAAAATAGGGATATGCTTTTGGTTTAAGGAATTTCTCAATGTAAAATAATGCTGTATTGCATTGATATGTGGCTTAGAGAAGAAGCAGTGAGATAAGCTGAGGAGAATGTATTATTTGCTGCTAAGAAATGGGACACTCTTGAATAGGATAAAAAAAGTTCTGAAAAAAATGAGTGGATAATGTCTGATTTGTAAATCTATAATTTACGTCATTCTTTTTTTTTTCACTAGTTGGTGTTGTTCGCTGTCCAATTTGTGGCCAGGAATGTGCAGAAAGACACATTATTGACAACATCTTTGTGAAGGATACTACTGAGGTTCCCAGTAGTACAGTAGAAAAGTCAAATCAGGTTTGTGTCTAAGTATTTTGGAGAGTCCCAAAACTGCCAAATATATGATATTCCATTGACAAATATAAACTAATGTTTGGTGAAAAATTCAGTTGCATGTTTTGTGTATAAAAACAGGACAGAAAAAAAGCAAAAATAGGCAGATAACAGCACTCCTTTCTTTAGTATTTCATCCTCAGAAAATGTAAATTGAGATACTGACATTGTATATGTTTTACTGAAATGTTGCCAGGTGAAAAATAGACCAGGTTTTAATAAGAAACCATTTTTTTATTTCTTTATATTTGTTATTTGCCACCTAATAGAAAAAGAAACATGAAATTTGGTTGGTCACAGGATTTATTTAAGAAATAGGAGAAGCAAATACCGGTGGTCGTATCCGTAAGAAATTGAAAATATGTCAGCTGCTATTTCTAGCAGGGTATCCACGAAATAGCCTTTGAAGAAATAATACCAAATGATAATATGATAACTAGTATCTTTTTGTAATAGGACAAATCCCTTTTTAGTTGAATTAAAAGACTGATGTTAATGATCAATGTATCTTGAACAATGCATCAAACAGCTTTTTCATGTTTAAAAAGGAAACAAAATTATAAGCCAGGGGTCTTCAAACTTAGCCCTTTTATGACTTGTGGACTTCAACTCCCAGAATTCCTCAGCCAGACACGCTGGCTGAGGAATTCTGGGAGTTGAAGTCCACAAGTCATAAAAGGGCCAAATTTGAAGACCCCTGCTATAAGCCATTCTTATATATTTGGTGTAATGATTTAATAAAGCTAAATAACAATAGCACTTAGACTTATTTATCGCTTCATAGTGCTTTATGGCATTCTCTGAGCAGTTTACAATGTCTGCATATTGTCCCCAACAATCTGTATCCTTATTTTGCCGACCTTGAAAGATGGAAGACTCAATCAATCTCGAGTCCATCAGGTTCAAATTCCAGGCTGTGGGCAGAGTTAGCCTGAAATATTACATTCTAACCACTGTGTCAAACATTTATATGGTATAAAATGTTTAGAATATTAGGTATATTTTAGTCCTTAGAGAGTAAGCTGAATCATTGGTAAATGTGACTTTTTTTAAAAAATGGTAAAAGCAGTAAATTTCTCAATAGCAACACCTTAAGGTTAATACAAAGCGAACTTTACCAATTTTTTTTTATCTCCTTACAATTTTTATTCACCATTGGAAATTCTGGTTGTTATAAAATATGCCACCTACACACAAAGACACACTTACAGAGTCATATGATCTTATTTTGGACACTTTGCAACCAGCTCACCTTAATCTGTTGCAGTGTCTCATGGTCATGTGAGTGTGATTTGCGATGTTCCTTACCAGTTTCCAGTAAAAAATGCTCATCCAGAAGAATAGGTTTTCACTTAAGACCATGGTATTTGTTTAATGAGTGCTGCAAAAATGTCAGATCGGGTCTTATCACATGGGTGCCTTGACTTATGATCATGATAACTTACAATTGGAAATCCAGTCCCAATTGTGCTTGTAAGTCAAGGACTACCTTCAGAAGGTTTGTTAGAAGTTGTTGAAGCTGTACCAACATCTTAGTATTCCTGTATTTTTCTATATTATAGCTTTATGTTGGCTGCTAAATTAACCTTTCTAAAATTATTATTGGGAATAGAATTCTATCTTGTGAACTTGCAGTTACTCTTCCAAGAAGAGAGTATTTCTATATCAAGTCCTGCAGTTCAACAAATGTGCAGATAGATGCTTTTTTAAACTGGAAAAGAAGTAAGATATACATTTAACGAATAAATAGTAATAACACTTAGACTTATATATCGCTCCATAGTGCTTTACAGCACTGTCTGGGCAGTTTATAAATGTCAGAATATTGCCCCAACAATTTAGGTCCTTATTTTACCGACCTCAGAAGGATGGAAACTGAGTCAACCTTGAACGGGTCGGGATTGAACTTCTGGCTGTGAGCAGAGTTAGCCTGCAATACTGCATTCTAACCACTATGCCACAGGCTAAATTTGGAAATCACAGTAATCACTTCAGAAAAACCTGCAAATAGCCATCAGCATTATTGCAGATGTTAGTTATTAACCAATTAGTTAACTAGATATTATTAGTTATTAACTAATGCTGCATCATTGATACCTAGTTTGGGATTACTCTGTTGGCACATATTGCTTCTTTACTAATTAAAGAGTAATTAAAAAGTAATTAAAGATGCAAGTGGACTTAGGTATAGCTCCGTTGTTTCTGGCTCCAGACTATTAGATATGTGGTTACACCTGCCAGGTATCTTAGTCAGTTGGAGTCAGTAAACCACCGGAAAGCATTCTCGCTTGCACTGTGCCATGTGTTTCCATTGGCCGTCCTGTACGGCAAGTATAAAAAGACACCATTGGCTAAAAGACTCTGCTCCTGTGGCTCAGGAGAGGTGGAGACCATTGGACGTATACTCCTTCGATGTTCCTTCTATAGAGCTATTCGGAAAAACCATATCCTCCCCATAATTGATAGGTATCCTGGTCGTTCGGAAAGTATTTATCTCCAGTGGCTGCTTAAGGATGAGTAGGCAGTGATCACGGTGCCGGTGGCTAGATTCTGTGCAGCAGCATTGGGGATTCATCAGAAACATAAATAAACATTTTAGATCTTTTTAATAATCTTTTATAATTAATTTTTATTACATGTGTTTTTATCCAGCATTAGACTATACTCAATGTATTTTTATTGGCAGGTCAGTATGATTCAGTTTTTCTGAAGGTAGCTAGTTTTTGTTATATTGTCTGTAAAACTAGACAGACCTTGGTCACTCATTGATTACATCATTAATTGTAATATATTGCTATGTCTTCTTGTGTTGGTTCTATTTAGTTTTGTTTTATTTGAATGTTTAATTTATGCGTTGGCCTTTGGCTGTAATAATAAGTTGATTGATTGATACTAATTAAAGAGTTTTCAAATTCCTGTATTTTCAGATTCTGTAGATAAAGACTTTGATCATTAGGTAATTAAAAAATTACTATGGTCAATAGGTAGCTTAATTCTAACTCCGTCATTAACATCGGCTATGCTGGGAAAAATGGCAGAGGATTCTTCTACTAAAAGATCCTAGTTAAAGTACAAGTCTTGTTGATTCAACAAAAGCTTAAGAGTGATTTAAAACAGATGCAAGAAAAAGTGGCTAGATACGAAGATTAATTACAGATCCATGAGACCATAACTCAAACCATTCATAATATTTTGGATAAATGAATTAGTGTCCAAACATGGAGGAAAAACTCTATGTGTGATTGGTATTGAAAATCTCTCAAATTAATCAAACCTGAGTGAATTTATGGAGGATATTTTCAGAAAGTTCCTTCCTTGGCGAACTGACTTTCCAGTGAAGATTGAACATGTGTTTAAAATTTATTTCATGAAATTAAAGACTGAAACTAGTTCCAGTACCAATATTGTGCAAATCTTTCATGTTACCAGAAAAGATGAAATTTTATGTATACAAATAATCCTCAATTTATTACCATAATTGAACCTGCCCATTATGGTTGTAAGTCATGAGAGTAGTCAAGTGGATCACTTATGTAACTGGCCTAATTTTATGACCTTTTTTGCAGCAGTCATTAACTGAACATGGTATCCATAAAGAGAATGTGATGGACATTATGCGAATGCATTGTTCTTTATGGGGCGCTTCTATCAAAAACTAGAAATAAATAACTTATTTAATTATTCAATAAAATAAAATAATTTAAATAATTTTGGCAAAAATGTAAATGTAAAGAGAAGTCATGTGACCATGGGTTGCTGCAAACAGCTGTAAATGTGGGCCCAAAGTATGTCACATAACCATGGGGGGCAGCTGTTGGAAATTCAAAACCAGAATATAAGTACCTTTTACGGAGGTCCCTTGTAACTTTGAATGATCACAAGTGGAAAACTACATATATTTCCCCAGGAATTGGTAAAATCTTCATTGAAGTGCAATTCTAGCCGAAATAAGATATCAATCTATCCTGGATTTATCAAGGGTTAATTGTTTACAAAGTCTCGAAGTGTTCTTAGATTAGCACAATTACAGTATTTCATGAACTTTCCAGCTGAATTCTGCATTAATCATTAAGATCAGATCTACAAATTTTGTAACTCTATTTGTTTCAAAATATATTTTGTTTCTAATTTTGCAGGTTTGTACAAGCTGTGAAGACAATGCAGAAGCCAATGGCTTTTGTGTGGAGTGTGTAGAGTGGTTATGCAAGACATGTATACGGGCTCATCAAAGAGTGAAATTCACAAAAGACCACACAGTTAGACAGAAAGAAGAGGTTTCTCCAGGTAAAGATCCATTTATATGTTCAGTCCTATACAGTTAATCCCCGAGTTACAAACGTTCCCTAACTGAACATTTGAAGTTACACAGTAAGTGCCCTCTAGTGTTTATGACAAGTCCCAAAATTACGAATATTGCAGCACCATGGCAATTGTTCACCCTTATGAACAACCGCAGAGGCAATGCAACATTTATCCTGGCTATTCCCTTCCCTCCCCTTGCCCCCAGGTCCCTATAAGCACTAGGCCTGTGGATACTCACCTTGCAAAGATCTAGAGAGCCTTTGTTCTTGGCCTGTTTCACTGCTTCAGGCCTTCAGTTCATTCACAGAGAATGGAGGCCTAAAGTACTACAAGATCATGTGAGATTAGTAATGTAAGATCTTACACTACTGATCTCGTATGATCTCATGGTACTTTAGGCCTCTGTTCTCTGCAAACGGAGGCCTGGATGAGATCTGCGATAAAAGACTTTGCAAGTGGAAGGAAGGCCTGAAAAATTAAAACCTTCCCTCCACTTGCAAAGCCTTTTGCCATATTTGCAAAAAGACTTTGCTGTTGAGAACAGAGCTTCAGATTGATGCGCATATTGCTCCCAGCCTCCCATTTTCATCAGCAGAGGTCTTCAGGAAAAGCTTTTGCCGATGAAAACGGAAGCCAGGTGTGATGCGTGCATCAATCCAGAGCATTTTTCTTGGCAGCAAAGGCTTTTTCTGAAGGCCTCTGCTGACAAAAATGGAGGCCAGGAGCGATGCATGGAGACTGGAAGCTTCTCAGTGCTGTAGTCTCACGGCTGAAGTCATGCAAGATTACGGCACTGAGAAGCTTCTAGTTTTGGCGCCCAAAGTGTTTGCAAACTCAGCAGACGCTTTGTGGCACTGATTTTGCTGCCTCAAGTGTCCCCTTCGCTTGTAAACACTTTGTGCCAAAACTGGAAGCTTCTCAGCACCGTGATCTTGTGCGGCAGAGAGGCTGGAAAGGAGACAGGTTGCTAGATCTTCGCAAGGTGAATGAGTCCAGTGTGGCAGGATGGGGGAGAGCAATTGTTGGGAGAATGAGCCCCCACATGGCTGGTTTGAATTTAAAATCAGTGTTTGTACAATCAGATCTTCAATCCATTGTGTGAAAGGAGTCATACATTTATTTTTCTAATAACCCTTCTTAGTTTCTTAACCTTAAATTCTAGAACCTTAAACCTATATTGTCATCTTTTCATGTAGATAAATTGTTTTTTTTTTAATATTTTATTAGTTTTCTAATTTTACAATTAAACATTTAAAAAACAATGTGGTAACTGGGCAATCAATAATTCCATAACATACATAAATCTTTAGTACAAATCTCAAGTTACATCATCAGATATTTCCTCTCTTTTTCCCTTAGTATCTACTATCATATTGAACTAATATAGTTCTTTGCTGGCAAAGTCGTGTGAATTGTTGATGTGATGGGTCATGTTGCCAACTAACAGAGCTAATAAGGTGTTTAGATGTTTTGCAAGGTTGTAGGTGACAGAATTGATGCTGCTGACAATTGGTCTGAGTGGTATTCCCTCTTTGTGGATTTTGGGGAGTCCATATACCCTTCCCCAGGGTAAAGACGGAGTATTGTGACTTGTCGATGGCATTGTCCTTTAATAATTGTTGCAAGAAATCAGTGACCTTTTTCTTGTAACTGCTGGTGGGATCTCTCTTCAGAGTCTCATACATGCCAGTGTCCTACAGAAGACTGTTCCCCTTGGCCTTCTATCTTGTTACAGAGTTTCATTTTATCGAACAGAACAAGACAATATATTTGATTGGTGAACTGAAAATGCTGTTATGTGGATTTCCACTTAATAATTTCAGGTCATGTGAAATCAGTCAGTTCTTGATGAGGATCTGCCAAGTACTTTGGTTTTAGACTCTATTATAAGTCTGAAATTGCTGCCATAAGACTAAATATTAAATCATGCCATCTGGAGCCGCATGTGGCTCTTTGAGAGCTTTCTACTGCGGCTCCCAGTCCTCCTCTGCCATTTGCAAAGAGAGAGAGAGAGTCAGGCCCTTTCGCTTCGCTTCCCCCCCCATGCTGTTCTCCAACAAGCTGACAAGATTATTGCGCAGGGCTCCTGCCTTTGCTGCATCTCCACAGGAAGCAAGAAGCAGCAGAAAGCAGCATCTCTCTCTCTCTCTCTCTCTCTCTCTCTCTCTCTCTCTCTCTCAGACACACACACAAACATTTTTACTTACTTAGTGGGGGAAGAGGACTGGCAGACCAAGGGCAGGAGAGAGCCAGCCAGTGTGAGGCCAGCTGGCCAGGTGAGCAGAAGATCGGAGAGAGGGAGGGAGGGGGGGGAGAGAGAGACAGAGGGAGGGAGAGGGAGAGGGAGAAGAAAGAGGGAGGGAGAGGAAAGAGAGAATAGAGACAGGGAGAGAGGGAGGGAGGGAAAAGAGGGGGAGAGGAAAGAGAGAAAGGGAGAGGAAAGAGAAAAAAAGAGAGGGAGAGGAAAGAGAATAGAGACAGGGAGAGAGGAAAGAGAGGGAGAGGAAAAAGAGAATAGAGACAGGGAGAGGAAAGAGAGAGAGAAAAAAAGAGAGAGGGAAAGGGGAGGGAGAGAGAGAGAGAGAATATGAATATATGTTGTCCTTACTGAACTTTTAGTAAAGAACGTTTAATGAAATATTTTGATTTTTTTTTTAATTAAGAGACGAGGTATGGGGATAATTATGCTGTATTTAAAGAAGGCAAATAAGCTACTAAAATTGTTTTCACCTGTTGGGATGAAGGAGAAAGGTTTTTTTTCCCCCCACTTTCTCCAGCATAAAAATTTGTTTTCTTTGTAGCAGTTCATTGATTTTATAAATGCAACACACTATAGTTTTTTTATACATAACATAAAGGTAAAAAAGGATATATGCAGTGTTATCTTCATTTTAGATGTCAAAAGGATTTTGTTGCTCCTAATGTTTTCTTTTCTGTGAGAAACAGGTCCAAGTTGTTCTTTGAGTGTTTAAGGTTGCCGACCCCTGGTCTAGTGCATAACATAATTAATTTATATGAATGTTATTGCTCTCTTTCATAGGGTTGTTAAGTAATATTCCTTTTTTCCTATATGTCACATAACACACAGGATGTATAAAAATTTCACCCTAACAAATTGTAAGGTAAATTGGGCTTTACAATGAAAGTAGTCCCATTACTGAAGTGTCTGTAACCTTCTCATGAACTCATTTAATGCATTTTGTTCAAGACGTCTGTAGGTCAGGTGTATACCAAGAGTCTAACAAATATATAATTTCTTCTTGAGGCTACACTCAATATTGGAAGTGGCCAGACTGGAGATAGGCAGATTGAGGACTACACTAGGTAGTGATCTTGCAACGGCAAAGTGGATTAAATAGTGGAAATGGATTAATCCAATAATGAAGGGGGGGGTCATCATTTTTGTATTTGTTTGGCCTGTTTAAAAAATTACTAGATGCCAATGTAGATGTAATGAGTTAAGAGACAATGAGAAAATAATGTTTATATATACTTTTTTATGTTTTGAGAAATTAGAATTTGAATGATACATGTTTTCAGTTTTTGTGATCTGAAAAATGTATATGAAATAAATATTTTATTTTTTCATCCTTTTGTAAAATTGACCAATTCAATGGGATTCTAGGTTATGCACAACAAAACTAAACAATAAAAAATATAACATTTTAAAAGAGAATGTATATTTATGCAATAGTAAATATTTAGAAGTTCAGAAGATTGAAATATGTTGTAGGCATCGTCGCTGTAGAGACAAGCTTTTGCATCTTTTCAGGAATGGAACAAATGTAAAGTTCATTTCAGAAAACCCATTAAATAATTTCCCAAATACTTTGAAACGTTAAAGCAAATTTGATTAAAAACAAGTATGAAAATGTTGAGTACAGAAGAAAAACTTTTCCTTGCTTCTAGACTTTAGTAGTAGTAGTAGTAGTAGTAGTAGTAGTAGTAGTAGTAGTAGTAGTAATACCTCGACTCCCTCTTCTTTGTGTCAGCCCCTGAGATATTAGAACACTGCTATCATGTCACCCCTGGTCCTTCTCTTCATTAAACTAGCCATGCCCAATTCCAGCAACTGTTCCTTATATGTTTTAGCCTCCAGTCTCTCAATCATCTTTGTTGCTCTTCTCTGTACTCTTTCTAGAGTCTCAACATCTTTTTTACATCGTGGTGACCAAAACTGGATGCAGTATTCCAAGTGTGGCCTTACCAAGGCATTGTAAAGTGATGTTAACCCATCACATGATCTTGATTTTATCCCTCTTTATTGCAGCCTAGCACTGTGTTGGCTTTTTTGGCAGCTGCAGCACACTGCTGGCTCATATTTAAGTGATTGTCCACTAGGACTCCAAGATCCCTCTCACAGTTGTTATTATTGAGCAAAGTACCACCCATACTATACCTGTGCATTTGGTTTTTCTTGCCTAAACGTAGAACCTTATTTTTTCCACCATTGAATTTCATTTTATTAGATAGCTCTCAATGTTCAAGTCTGTCAAGATCCTGCTAAATGTTAAGCCTATCTTCTGGAGTGTTGGCTATTCCTGCCAGCTTAGTGTCGTCTGCAAATTTGATGAGTTCCCCATCTATCCCCTTATCCAAATCATTGATGAAGGTATTGAAGAGCACTGGGCCCTGGGGTATCCCACTACACACTTCCCTCCATGTAGATGCAGTTCCATTGGGGATCACATGCTGAGAACTGTCGGTCAGCTAGCTACAAATCCATCTGGTGATGATGCTGCCTAACCCACATTTTTCTATCTTATCAAGTAGTAGGTTGTGATCTACTTTATCAAATGCTTTACTGAAGTCCAAGTACATTAGTGTAGTCCATCTGATCCTGGTGATTTGAACTCATCTAGGATTGACAGGTACTTACCATTTTCTTGCCTATCTTGTGTTCTAATCTGTTTTTTATGGTACTGTTTTTGATAGGTTGGAGTTGGACTGTTTTTTCCCTTTGTGTAAATACGGATGCAAAAATTAGTTGAGTAGTTCTATTTTCTCTCTGTTGCTTGTCACCTTCTTGCCACTTTCTCCCACTAGTGCAGGGGTGTCAAACTGCCGGCCTACGGGCCGGATTCATCATATGGAAGCCGCGCCCACCCCATTGCCAATGCCATGTTGCACGATGTCATGTGACATTGCAAGTTTGACATGCCTGAACTAGTGGACCAATCATTTCCTTAACTTTTTTCTTGTTTTTTACATGTTGAAAGAAGCTTTTTTTGTTATTTTTGATTTTTGTTGCAAGCCTTAGTTCATTTTGAGCTTAGCTTTCCTCACTTCATCTTTGCAGGCTTGGGCTATTTGCTGATATTCTGCCTTAGTTATGTGCCCTCTGTCTACTTTTTATACTTGTCCTTTTTGTCTTTCAATTTATCAGAGAGTTCTTTATGCAGCCATGCTGGTTTCTTTTGAGAGCTGTTATTGTGCTAGACTGGGCTTTTATAATCTCATTTTTCAAAATTTCCCAAGGTTCTTGAATTGTTTTCCCCTTGGGGATTCTCATCCATTGAATCCTTCCGAAGGTCTTTCTAAGTTTGTTGAAATTAGCTCTCTTAAAATCCAAGACTCTAGTTTGGATGTATTATATTGCTTGTGCTTGCATAATGTTGAATTCCAATATTGCATGGTCACTCTCCCCCAAGGTTCCTATGGTTTCAACATCTTTAAAAGGGGCAAAATTGTATTAGTTAACTTTCAGTTTTAGTCTAGGTCTATAACAGTTAATTCCTATTCATCAGACTATTTCTTCTTTTTCTTTTTTAACAGAAGCTGTTGGTGTAACTAGTCAAAGACCTATGTTCTGCCCTTACCACAAAAAGGAGCAATTGAAACTCTATTGCGAAACTTGTGACAAATTGACATGTCGGGATTGTCAGTTGCTAGAGCACAAAGAACACAGGTATTAAAATGAATATATCTGAGAAGAAAAGAAAAAAGGCAAAGTTGGATAAAGAGTTAATAAGAGTCTGTTAGAGAAGTATGAGTTGCAAGAGATAGGCTAGCTTGATTTTTTAAAATCTGGTTTGCTTTAGAATTAATGTATAATTTGATAAGATTTATAGATCTCATCTGGTTATATTTATATCTTTTTATTCTCTTTTTTTCCCTCTCTATTCAGTTTTAGTCTATGTGTTTTTAAAAGATTATATATAAAATACACCTAATGCTGCATATTCTTTTTCCTTTCTTTTTCTTTTTCTGCAGATATCAATTTATAGAAGAAGCCTTTCAGAATCAAAAAGTAATAATTGACACTCTTATTACAAAATTGACGGAAAAAAGCAAGTATATAAAATATACAGGGGAACAGATTCAAAATAGGTATTGAGTTTTATTTTGCAGTATTAATTATTATTTTAATATCTCAATTAGCTTCTTTTTCATGTTAAAAGTTTCAATAAAATGAAGTTTTATTTGCAGTAATTGGATTCATTTAGTTTTTACCTCTCTACATTTGACATGTAGAATAATGAGTTTAATATATGCACATGAAAATGCCTAAAAGAGAATTAGAGTAAGATAATTTTGAGCTTCATTCACATCAGATGAACTTGGAGGACTTTGAATGTAATTATTCCTAAGTATGTTTTAATAATATAAAAAATGGCAGTTAATCAGAACAAAGCATAAATCTTTTCCTACAGTGGCCAAGTAAATATCTGCAGGTTATTTATAAGCAAGATGAATGCACTGGATATGGCAAAATAAAAACAGAATTCCTACCCTAAATCATGCTACCTCAAATGTAATAAATTTTTTGGCAGAAGGGGTAACTTGGTAATTGCATGGTCTGATAAATATCATAATCAGGAAGAGATTATGGAGGAGACATAATTATGTTATGTGGCTATAAGCCTGCCCAGATATTTTTAAAGGAAAAAAGAAAACTGAGGGTTGAATGAAAAGTAATGCCTTTGCCTCCATAATTTTAGTTTAATAGTGGTATTCTAATACATGAAACAGGAAACTATTCCAGGAAATGAGCTTTTTGCCTATATTTACTTCTTCACATAATCTCCACCATTCACTACACACTTCTCCCAACAATGGACAAACTTCTTAAAGCCATCATGAAAGAACTCCACACTTTGTCTCTTCAACCAGGTCCTGACAGTCCTTTCCAAATCTTCATTTGAGTCAAATAGATGCCCACAAACTATTTTTGGGAAAAGGTAGAAGTCAGATGGCACCAAGTCTGGAGTGTATGGCAGATGGGGTAAGACAATCTGATCCAAGTTCGCAATTGCCTCTTGGGTGGCTTGTGATGTGTGAAGCCTACTATGGTCATGTTAGAGAAAAAATTCATTCTTGTGCTTCTGAACTCTGCTTAATCATTGTTTCAAAGTTTTGAGTATGACATTATAGTGCTCTGAGTTGATGGTGATGTCTGATTCCAGGTAGTCAATGTGAATAACACCATCTGCATCCCAAAAAACTAATCATGAGTTTTCCTGCCAAAGCCTAGTTTTTTAATTTTTCTTCCACAGGTGAAAATTAGGGATGATGTTTATGGACAGATGCTTCATTTCTGGGTCATAATGATCAGCCTATTCTATGAAGAAATTCTTCAGTTTTATTCTTGTACTATGGCAACGATTGCCAACAAATTTCAATTCTTGACGGTTTCATTTCTGCCATAAGCATGCTAGGAGCATCTTGCACAATCTTTCTGATATTGAAGAAAAGAACATAAATAATGTTCCTATGAAATGCTGAACTTGGCAGCAAGTTCCTTTCAAGTGATCCACCAATTGTCCTTAATCAGTTCATCAACATTTCTTGTGGAAAGCTCAGCCAATGCTGTCAGAAGTCTTCTACTTTATTGTTCATGGCACAAATCACCTCTTTCTGATTTACAAACTTTATATTTTTGGCTAGTGCTCCCATCAGCAGTCATCACCATAAACAACCTGGTTTGGTGGTGAATTTCAAATGGAAAGACTCCTTCGACAGTCAAAAATTCAGTCATGATGTGTTATTTAAAGTACCGTGATGAATACTCACTGCAGACTTCCATCTCATAAACACAGTAACACCATCTTTTCTAGTAGCAACTTCATGATAATTAAAGTGAATGATGCTAAATAAAGCATCAGAACTTCTAACATATCAGTAACTATTGGTGACTTATACCACTGGAGGCATTGCTTTTCATTCTACCCTTATAAACCCATCAGTGGTAAAATTTACTCTCCTATTCCCCTTTGGTTTATTTTGAAACATTTCTCTGAATATCTGTTAGAGATAACTTCCATTTTCCCTTCTAGTTATAATAGTCACCTAACCATGTAGCACTCTTAGGCAATTATTTTAATCAAGCATGATGGGGGCCTATTATGTCACTGTAAGTGGGTGCAGTAGCTTTTGTACAGATTATTTTAATATAGTATTACACACATTCTCCTAAGCAAAACAATAATGGTATGAGTCCACATTCTCTGTGAACCTGTTGCTGCATCTATTAGCATAGTATTTAAAAAAGAATCTGAGAATTAATGAAAGAGCTAAGATGCCAGGACTGCACACACTAGATTTTGACAGTTATTAACTGCTTTAATATAGAATATTCTCCAGAGTCTTTCAGTGTTTTCTTGAAGCTTAAAGAAATTGGCTGACATATTAGATGGCCTTTTAGCAATTATAAAATCTATGTGTTTGGTTTGTATTTATATATATACATTTTCCTTTATAACACTAAAAATGTGAATCCTAGGCATCATATTGACAAAATATGATAGTGTTATCCTGGTGTTCGCTTTTCTTTTGATTTTTGTCAATATATATACATGCACATACCATTTGTATGTATTTGTATTTTGGTGTGCATATACATATATGCATACAGATAGAAAGATATTCTATTTAAATTCCTATGTTGAACAAACTACGCTGCTATGACATCCCAGATATGTACAATACATGCATATTGCACTTTGGTTTCTTGTTAATTATATTCTTGACACTAAGAAAAATGACAGAAATCACCACATTGTGCTACATATAACTTTTTTGTGTTTTGTGTATTTTGAAATGTGCAATTTATGTATAGAGAGGTAGCATTTGAGCAACCTTGGTTGATTTTGAAAGGTAAGCTGGATTTGAACTCATTAATAATTAGATGGGTAACAAAAAAGATAGACTACATTGGAAATTGAAAAAGATACTTTAAAGGATATAGTGGCAAAGCACTTTTTTACTGTTGTCAAGAAAATAAAATATATGCAGAAGTCACCAGCAGTTAAGCTTAAATATTTATTCTTAATTAAATGCTGCTGTGATATTTTGTACAATATCAAGATCTGAACATCAGCAACATCACAAATTGTGATCACTGTATTGTTATAAATATACTAAATAGTCTTTCTACATTTTATAGAATCCATGAAGTGAATCGGAATCAAAAACTGGTGGAACAAGATGTTAAAGTTGCTATTTTCACATTGATGGTAGAAATAAACAAAAAGGGAAAAGCTCTGTTGCATCAACTTGAGGTAGATTTTATTCTCGCAAGGCACACTATTAAAGCGGTCTTTAGTGCAAAATGCAGAGGCAAGGACCTCCGACAAGTACATGATGTTTGCGTTATGTATGACTAAAAAAAATCTGGGTACATCATATTTTATTAAAATACTTAATAAATAATAACAAAATAATATGTTCTGAAAGATTTCAGAATGAGTAGGTGAGACTTACATTTGACTTTCTGGGAAAGCCAGCAGGGAAGGTTATAAGTGGTGATCCTATGGTGTTGCAGTTGGTCGTAAATGTAAGCCAGTTGCCAAAAATCCAGATCATGGTCCTGAGATCACAGGGGTGCTCAGACAGCTGGAATTTTGAGCATGGCCATAACCATCATTTGTTCCGTGCCATCATAATTTTAAATAGTATCTGAATAAATGGTCATAAGTTGAGGACTACCTCTAATATCTTACATCTTTCCTCTGATAAATGGAGTGTTATCTATAAAAAAACTTACAATAAAATTGGGTAGTCTTTATGGTATCCATATGTTTTGTTCAAATAAGTGATATTCATTCCATAATTTAATATTTTTATTAAAAAAAGTGGAATCCTCTTTGTGTTTAGCTAAATCTGAATATTTCCAGTTATTCCATTATATTCCACTTCCTAGTTTGCTGATTTTACTACTTGTCCCATCCTTCAAGTATTTTGTTGTTATTGTTTATTTATTTGTAGGTTATTGGTTTTTTTGCTTTAACTTCTACAAAGTTGACATTTTCTTATAACACAAATATTTCCTTTAAAAATTCCTCATTCATGCGTTTATTATATTTATGTACTATTGAATCGGTGATTTACCAGCAGGGAAAAAAACAATAAAGTTATAATAACAAAACAATAATAATGCAATCAACTTAAGGTGCCAGCTATGATTTATATATTATTATTGCAGTAATAATTGCACCTTGAAAGCCCTTTGGAAATGTTCTGCTTTAACTACTTCCTAGCTTTATAACAAGGGGAGTGCAAACCAGGCCTTGGGGCAGAGAAGTAACTACAAAGATGTGCTAGTACAAAATAATTGTGTTGCAATTAAAAATTGGTTTGTAGTTAGAATAAGTGATAGCATCTTATTTGTAATAGTAAGTTTATACTCAATATGCAGAGTAGAATTTAAAGCAAAACTGTTCCTAGGTCTCAATCTCAGATGTTCTTTCCTAACACGCCCCACAGCTGAAGACAGTAGCAAAGTTCTGCATTTGAACAAGGTTTAGTGCCGAAGAAAATACATATTTAATAGAATTTTTGAACGATTCTTAACTTCAAGATCCACTCCTGATTCATCCCAGAAAGAAATCCAGGAGATTAAATAAGATTAGACCACTCTGTCGTATAATTGGGTACTCTGCTGCAAGGATTCATTACCTCTGGAAAGGCTTTTTAAAAATTCATCCATCATTCAGTTGGAATTTTTTTAGCAGTTCTTTCTTTCCTTTCTCCTGGACTTTTTTTTCCAGTGGAATGTTATCTTCACTCTGTTATTGTTTTAGTCCTAATTTTATATCAATTTTATACATATAAAAAGACAATTTTAGTCATGTTAATTCATGCGACTGCAAAATTTTATCTAATTTTTATCTTAATTACAGAGGAAGAAGTAGTTTCATTCAAATTTAAGTTGATTGTTTTCAACCCATTACAGAGTGCTTTGTGGGTTGTGTAATTAGGGCTATACAGATTAGTCATTTCAGTTTTAATATAAGGCAAAATGGAAATACTGTAGTCTTTGAATCAAAGATTACCTAAATATTAATATAATAAAGGATTTCAGTATTAATAATAAAAAGTTCAAGGCTGACTCTTGTCTACTCTCTTGAAGAGATGGAATGTGATATACACAATAATACAATAATGACTTAGTGGTTTGATCTGCAGAAATCAACAGAAATGATCATGACCTTATCTTTCTTTGTTGCAGTGTCTAGCTAAGGAACACCGAGCCAAGCTTTTACAACAGCAGCAAGAAGTGTCAGGACTTTCTAAACAACTGGAACACGTTATGAACTTTTCTAAATGGGCAGTCTCCAGCGGGAGCAGCACAGCCTTATTATATAGCAAACGCTTGGTATGGATAAATTGTTAGTTCAAATTTGCAATCCTTACGCAGTTTTTCAGATTTTTCCAGCTCTTCTTTTCAGAGATACATTTGTAGCACTATGAAAAAGATAATTTATAATGGAAGCTCATATTTTTAAAATTCTAAATTCTGTCTTAAGTGTAACTTTTACATTAGAAGCACTGAAATTCGAGAAAAATGCTATCCTGGAGAAATGTATAGGAAAAAAACTATTTGAAATTTCAACTTTGTGACATTGTTCACATCACAAAAAGTGTTCATATTGCTATCATTTTCTTCTATTCTTGATATCCTCAGATGAAATCAGGTTTCATTTGGAATACAATATACTGATATTTCCTGTTTTTTAATAATTTAGGTAACTTTTGAGGCAGTGGAAAACAATAATGAAAATCTAAAAATCTGTGAAGAGGGCAACATTATTACAGTAGTTGTGATGTGTCAAGAAGGGACCAAGTGTGGCTTGGTGCGAACAAAGAGGTAGAGACCAGGTGCTCTCTCTAAGTCACACATTTATACAGCGCTGGACAAAGGTGGGTTCTCCCATAAGATTGGAAGAACCCTGTATACAATTTCAAGCACACATAGATAGGCTTCTTAGTTACATAACTGGAATTCTCCTTACAAGAGATAAGGTACACAAGTTACAAAAATACTTATGCACACAACTTGTGGTTATATTCAGCTTGTGATTATGTTATCAAAGTCTTCACAACTATATTGCACTAGTGAAACCACACTTGGACTACTGTGTCAGTTCTGATCACCATTATTCAGAAAAGATGCTGAAACCCTAGAGAGAGTGCAGAGAAGAGCAGCAAAGGTGATAAGGAGTTTAGAGACTAAATCATATAATAATTGGCTAAGAAAATTAGCGTAATGAAGAAAACGGGATACATGATAGCAGTCTTACTTGAAAGAAATGACTTTCCCTTTCATCACTACAAATATAAAAGTATTAGTAATTTGTCGCTATCTTAAAATACAGAGGATCTCTTCATCCTATATCGCATCTCTTACCTATAAGCCAATCTTACATAGTCAGCAAAAATCTATCAAGGCTTAACAGAGATAACAAATCTAACCTTGATCAAATAATCCAATTTTATCTTCCTTTCTTTAACTTTTAAGAATCTTGATTTTTTTTTAATCCTTCAAATAATGTCTTTTTCCTTTTTTCTTTGTGCTGATTGGAGAATTCTGGGTGCTGAGGTCCACAAATCTTAAAAGTTGCCAAGTTTGAAAAAACAGTTCTATATTATCACTCCTTGTCCTCTTTCATTCATTCTGCTTGGAGATTATACTGTCTTCTAATGATTTTCTTACATTATTCCTATTTTTTTTCCTACAGTTCTTCTGCTTTCACTCCAGTTTTCTCACTTCCTTTGTTTCATTTCTTTCTTCCATTATATTAATTGTTCCCCAAGATCCTCTCTTGACACTCTGGCATATGGGCCTATCCCACACTCAGAGCTTTTAGTTCACTATATGATCATAAATAATTCAGATATATATTTAGATCCATTCAGTTTTATCATGTGTGCATTTGTTTTAATTTATTTTTGGGGGTAATACATTGCTCTGATCCAATAGAGCTTTAAGCATCATGACCTATGCTTAAATGACATTTTTAAAGCAAATAGGTCTGTTTCAGAGCAATTATTCATCCAAACAACCACCATTGTCATTAATTCTTGACTCTCCAAATTAGATTTCTATACTTGCCTTCTAACTCATCCATTTGTGTCTTCTAACCAAATTATATTTACTGCATCACATTCAGAACATTGTAGTTTTTTTCCCCAAAACACATTCCTGATACTTCCATGATCACAATTCATTGGAATGTAATATTCACTATAACTGTCCTGCAATATACTGTATGCAACAGTCCAAATATGTAATCTGATTGTTCTGGTGTGCATGAAAATAGGAACCAATGGATTCATATTTTTGTAAACACCAAGAACAATCTAGATGACCCACCCTTTCTCTATATTAATCATTCATAATTTTAAACCTAAACTTTCATTTCCCTCTCTGTATTCTTCAGCTGCACTGCATAAAATCAGATCACCATTTATTCAGATTGGCTACATCTTTCTCTTAGTTTTACAAACGCCTAGTAGAGTTGTTGGGAATCGGAGTGTGTCTAAAAATTTAATAAATAAATAAAATATCTTTTTTTCATTCATTAATTCAGGCGTTTTACCTTATGTTCCTGTTAACATTGCAAATTGAAGTTTTTCATATTCCTTGATTGTCAACAGATGGTCCCGTGAAAATTACTAGGACATTTAATGTAAAGTGACCAATGGGCTGTTGCCCATATGTCAACAGTTATGAGTCATGTGTAATGTTCTGTCACGCCGAGATTCATATTAATATAGTCTTCTTCTTTTTCTAGATTACATATCGATTACGATACCTCCTTAGGGCAAGGTATGATGCCTTACCAGTATCTAATGCTACTATTCAATTTCACTGTGATCCTAGTTTCTGGGCCCAAAATATTTTCAACTTAGGTATGATGAACTCCATTTGGTTTTATTAATAAAAACTTTATATTACTTGATACGTTTACCACATTAAATAATTGTATTTTATTTCTTTTAAGTACTTTTTGAAATAAATAGAATATATATTTTATTGAACTATATACCATCTCTGAGTAATGATACACACTTTTCATTTTGGTTTGCCCTCCATTCTATCTCTAGCATGGGGAATCCTTTGTGAAGATAAAATTGTATGTGGCAGTGTGCAGTGTGTGTTCTGATACATTCATCTTGTTTTGCTCTATTTGCAGTGATTCAATGTCTCACTTGGCTATAGGTTATATTTATATTTAGTGTATCAGTCATTTACAGCAGAGTTCCCCAACCTTTTCAGCTTTGCAGGGGGGGGGGTGGAGAGGGGATGGTTCCGCATGGCGGACAAGCACACCCAGCTCCTTTTGCATAAGCTGCAGGTATGTGTACTCGCTGCAGGCGCAAATAGCACACATGCTCACACGCTACTCGCACAAGTGAGGATACGCACTCATCCACTACTTCCGGGACCTGGTTCTGAGAAGCTCAAGGCCAGGTAATGGGCTGTAGGTTGGGGACCCCTGACTTACAACTATGTATCCAAAAGTGTATAACTTTGTTAATTGAAGTGACATTATATAGGAAAGTTGTTATTTTAATAGTGTGCTATATTAATTGGAAGTTTGCCAAATATATACAGGTAGTCCTCAACTTGTGACCACAATAGAGTTCAAAATTTCTGTTGCTATGTGGGACAGTTGTTAAGTGAATTTTGCCCCATTTTATGGACTTTATTGCCACAGTTGTTAAGTGAAACACTGCAGTTAAGTTAGTAACACAATTGGTAGGTGAATCTGGCTTCCCCATTGATTTTGGTTGTTAGAAAGTTGCAAAAGGTAATCACATGACCACGGGACACTGCAACCATCATAAATATGAGTCATTTGTCAAGCATCTGAATTTTGATCAGTGACCATGATGCTGCTGCAATGGTCATAAGTATGAAAAATGGACATAGTCACTTTTTTCAGTGCAGTTGTAACTTCAAACATTGACTGAATGAACTGTTGTAAGTCAAGGACTACCTGTACTTGGCAGTTTGTAAATACCTGGTCAATACCTTAATGCATTTATATTGTTTCAGGCAATTAAATAAAAATATGTCTAATAAAGTAGCTCTAGATCAGGGGTGTCAAACTCAATTTCATTGAGGGCCACATCAGTAGTGTGGTTGCCCTCGGGGGGGCGGGGTGTGTGGCCAGGGTGAGTGCGGCCTACTGGGTGGGCATGGATGGAGTGGGTGTGGCCTACTGGGTGTGTGTGGCCAGCTCTACATCATTCACATCAAGGGTGCCTGTGGGGGCCTGGGCAGGAGTGGGACAGATCTGAGGGTCTCTGGCAGAAGGGGGTGGGACCGGGGCAAGCACCAAAGCACGGTCCATTTCTTCATTCCTCACAAAAGGTGACACTTCCCCAGCATGCACCCAGGGGGCGGGGCCAACACGCAGGAGCTGGTTCCTCGCTGTTTCTAGATGGCCTTGTGGAGCTAAGACAGGGTGCCTTTCAGCATAGATGGCCACCACAAAATTGTACATTGGGTCCCGGCCAGCCAGGGTAAAGGCAGCGGGGGCCGTTCCCTCCCTGTTTCCAGGATGGCTTCGCAGGCCACATGAAACCACTTTGTGGGCCGCATCCGGCCCCCGGGCCTTATGTTTGACATGTCTGCTCTAGATTAACAATGTTTAGAACAGAGGGGTGTCAATGACTGATGCCAGAAAAGATATCTATTATTTGTGATAGAGTTATCTTCAGTTAAATTGTAACTTATAAATATAATTGTTTTTATTTAGGTTCTTTGGTAATTGAAGATAGTGAAATCCCACCACATATGCCTAAAAGCCCTGTGACAGAACCAAACATACAAAGTGGGTTACCTTCAAATCAACTATCCAAGTTCCCAACGCAGATCAGTTTAGCTCAACTTCGACTTCAGCACATGCAGCAGCAGGTGCTTGCTCAGAGGCAGCAGGCACAGCGGAGGGCAGGTCCCGTGGGGCTCCCAGACCCTAGAATTGCAGGGCCCATGCACCAGACTCCTCCTCCTCCACCACCACCACCTCCTCCTCCCCCTCCTCCTCAGGTAAGTTACAGCAAGTCCAGAGTAGGAGACACTTAGCTATTTCTACTTTATTTGGAGGAAAATATAAAGGTAGCATCAAAAACATTATTACACAGATTAGTATTTTGTGCACTTTACCACACTATATAACTGTCAGCATTAATTTTTATTATTCTAGGAGCTCGGGCTGCTTTAGCATCCCTAAATATTAATAGGTTTAAGCCATTCCATTTTCAAACTTCTATATATCTTTTCCTCTTTAAACAGACTGAAACTCTTAATTTTTTAGGCTGCACTGCTTTATGTTGGAAATGAATACCACCCCCCAAAATGATTTATCTTTTATAATTTCTTTTAGCAAACATTTAGGAAAAGATTTGTTATAACTAATGACCTGTTAGCTAAGAAAGTTGTTTCTGTATTTCCAGCAGCCACCTCCACGTTTGGTAAACTTTCAGAATCACAATTTCAAATCCATTGGATCAATTCCTCTGGCTCAGCCAGTGAGGTTTCCTCAAAATCAAAGCATACCACATTCATCTGTAAAGCCATCTCCATTACAGATGGCAATTTTGGCACAGCAAGCCATTAAACAGGTACATTCTCCATGTGATGCGTAATAGTATATCAAGAACTTTAAATATATTATAAAATCTATTTTGCTATCTAGAAGAAAGGTAAATTAGTCAGCTCAATGGTTTTATTATTGGAAAGGAGGCACATTTTTGTTTGTTGACTTGCTTATATATTGCTCATTTGGAATAATTTTTGCACTTTCAGAGCTACTTGTATCAACTTTAACATTAATAATTAAGCAGAGTTCTATCAATCCTTATCTGCAATGTTCCATGCAGCTTTAATATCTCCTGTACATGGATTATGAAATTAATTATTTTCCTGTTCCTCCTCCTTTTTCTAGTGGCAGATCCACAGTGGTCAAGTTTTGGCTAATTCCTCGAGTGCTAGCAGTACAACATCAACTTCCTCCAGTCCCTGTGCTGCTGGAAATGATGGGAAGACTTTTGTTCCATCTATGATTGATCTGAATTCAACAATGAGTGGTTCCTGTACCTTGCCTTCTTTACCAGATGTGAGATAATGCTATATTTCTTGACTTTTTTGAAAGGTTTATTATTCCAGCATGCTTTATTATTCTAATACAAAACTTGATCTAGTTATGTCCTACAGCTTGGAATTAAAGTATACCTAGTGCATAAAGTAGTGACTTCTTTTTAGAGCACATTTTAGAAGTGCCTTTTTAATATTTAATCATTTTAGTGATATTAATGATCAAGTTCCTATGTGTTTAGGTCCTTAATGACTTTTCCAGCAAGTTAAGAGCTAGCATCTGTATAGTCTTTAACTTTTCTGTATGTCTTCTGTCTCAAATACCCCTAAGTTTCAACACAAGGCTATCTACTTTGCTATTAGAGGAAACTATAATTGCTTTTTGTTAAAAAGTAGTGAGATAATGTTTTCCTTACCATTTATCATTATATTAAGATTGACTGTTCAGGAAGTGTACCATTGGAAAGTATTGGGAAGAGAGAAGCATTTGCAGAGCACACCCAAACCAAACAATCTTCACGCAAAACTGTGCAGTCTCCTAACTCTTCAGTTCCATCTCCAGGACTTTCTGGTATGACAACTATTATCATTTTTAAAACTCTTATTATTAAATTGTTAGACAGAAACAAGATCTAAAGCATTGGGAAAGAGAACATGTGAAAATATCTAATCACACGGAAAGAATATGGCTGATGTAGAAATACTCTTGCTGGTTGTCAAATAGCTATAGTGAAAAGAAAGTTATAGAAAGATTTATAAAGCTCCTTTTTAAAAGACAATATAGTAATAGAAGAGAAGATAAAGAATTTTAACCATATATAGAATTAAATGAATATTAAAAAGTAGAGATTCTTAGCTTAAGTAGTAAACCAGAACTAAAATGGAGAGGATTGTGGCATTGATGAAGGCAATGCTGATTATAATTTAAAAGAAGATATTAGCAGCTAGAGCATGAAAAAAAATGAAAATTTTAAAAAAAGTGAAACAATCCTTCATCTCAGCCACTGGAAGTATTTGTTTTTGTTTCTCAGTTTTAAGGAAAAAACAGAACACTGTAGAATTTTACAAAATCAGATTATTTGACATAAAGCATAAATGAGGCCTTGAGAAAAATATTTCTCATTCCCATTTAGACATTCACTTTCATTTTTTTAAGCAGGAAAACTAGGCACAAATATCAACCTCCCACTCTTTATTTTTCACATTTTTCCAAATGTAGGATACATTTGTCAAATTTGTATAGCCACCCATCTCACAAACAAGTGATTGGGGATGGCATAACAGAATAGATAATTTACTAATATTTAAAGTGCAGTTTAATATGTATTTCAAATATTAATAGGTTTCATGCCAGGATTTCTTTCTAGCCTGATGATTTTTCCCCTTATAATTTTAGGGTTGGTTACTGTTTCTGGTGTCCATCCTCCAATGCGTTCACCCAGTGCCTCTAGCGTAGGAAGTCGAAGCAGGTAAGTAGACCATGTTAGTAAAAACTGATTCTGATAAAAAAGTTGTATGGATTAGCACAGTGGGGCTTTATTTTCAAGAATTCTCTAGCCATGAAACAAGAACATCCATCAATAGCCCAGCAATGTATATTAAGCAGGTAGGGATAAGATAAAACATACAAGGTAAAACATACAAAACATAATTTTTACAAAGAAGATACATCATATGAAGATAAATTTTATATTGATTCTGCAGAAAACAAGAGAAATGTAAGTACTATTAATTTAAAAGAGCTTAGATGATACTCTTTGGAAAGGTCAGATTTTAAGTATTTAAAAATTAGGGCTTAAAAAAAAGATTTTATCTAATGAAGAAAAAATACAAATAGACAACTATGGAAAATGTTACCTTTTTTATCATCTTGCTATGATAAGCCACCCATTTTAATTTTGTAGTTGAAATGTATTCAGTGTAGTTGAAATGTGTGCAAAAATGTTTAATGTTTTTGAAAATATACAATTTTAGTCAGTATTAAATTCATCCGGCTTTGTGTTAAACCATGAACTTTATAGAAAAATTATGGCACAGATTGATTTTCCCCACCTTATGCAAGCAATAATTTCTGAAAGCATTGTTGTGCTCTGATTCAAATAATGCAAAACCTGTTTTAGTAATCTTTCCTTATTTTTCCATATACTTCATTTATAGCTCTACTTCTTCTGGCAAACCATCAGGTGCAGATTCAACCCAGAGAGTCCCTGTGGTCATGTTAGAGCCTATCAGAATAAAACAAGAGTCTGGTGTGCCAAGTGAGAACTATGATTTCCCAGTTGTCATAGTGAAGCAGGAAACAGTTGAAGAATCCCGTAATCAAAATGTAATCAAAATTATGAGAAATAGTCTTAAATACAAAAGGGTACTAACTTGTTTTTATAAATTAGTTGAGTTACAATATTTCTGTTAAAGAAATCTTAAAAATAAATCTAAGAGGTTCATTTTCGAGTCAGGAATAAAAACCACAGGCAGTTGATTGAATCAGAAGTGAAGGAGTGTGCAGTATCAATCAATCAGTCAATTTTATTTATGGCCAAAAGGCCCAAAGCCATCAGAGGCAAGTATGGTGAGCCTTTCCCTGCAAGCCTTTTATATAGGAAAACATTACCTTTCCCCCTCAAAAATACACAAAAGCATGCCCTATAGAAATTCCAAAAAAGTGCATTTAGCAAGTGTCTGAGAAATAGTGCTTTGTAGACAAGCACCCTGCTCAATCGTGATTTAAGCATTTGTTCATCAAAATCTCTTTGAGAAAAGCAGCTTTTTTTCTTATTTTTGCAAAAAGATCTCAGGTTTAGATCAGACAGGGCAGAATATTCACCCAATTGCATTCATGTTTCCCATTGCATTTTCAATTTGTTCAGAACATACTCTAATTTGTGATTCTAAAACTTTTGTCCTGATTGAGGAAGGAAGATTATGTGGTAGGAGGAACTAATTTCCTTTCCACAGAAGCATTTTATGATAAGAAACATTTAATGAAGTCTTGGTGGCTTTTTTTAAATCTAAGCTATAAATGTTCAAATCTTTGATATAACATACTCTTGATAAGGGCATATCCAGCTGAATCAACTGGCTAGATAATATGTATAATTTGTCAAGGAGGCATGATTCTCTGTGTATATATTAATGTGCGCAAAAAAGATGCTTCATTTTGATGAAATTAGACATTAATTTTTGTTTACAGTCCAGGTTTCCAAGAGCCATTCTTTCCTCAGTGTTACTGAATAGCAGCCACTCCTCTGAAGCATCAGTGTTGAGAACAGAAGCACCAGACAGTACAGGTGACCAACCATCCAATGGCAAGACAGCATGGATAGGATCGCCACATGGGGGAGATGGCAGAAAAGATGATGATCCTAATGAGGACTGGTGTGCTGTATGTCAAAATGGAGGAGAACTTTTGTGTTGTGATAAATGTCCCAAAGTGTTCCACCTTTCGTGTCATGTTCCTACACTCAGGAATTTTCCAAGGTAAAGTCTAAAGATAGCTCTTCTATGGCTTAAACTCAAACATTATTTAAATGATTGCATCTGATTTTAAAGCTAAACTCGAACCAGCAGTGTGAGGTTTAGACTGTGAATGTATAAAACAAGATACCACTGTGGAATGGGTAGTTTAGTTCCTGTTCACATTTATGTAGGCTGATAAATACACCTGGATGCAGCAGCTGTATTTGTTCCAATTTTAAAGTATAACAAAAAAATCTAGAATAGTGGCTTTGTTTTTCTGTTACAGAATGCTGCTTAAAAATCAACTGTCTCAATATTTTTTCCAGCTTCAGATATTATACAACTAAATAATAGAGTAGGTATATTAATTATATAATTTCTTTATATAAGATACCTAATTAAGTAGGTATATTATATAAAGAAAAAATCTCTTTTGAGTTGCTTATATTTGTATTGGATCTGTACTTTCCATTTAATGCTGTTAATTATTAAGAGCTGTAAGTTAGTCGCCATATTAAATCCCAAAGGTATCCATGGTAATGTTTCTGGTGTTTTCTTTCAACAGGTGTGGGCATGCAAGTGTGATGGATGGCATAAAATTGTGATAAATAAATTAAATAAGGGCAGTAATTGTAATACTCACTGATAACCAATACTTTGTTTTTTTGTTGTCTGAGGATTACTAAGAAAATAGTTTTGTCAAAGCTAGTTGGGAATGGCCCTTATCATCTTTTTCTACCATCTAGATAGCTCTCTTTCTCCTGCTTTGAAGAGAGAAAACTATATTCACACAGGACTGTTGCAGCAAAGCTATGAATTATTGTAGTTTGGGGGGGGCAGGGGAGGAGGTGGCAGGTGGAGAGTGGCATAGGAAGAACATTCTGTTCTATCTTTCTCTTTCCCGTAAACCACTATCAAATCTGTGAAGTAATCATTTAGGAAACAGGTCAATCTGACCTTTTCTGTCTTTCAGTTTCATTTGGAAAAGAATTTTAATGTTTGAACAATTTGATTCCACTCAAAAGTAATTGTACCTATTTTAAGGATAACTATTTTAATACCTACCATCTTTGTTGTTGGGGATTGTCTTTCTGATTGACAGAGACACTCAACATTGAACAAAGTAATTTTTCCATCATTGGCTTCATTGTAACCACTGTATTAACTTTTAACATTTATTGTAAAAGATAGGTGAAAGAATTAGCTTGCAAGCATTCCGAATGCAAAAATGTGAGGCTTATGTCAATCTTTTCTCATTTTTTTTCTCAGTGGTGAATGGATTTGCACATTCTGCTGTGATTTATCTAAACCTGAAGTAGAATATGATCGTGGTGTCTCAACCCATGTTTCTGAAGAAAAAAGAAAACTGGATGGCAGTCTGGGTTTGGCACCAATAGATCAGAGGGTAATTTCATTGTACTGTGTTCATTCTACAAACTAGTTCTGAAAAAAGTGCAAGATAATAAAAATAATGAATGAATTAATGTTGAGAATCTGAGACAAAAATACAGATAGTAATAGAAATAGCATTTAGACTTATATATCGCTTCATAATGCTTTACAGCCCTCTCTAAGCAGTTTACAGAGTCAGCATATTTCCCCCAACAATCTGGGTCCTCATTTTACCAATCTTGGAAGGACTGAGTCAACCTTGAGCCAGTTAAGATCAAACTCCAGACTGTGGGCATAGTTAGCCTGCAATACTGTATTCTAACCATTGTGCCACAGGCTCAACTCTTCTGGTTTTCTATTACATGCACATGTACATTTCAAACAGAATTTTATTAATTATTATAGAGTACTGTTGTGCTAATTTTAATGTTATCCTTTTAAAGCATTATTTTAATAGCGATATTTGGATAAATTGAATATGTACCAATTTAGACTACTCAGCACTTATAATCAGAGCAATGTGTGTCTCTGGAATATTACGTTAATGTAAACTTGAGTTTCCTTTGCTTCAGAAATGGTTCATAAATATACTATCAATATACAAATAACAAATGGGTATGAGATATGGAATATTTAACTTGCTATATCTAATTCTTCATAGTTATGAAATATGCCCTTTATCAATGAAATATGTTATTTCAGAAGTTCAAATGATATATTTCACATTTGTGAATATTAAGTTAAAAATATTGGTAGAAAAAAAATCCATCAATTTGAGCAATTCATTATTACATTAAAGACTGTACATTTACATAGTTTACATTGCTGTAGTAAACTTTCAAGCTGATGTTCCAAATAATTTTATTATTTCTGTCCCAACATATAGAAATGTGAAAGATTACTTTTGTACCTTTACTGCCATGAAATGAGCCTTGCTTTTCAAGATCCAGTCCCTCCCACAGTAGGTTATTAATTTTATTACTTATCACTGATATTTGTTTGTATCCGTTATTGGTTAAACAAGAAGACTTCTGTATTGTGCTTAAAAGTACACTGAGTCCCTTCTATATTATTGGGTCTTCTCCTTTAATTATAATCTTTAGTTCATTCCAGTTGCTTCTAGTATTGGCCTTCAAGGTCTCCCTTACAATTTTTTCTCCAATCCATAACATTTTGCCAAGCAAATAATTTTCAGTCAATCTGGCCCCTTAGTCCATTTAAGAACTCTCCAAAATTAATGTTCCACTCACTCTTTTGTAGTTAATTTCCAAATTACTTTAAATTTTTAAACTTACCTGAAACTGCTTTTCCTGAGGATTGAAGGAAAATCACCCAGTAATAAAACTTACTATCAAAAAAGTTTTTTGGACATTAAGGTTTGTGCTGGTTAAGATTGGATGATGACACTTTATTGTTTGCTAATAGATAAAAGTATAAAAGAGCAGAAGTATCAGCTTTAAGTCCCATTAAAAAAAAGCTCCAGCTGATTTTGAAACTTTTTTTTATTTCTTCCTGATAGTTAACAGAAAATGTGGCAGGAACCACATTCCTCTTAAATATTGCAGCTGTGCAGTTTTAGCAAAATCGTATGCTTTGGAAAAGCTTCTTCTCTTGTCTGCAACCTCCTTAGTAAAATCAGGATAATAGGTACTATATTCTTTTTACAATCCCACTACACCTGGGATTTTTTATTTTATTTTTATCTAGTTCTATACAGAATGTCATTTTTATATATACAGAAATTGAACAGTAGCAAAATTTAAACTGGTTCTCCAGTCCCTGATCTTTTTATATGAGTATTTTATACACACATTCAATTCCAGTTAAAAAAATCAGCAGGCAGAGAAAGAAGATTTCCATAAATTCTATACTGCAAGTTGATTAGGAATACTCTCTATATCATTCATATGCAGATTTTTCCTACATAATTGAAACTCCAGGAAAGTAATATGATTATTCAGAACATTGTGACTCGTACATTTTGTTACCTTCTAGTCTTTCCATTGATCCCTTGGGCTGGGACTTCCTCAGTCTGTTTAAAAAATTTGTTAGGCTCTGTAGTAACTGTTTAAGAAAAGAGATAGTCTCTTTTGGATTCATAAGTCAGCAGGATGTCTTCCTCTGCTGCTTTTGATAGAGATAAGGGGGGGGGGTGATACAGCTGTAGTTCACTAAGCTTTTTTTGGCTCTTGGTATTTAGAATTAAAGAATCAGTTATAATGGAACATTACAATAAATATTCTTAATTTACCAGTTTGATAAAATACTGCCATGTAACATAGGGTTTCATGCTATTTAAAGGGGGGGGGGAGGAACAAGAAGATAAATCAGCTAACATTAGCCCCAACCAGAAATCCATGGTGCCATCAGCCTTGAAAATGGTGGCAGCAACACATCCTAGCCATTGCTTGACCTGGCAGTTTTAGATAACTATTAGCCAGTCTCTAGTCTTCCTTTTGGGAGGATAGTTGTGGAGAGATGGTGGAGCTGCCATGGCAAAGTCTTGGAGAAAATAGATTATCAGGACTCAGACTAGATATAGAAGTATGGAATTGAATTTATATTTATTGCTCTTGTGGATGATCTGTGGCAGGATTGGGATAGAGAAAATATAACCCTCCTGGTCCAACTTGATTTTGATACCATCAGTCATAGTGCTGGAGCACTGACAAGGAGTGGTTTTTAAGCCTAATAAAATAAATAAATAAATACAATGTATAATCATCCGCAATACAGCTTGCTATTTGTTTTAGAACTATTACAGCTGAAAATATATTCTTCCCATTTCTTTTCATTGATGACATAAAAATAAATTTCTGTACGCCTAATAGCCATCTGGCTTAATATCTGCATTGTAACTTTTTTAAATTCCAAAACAACAGAAAAACAAACCCAAACTAAACTTCTGAAATATTGATCTATTTCTTTCTAGGTGCCTGACTACTATAAAATAATTAAGAAGCCAATGGATTTGTCAACAATAAAGAATAGATTACAAGCACATCACACAATATATACAAAGCCAGAAGATGTTATAGCTGATTTCAGGCTGATATTTCAAAATTGTGCTGAATTTAATGAGGTAAAAAAAGAGTATAATATATGCTTATACATATGTTACTAAGAAAATATAATTGTTAACTGGTATTGTGTAAGGGAGGGAGGATGACAGGTGGGCCATCTCTTGGAAAGTAGTGATGGCAGCAACACTCTACCAAAATCACTACCCCAAAGAAAGATTTGTGGCCAGAGTGTAAATGCCAGCCTTCCATCCTACGGTTCAGCTAGGATTTCTGCTACACCAAGGAGTCTAATTTTGGGTACCATGATAGTTTACAGAGCCATGTAATTATACATTATCATACACTAGTTCTCTTTAACAAAAATATTAGTATATATCTAATTACAAATTAAAATAATAATATAACTTTATTTGCCATTTCAGTACAGGTAATCCTCAACTTATAACAACTCATTTAGTGACCTTTTGAAGCTACAAGGACACTTTAAAAAGTAACATGACCGTTTTTCACATTTATGATTGTTGCAACATCCCCATGGTCATGTGATCAAAATTTGGATGCTTGGCAACTGGTTCATATTTATGAGAGTTGCAGTATCCAGGGGTCATGTGATCACCTTTTGTGACCTGATAAACAAAGTCAATGGGAAAGCCTGATTCACTTATCAGCCATGTTACTAATTTAATAACTGCAGTGATTTACTTAACAACTATGACAAGAAAGGTCATAAAATATGACAAAACCACTTAACAACTGTCTAATTTACCATAGAAATTTTAACTGTGGTTATAAATTGAGGACTGCAGTACTATAAATACTGTAATGAAATATATGAAAGTTACAACATACTTGAAGTGTTGACGAACTTGAGATTTATTTGTCTGCTTCCAAAATAAGAATTCACAAACATTTCTAGCAATATTTTATGTAATTATTATTCTAACATTATTAATATGTTTAATTTCTCCAACAGCCTGATTCTGAAATAGCTGATGCTGGAATGAAACTAAGTTCTTATTTTGAGGAACTTCTGAAGAACCTTTTTTCAGATAGAAAATTCTCTGTTCAGCCTTATTGCCATTCTGATAAAAATAGTCCAGCCCCAACAGATGACTCAGATGATGATTTTGTGCATTCCCGGAAAAAACGCTTCAAATGGGAAGAACACCATTTTTTTAAGTAAGCTGCTTATATGTACTCTTAAGCATTTTTTACTTAAATATTTATCAATTTTTCATTTTCTTAAAGTAATTTTTGACATCATTGATTTCTACATATAAGGAACACTTACTGAAAGTAATGCCTTCCCCTGTTGGTATATATCTACCATGCTTATTTGGAAATGAATTACACTCTCAGTCCAATGTGTTTTGGGAGGTAAAAAATTAAAAACAACTAATTAAATTAGAATTAGAAATTGCTATTTCAAGAAAATAGGGGTTCAGAAAAAAAATAAAATTATCAAAAGCATGTGGCTGGCCAAAATTATAATTCTTTACAATTTTACTATACTTAAACATTAGTCATTGGGGGAAGAAAAGCACCTGGTTTGCTATTGTCCTAAGTTCCTGAGAAGTACAATGACTTGTGCCCTAAAAGCATGGGCAGATGAATTAAAGTTCTTTGAAAATCTATGCTTTTGTGTCTTTGTGTGATCATATGAAGAGAAATCTTAATGTAATATTGGTTGGAAAACGTAATCCATGAGGGTTGAAATGAGACATGTACTTTAAAAAATACTGCAAGCTTTTCACTGCAGCTACAATACAAATGTATAAGTACTTTGGGGCAATTTGACCTAGTAGTGATTCTCATGCTGTCTGTTGGGAAATGTGGCTCCAAGTAAAATACTGTACCCTAAAAGTAGGCATTATCATACCATTGGATCTTCTTTATTTCCTCTCCTGTAAAATAAAGACGATAGTTTGCTGCAACTTTATGCTTTGTTGGAAATATGGCCAACAGAGAAAAAGATAAACTGAAAGTATTGTAAGTTATTAAAGTAGCTCCTGGGAAGCAAAATTACTAGTTGGCATTGTAGGCCATGGATGGTTAATTCTATATATATCAGTGGAAACATTCCTTGGCCACAATGTCAGTTGATAAGGTGGCTGGCTGGAGACTTGGTAAAGCCAGGCTAGACTCTGGTTCTTGGTTGAAAATGGTGTGTGTATGTTTGTGAATGTGTATGAATGTGTGTATGGGAAGGGGGTAGATTAAGTGATGGGGGGAGAAGGATTGCCCCAATCATAGGCCCTGAATGTGAAGCAGAAGTGCTGAGTGCCCATGTTGGGTGCATCCTTCTATTCCATTAATGGAGCATCTTGATAAAAATGGGGGAATGGTTGGGGGGAGAGGGTGGGATTGATAGTGGGTGCATGGGAAGATATGGTAGGTGAGGAAGGAAAGGAACCTGGTACTTATTATTGTCTCATTCCAGCCCCTATGCTTGGCCCAGAGCATTGTCTCTGGAGCCTCAGATGTCTTGGACTCTGGCTTTTGCTGCTGAATGCCCAGCCAGCCTATAATGAAGCCTGCCTCATATAATTTGATTGTAAATGAGGGGGCTGACCAGGTAGATATCATCAAAATCTGGTTTGGTGCGGGAGTGCTTTCATCTCAGAAATGTACCATCGTGGGTTTGAGAGGTGGGGGTGGGGTGGTTATCATTCAGAAGGCTGCAGTGACCTCTTACTTCCCCAGATATAGCTGGATGTAAAACATTTTGTGAAATTGAAGCCCAATTCCCAGCAGATGTCACATATGAATCTGTTTTTGTCTCAGGGCACTGGCAAAATGATATGAGAGATAACAATGGATCAGTCCTTGGCCGTAGAGTTCTCTGTAATTGCTTCCCAATGCAGAAAGGTTGGGCCTGTTTGCATGGCCTGTCCAAAATAACTGATGTACTGATTGGATCATGCCTTTGTGGACTCCCTGTGATTATGGCTGCCTAGTTCACAGAAGAGTTTTGTGAGATAAACAATGGAAGAGATACCTAAAGCACTACTAGAGACAAAAGACAAAGCTGACCAAGTAAAGTTAAGAGCAAAGAAACATGCTTACTTTTCCACTCTTATTGTATCTGAAGATGGTGGCCCTGTTTTGGGTAACGGGTCCCTTCTGAATAAGAAAAGACCAAAGGTGAGCCCTTGGTATATTATCAGGGGGTCCTCCTGGACTCACAGCTCTTGTTGAAGCAACAGGTGGTAGCCATGACTAGGGAGGCTTTTGCACAAATTCATTTTATGTGCATCCAGGAAGCCTTTCTCATAGTCATTCATGCCTTGGTCACTTCCCTGTTGTATTAATGTGGTCTATATAGAACATCAATGCAAAATTTTGCCTATTCCTAAGCTGGTATAGAAAGCAAATTATCCATCTCAAACCATAGGATAATTAGTATCTAGGAAGAAAAATCCTCCTATCTTAACCAATTTTTCTCATTTGAATTTATTTCTTTTCTTCTTGGAACTCATATCTCATTCTTCATGTTCTTATTTTCACTTCAGATAACAGCAGAAGTAAGTGTAAGCTTCTCTATATTACTTGTTTAAATTAGTCTTAAATCAGGGGTCTCCAACCTTTCTGGGTTGGTGGCCCGGTGGGAGAGGGAGGGGCAGGTGCCTTGCATGTGCAAAGATGAATGTGGCCATCCGTGCACATGTGTGCACAAACAGGCTGTGAGCACGCGCACCATGCAAACAGCTACGAGCATGTGCGTGAAACTCACAGCGATGCCAGCACCTGTGAGGCTTGTGGCACCACCGCCGCCAGGCTTGCAGCAATGCCACAACCAGCATGAGGATCACGCTGCCAGCCCGCCTGCTGCCTGCCTCTTGTGACATTGCCACCGCCCGTACAAAGTTTGTGGCAATGCGCCATCTGTGTGAGGCACGCCACCACCCACCTGTTCACAATGCTGTCACCACCCGTGCAAGGTTCGTGGCAACACCGCCACCCGCGCAACAGTGGCACAAGGGGTAAGCTCGAGCACTGCCCAGCTACTCACGGCCCAGTGGGGCAAGAGGCTACGGCCCAGTAGTGGGCCGTGGCCCATAGGTTGAGGACCTCTGTCTTAGATTATCACTTCTGTGGAAGAACATCCATCCTGAGCATCGAAACTCCACTAGCAAAGATTCAGCAGAAATTTGAAAGAAACAACAAAGAAGCCATAGCACAGCTAATTCAAGTACTGAAATATAGAGATCTTAAGCAGTTAGTACTTCTCAAGATAAAAACCATTAATTAGCTACCTCGAGAAATGAAAAGGTCTTTTTTAAAATTTGTCTATTAGTGGAATTGAATAGCATATTCCGCTTTATGCAGTGGAATAAAGAAAGATGCAATACATGACAGTAAACATGACTTTATATGCTAGGCACATTTTAAAAAAATCTATGTAAGGTTCACTTTATTTAGCTGATCAATACAGAGATTTGCATTTGTTTCAGATAATGGAAACTAAGTTCATAAAACTATGTAAAACAAAAGGATACTTTTTATAACAAATTGAGAAAAATGGGATCTTTGAAAAAAGAAACTGTTGTAAGTAAAAACGTCCAAGAGGCTATTTTAGTAGTGAGTTATTTAATACAATGCAAGTCTCTGCTCTGTTTGCTTAATATGCACAAAATTCCAGAGATGGGAAGATTTGAAGGAGTAACTTATATACCCAAGGAAGGGGAAGGAAAGGAAAGAAATTAACAAGAAATTGTCACAAGTATGCAGATTAATGTAGAAAACTCTCATTTCATGCAGGTATGAACAAAATACCACATTGTGGTTTTCCTGTTTTTGCTATTTGGCCCTGACTATGTGACAGCTTTTAAACTTATTTAAACATGGAGATACTTTAATTATTATATTGATTATATACTGGAGAGAACTTAGTTTAACCTTGAAAACACATTGTCAGAATTGTAGGCCACACAAGATTCAAGCAACCAATGTCTTCTTCCTCTTCCAACAATTAAAGATCACTTTCTTTGCTGAAAAGGATTTTAAAAACAAACACAGATTTTAATTATTTTGCATAAGTCATTTGTTGCAATGAAACTTTACAATGTTAACTAAATAATCTTTTAACCCTAAAGTTTAAAAGATGATACTTTTAATTTACCCTAATGGCCAACTGTTCTGAAGCAATAATTCATGAATGATGCATGAATTTTTATTTTTTAACTGCAATTCTATCAAAATATATCTCATTCTTCATAAGCCACTTCACATCCTGATACCTTCTTAAGGTAGTATCTGTAGCATTCCTTACAAGATCATTTGATTATGATAGTAATAGCGCTTAGATTTATGTACTGCTTCATAGTGTCCCCAACAATCTGGGGCCTCATTTTACCAACCTTGGGAGAATGGAAGGCTGAGTTGAGCTTGAGCTGATCAGGATCAAATTCCTGGCTGTGGGGAGTTAGCCTGCAATACTGCATTCTAACCACTGCACCACCACGGCTCCTGGTGTGTGGTGTACCTCGGTTGCTAGTCCTCTGATGAATCAGATTTAAGGCTTGGTAATGTGTGACTTAATTGAGTAAAAATTAAATTTAGATGTCATCTCAAAATGTTATTGTAAACATAATCTTTATATCTCCATTGATGTTCCATATTGGGCCAATCACATGAATTAGAGCTTCATCAAAGTTTGTATAAGAGACAATTTAATCTCAAATTAGAGCCTGTTACAGAATATTAGAGATGGGGCCATGAAAGTATTTTTTTTTCTGTCATGAAACTCCCTACTCTGTTAAAGCTATATGCATTATAAACAACATTCTTATTAGGTTCCATAGATGCAATGCAACTTTTCACTGCAGTCCTCCACTTAATTTAAAAAGAATATTTCCAATAACTTATGTAATGTACTGTTTTATTAATACAGATCCCACTCTCTACAACAGACCTGTCAAACTCGTGATGTCATGTGACGTTGCACGATGTATCAGAGCTTTTTCCCCATTGCCAGCAATGGGTTTGGTATGGTTTACTCATGACACGTCTGGCCCATGGGCCAGCAGTTTGACACCCCTGCTCTACAAGTAATAATATACAGGTACTCCTTGAGTTACAACAGTCACGGAGCCTGCCCATTATTGTTGAAAGTTGAGATAACATTAAATGAGCCACATCATTAATCACCACCACTACCCATCCCTAATCTTCTGAATGCATTTGTTAAATGAATATGTGGGTCGTTAAATAAAGCATATGGTGACCTGGGTGGAACAGACTGTGACACCTAGTACAGGCACAGGCTACCTGCATTGGGCCTGCCAAGGCTTCTCCCTACCTTCTGAGATATCCTATATTTTGCTTCCTGCCCTTTGGGCATTCCTACCCCTCTCTTTTCACAATCACTTATCTTTTGAAGATATCCAGAGCTCAGGAAGTCAGAGTAGAGAAGGCCGCTTCATTGCTGGGCCCCATGGCACAACTGATAAAGAAATCCTGCCAATTTTGCTTTCCTGCTCTGTTCTGCTTCTCCAGTGCTACAAACACTAGCTTTATGCCAGCATTGGTAACCCCGGGGGAGGTGAGAAAGCAAAACTAGCAGTATCTCTTCTTGATTGTGCCACGTGGCCCAGCAATGGAACGATCTTCCCTACTCTGACTTCCTGAACTCTGGATATCTTCAAAAGATAAGTGAGCGAATGGTGACTGGGAGTAGGAAAAAGGAATGTGTGAAACCTAATGGTGTGACATAGCAGGGCCAGTGCCTATGGGGACCCGGTAGGGCAGGATGGTAGGGAAATAAGTTAGTAGGTGTGCTGTAGGGTCTCTGCAGTTGATCGTAAGGGTGAATGACCACAAAAGTGTTGCAGGGATCGTAAGTTTGAAATAGGTCTGTATGTAGCTTTTGGGGGTTGTGTTGTAATATTGAACAGTCATTAAATGCCATATCATACCTTGAGGACTACCTGTAAGTCTATACAGTCTACTAGCCTTGGTGCTTAAATGTACACTTTTCTATGAGTACACACGGGGATCCAGAATTACGGTAGCTATGTGTGGATGTGCGTAATAGTTACATGCAGGTAGTCTCCAATTTATGACTTTTAAATAGTTTAATATTTAAAGAATTTAACATTGAAGTTACAACACCACTCAAAAAAGTGATTGATTTTTGCAGTGACCTTATAGTCATGTGATCAAAATTTGGGCACTTGTCAACCAGCATGCATTTATGATGGTTGCAGTGTCCCAGGTTCATGTGATTGCCATTTGCGACCTTCCCTGCCTGCTTCCGCCAAGCAAAGGCAATGGGAAAAGCGGAATTCATTTAACAATCAGGGGAAACAACTATGGCAAAAAAGTTTTAAAATTGGGTATGACTCAATAACTGCATCAGCTAATGATGGAATTGTGATTGTAAGTTGAGAATTGCCTAAATCTGCATTTGCTTTTGAATATGGATCTTCATTATCAAGTTGCTAGCCATTTGTTTTAGGGTTCATGCCATAGTTGACTTCAGATACAAAAGTTGAAAATCCTTGCAAGGGTCTTTTTAAAAAAACATTTTCACTTCCTAAAATAAAGCTGACTTCCACAAGGGCTTTATATTTGGTAATAGAACTGAATGACCCTTCTCTTCAGAAGCAAGCTGAATTACCCACCTGAAGTGATCTCCCTTTGGTCTCTATTGGTAGAGTGAATGCTGAGATAGCACACACAATGCAAACCAAGGCAAAAAGGCACAGTGCCCCCAGGAAAGAAGCATTCATAAGTACCTACAATTAGATAATGTATTATTGCCATGTTGTGCAATTCTGACAATTCATCTGTAAATCCTTTCTGGCCTATTTTTTTTTTTTTTTATGGATTGAACCGTCTTTCAACAGAATTCCCTTTTCAGCCATGAAATGAACATACGTGGAGGAAGATAGCATGGAATTGCAATGCCAAACTTTTCTTATACAGGTAATCCCCGAGTTACAAGCGTTCACTTAATGCTCGTTTAAAGATATGTGATGAACGCCCCCTACTGCTTATGAGCAAGTCCCGAAGTTACGAATATTGCAGTACCACGGCAGTTGTTCGTCTTACGAGCAACCACAGTGGCTCTGCAACGTTCACTCTGGCTATTCTCTCCCTCCCTACCCCCGCCCTGGGTCTCCCTAGGCACCAGGCCTTCAATATCCTGTGAAGATTGAGATCCTTCGCTTTCTTGGATGCTCCAGGCCTTCGGTGTGTTTGCAGAAAATGGAGGCCTAAAGTAACGCGAGATCAGTGGGGCGAGATCTCACACTACTGATCTCATGTCATCTCAGGGTACTTTAGGCCTCCTGCAACAGAGAACAGAACCGAAGCTGGAGAATGCTGCTGTGTGTCTCCGGAGGCTGGATCGGGGCTCCGGAGGCCTTTTCCAGGGCACTGCAGCCTGGATCTGAAGCCGGAGGATACTTCCGCGACCTCCCCTCCTGTGGCCCGATCGGTGGTCCGGAGGCTTTTTCCAGGGTGCTGCGGCCCAGATCTGAGACCGGGGTAGGCTTCTGCGACACCCCCCCCTCAGCCCAACCAGGCTCCACAGGCCTTTTCCAGGCCCAATCAGGCCATGGGGGGATCACAGAAGCCTCAGATTCAGGCTGCAGTGGCCTGGAAAAGGCTGCTGGAGCCCGGATCGAATTGCGCAGGATGCACAGAACCGTTCCCCAGCCTCAAATCCAGGCTGCAGCAGGAACCGCGGCAGAGAGGAGTGATCTTTTCCAAGTGAGTCTGGCGCGGCGGGAAGGGAGGGGGAAGCTCCATTTCACTTGTAACTCGAGGACTACCTGTACACACAACAGAGGTGGAAAGCTCTCTATGCATATAATTAATGAAAATTTTTTCATGGTGGATATGAGGAGAAGGAAACTTGCTATCACAATGTTGCACATACATGTAAGAATAAATTATAGCTTTAAAACGGTTTTAGTTAGGAAAATACAAGGCTACTGCTTTAATTTAAGTAAAATGTTACATAATTCATTTCCTCCATACAAAGCTCTATGGGACTGCAAAGTCTTCTCTAGCTAAAGAAAAGTTTCAACATCTTTTTTCATTTCTTTGAAATGATGTAGCTGGTTTTTAATTACACTATAAGTCACTTTGAGCATTGTACTAAAGTAGAAAAGGATTATACATTTTTATTTATCACAGCACAGGCTTTTGTGAACTACTTGTAATTAACATTTTTAAACAATCTTGTCCGTTTTTAAATGTTTACCATCTTTTTCCTTTATTTATGTCATAGCCAAAACAGGATTCTGCATTTTGAATACATTAGTATCAATTTAACTTCCCTGATGTCCCTTTTCTTCCAAACGTTCTGGAAAAAATAATTAACTTATAAAAAAACACCCAAAATCTTACAAATCTGAATCTTGAAACATCCAGCAATCTATACAGTCTACTAAAAATATTGGGACTGGAATCTATTCTTGTATATGCAGTGAAATTATTAAACAAAAGATGTCTTACTTGTGCTATAAAAGGTGCTACCATAGCACCTATACGACATAGGGAGCCACTGGTCCCTAATCCAATGGCTCTCATGGTGGTAGGATAAACCTATAAGACAGTAGTAAAAATATGTAAGCATAATATTTGTGATAAAGTATTGGATGAAGCAGGGTAGTATGGCATTAAGATCTTAAAAAATAATACTGATGATTCCAAATATAGTTCCAGAGAGAAAAGAATATAACTAAACCTTTTACAAAATTTACAGAATTTAGAGATAATCCCAGAGTTTTGTTGAATTTAGTTAAGTGTCCTGGAACCAAAATATTTTATTACCAATCCTCTAAATTTGATTCCAGTGCAGCACTTGAGTACAAAACATTAGCCCTCATTTTTAAGAACAGATTCATGAAATTACCAATGTTTAGAGAGATAATGATTTTAAAAAAACTTAAGAAAATTCAGTACAGTAAAATTTTAAAAAGTTATGTTTGAAAACAGGCAAAGAACTCGTACTAAGTTATAGGTGTTAACATATTGGTTCCTGTCTATTCTGGTTTAGGTTGAAATGCCATATTATTTTATGTGGAATTAAATAATAAACTTGGTGAGATTTCTGAGTAAACTGGCCAAAGACTGCCCTGTTGAATAGAAAGGTTATAAAAAGAGGCTTGTTCAGAAACATAATTTAGGTAGTTTTCCACTTTGCAATTCAAGAAATCAGGTGGGCCTTACCTCCGCTGTGTAAATATAGATAGTATTGAAATTTGCAGCTACAAAAGCACGCAGCATAAAGAGGAAACCAATAAGACCAGTACTAGAATAAAGAAAAGATATGAAGAAAACAATATAATAATATAATACCAAAGCCTAATAGTTTACTAGTGTGTCCCACTTATGTGACCTTGGACAGTTTGAATGGCTATTGAGGGAAAAAGACAGTTCCAGTTTTTCATGTGGCCCCTTGGGAAAATTATTTGCCCAACCTGAGTTATAATAAATAGGAGAAGCCACATGTTGACTGAGGAGATAGAGCTTTAGTAGCTACCAATCAACAGCATTGGCAAAACTACATAGTTTTACACATACACAAATATTTAAACACATGTCCAAGCTGTTTGTTTCATTGAAACATAATCATTATTTAACTTCTCATAACATCAGCGCATTCCTTGGTATTTCTATCAGATGAAAGAACTGACTTTCATCATATAATATGTTAACACATAAAAACTGAAAAATCAATACATTTCAGGGAGGCAATCAATCTGTCAATTCCTTTTTTCGTTTGTTCACACTGAGTCTCATTGTAAATTTTTACAGTAGAGTAGGCATCAGATGGTATAAAGAAAACCTTGGCAATCAATTACTCTATCCAAACTGCCATTCACAAACATTCTCTGTTGGTACCAACTCTGTTTATTGCTATAGACTATACTAATGTGAAGATCTACAAATTATCCATTTATACTCACTATCTGTTGTTTGTGGAAAACTCTCAGTTTACATTAAACCGTTGCTCTAATTATTATACGATGGCAATTTGGAAATAAACCTCCATTTGGTTATCGATGACAGAAGCTTGCAGATACAGAGCTTTTATTATACACATTAGAAAACTACAACATTACATTACTTTTCAACACCAAAGATGCTTTTTCATGGGGCAACTGGACTTTCTTGTTTTTTCTTTGAAGACGTTTTTTCTTCTCATCCAAGAAGTTTCTTCAGCTCTGACAGTTCATTTGCGTTCTTTTAGTGAGTTGTTTAAGTTACCTGGAGGCTTATCTGTATCTTCAGGGTCACCTGATAGTGCAAATGGGTGTAGAGCCTTCTTGGAACTGTTGAAAGGACTGTGTTGTAGATTGGAGATAGATGATGTTGTATCCCTCCCCCTCTGTTGAGAGTGGGCTGTTCAATTCTGACATAGATGGACTCTTTGACCCCTCTTTCAAACCAGCGGTCCTCTCTGTCCAAAATGTGGCCTTTGTCTTTTAAATGCAGATGGGCTGCTGACTCTTGTTCTGATGGGCTTGTTCTCCTATACGTTTATGAAGTTGTTGTTTCGTTTCCCCAATGTACAGATCTGTACATTGACCGCTGGTTTGAAAGAAGTCAGCATGCCCCGACATTTCACAGTAGACTTCTGAATTGATGGTCGAATCACACTCCATGAACTTCACTAGCAATACTTCTTTGGTATCTTCACATTTAGTGGGATTTCTATGGCACCACTTCTGGTGTGGTGTTGGTTCGTGGTAATGCTTGCCCTCACACTGATAGACGCACCGAAGAACTCTTGAAGCAGTTCCATTGGGATGTTTTTGATCACCCTACCATAGCCCAGATTTGGCACCGAGTGACTACTACAAAGGAATTTCAAACCTTGTAAGACATTATGACAAGTGCCTCAATTTGAATGGTGATTATGTCGAAAAGTAATGTAATGTAGTTTTCCTTTTTCTTTTTTAAATATATTTTATTGATTTTTTTACAATAGCAATCTTTAGTGCTTAGTAAATAGCATGTTGTATGGGTTCATATATTTAAAAACAATAATAATTAATTTCTATAATTCCGTAATCAATATATTAATTAATGATGTATTTCCTTGATCTTCTCTTCTTCCAGTAGTATTCTCCTTTGTCAACATTGTAAACAAATATAATGTTTAATACTTTTGATATATACCCGGTTGGATATAAACATTTTTCTTGTGTTTGTACAAATAACAATAACATCAACATATAACATTTTTTCTGATCGACTTATGTTTCAATTATATTTGTAAAAGTCATCTTTAAATCACTCTGTGTCCTATTTTCAAGATTCTTATTTAAGCTTGTTTTCCCCTCAGTATTCAAACCATTCTTATCAGTCATAATTTTCTAATTTTCTTCATTTCTTCATTCACATCATTCCAATATTTTTACATTTCATATATTATAAAAAGTACTATACTACTTATATATCTTATCCCTCTTACTGTAGAGACCCTTTATATCCAAAATTTATCTATTCTTTTAACCATATTGAAACAAGTATTTAATCATATAGTGCTCCATCTGGTGAGTTGAATCAAATCTCTTGAATCTAACTCTAGCCTTCTTGTTTTCCAAATAGCTTTCCAAGTCAGAATATTTTCCTTGCTTGTGAGTGTTGTTGAGAATGACAAAGACAAATTAAGTAGGATGTACATTTTTTGTCTCCCAAACTCTAAATGATTCTCCTGGCTGCTCTGTAATCCATTTTGTTAGATCTTCTTTCTTATCCTCAAGTTTGTTTTGAAGTCCTGAAAGATAAAATATCTTTTTCATTCATTCATGTTGTGGCAAAATCTTGCAAATTTTCTTTTGTTTGTATTAAGCTGTAGTTCTCTTCATTTGTAGCTTCCATATTTGGGTCACTTTCCTCTGGTTTATATTCTGTTATCTGATTTGTTTGTTCGTTCTTTGTTGCCATTCTCTGAAAGTTTTTTAATTGTAAGTTTAGTTGAAGATGTGCTCATTTATGTCATCAAAGTTGTTTTTAATCTCATGGGTTGAAACAATTGTTATTTGAATCTGTCACAACATTGCATACATTTCTCCTGGAAAGTATTTGCCTTGTCTTGGAGTGTTGCTCCTGCAGATCTCTGATGTTCCAGGCTGGGGCCTTCAGAAGGGAATATTAGGTGTGGTTTCCTGTCACTTTTAGATAGGTATGCAACATCCATATTGTCTCCCCCCTCCAGATAGTCTTTCACTGGTACCATAGTCTCTGTGATTAGCCTTATCAAATCAGCCAATCATAAAATCCAAACAACCAAATCTTATATAGTTCTTATCTTTATATATGGTTTTTGTAATCCAATGTGTTTCCAATTTGTCAAAGCACCATTGAAAGCAGTGTTTTATAACAGTTCTTCTGTTCAGGAGTCTTACATTTATCAACCAGCCAAAATTGCAGTCCAGGATGTTTAGCCACCTAAGAGTTTTCCAGTAACTTCCCCCCAGATTAGCCAAAAGCCAAGGTTTTTCTTTCTCTGCAAACAATTCTTGAGCTTAGAAATCACAGCTCAGTAAGTATTTATAATCCCAGAAGGTCAGCAGTTTTTAAAACAAATGTGGCTCTCACTCTGTAGTAGATAGCCCAGTATATTTTCTTTCCTCCGTCAGCTGTTCTTTATTTGGCTAAAGTCTCTGAGGTTCAAAGGAAGAAGTTTTTCCTCTATTTCTGGGCATCTTGCCAATTTCTGAGTCAATGCGGCTGTAGTTTTATGCTCTAATACTCCAATAGATGTCAGTAGCTATTTTCCAACTTTTAAGACAAAAAATTATTTTCTTGTGATTTCTTATAATTTTATCAATACTCTTTCAGATGTGGAATCTTAGCAGTTTTCATAATTTTCAGATTTATCCAGACTGTAGTATTATTAACTTCATTTCAATATATTTCTATCCCCCATAAACATTAATTCTCTGCTTCTGTCTATGGAAGGGTAGGGGTAGTCCCCTCCCTTCTCACTTTCTGAGGATTTTTTTGCTTCTTGGAAATCTTTTCCAGGAAATCAGTTACAAAATAGGAGAGAGAAGTTCAATATTCTCACCCAGTTCCAAGCACGCTGTTCACAGTTGTCCTGGTTAATGCTTTTGGACTTTGGCTGACGGTAGCTTGCGCTAGTCAGCAAGGTGTGTGGTTAGCCATTCTGGAGAGCTTTCCCAGCTCAAACAGATCGACTGCCGTCGTTATGCAATCAGGGGGGGGGCTCTCCTTTGTCGCCTGTCTGGGGCGACCTTTGACACATTTAGGTTCCCTGGCAGACCAAAACCAGCCATGGGGTGTGGAGCCCTGCAATCCCTCGGCTGTGTCACTACGATACAAGACCAGAAGTAATGTAATGTAGATTGCCAGTCCAGATAGGAAAGAAAGAAACTTTATCAGTGTTGGTGTAAACAACCACAATTTTCCAGCAAGTTTGCACCAGAGAGAAACACAGACTAGTCCTTATTTATTTTAGAGATACACAGTTATGGTCACTACATTTACCCTACTTCCTTGTTCCTTTTCTTCTCCTGTCATCAGTTGATCATAGGGTATCTGAGCAGAGACCTTGTATTTTGCATTCTATAAAACATTTTTTTCCCAACCAATGCTCTCAAAATTTGTTAGAGGTCATCTCCCATAATTCCCAGTCAGCGTACTGGGGAATGCTACTGTAAAAATCCACACAATACTGATTATACATTGCTGCAACTATTTTTCACACATAGCCCCCCCCCATTTTTAAACAAGTTTTATTAGTTTTTTCATTTTACAAACCAGTGCTTAAGAATCACTGTGGTGGCAGGGCAATCAATTGTCCAAATACAAAATCATACTCATAAAGATCAAATTAAATCATTTTTTTAAAAATGCACCCCTCTCTATTCCCTCTAGTAGTATATTATATTCAAGTTAATATATTTCAGTACAACTAACTCAGTCAAAACAGTCATCAATAAGATTTCATCTAAATAAATCCAAATCCTATATTAAGCTTTACTATTTCAATTGCTATATTCCATGTTGGTAACATAAATACATAATTAACACTTCAAATGTCTCTCCATACCTTTTTCCCCCATTAACACAATCAATATTTATTTATTAATAACATTCCTTCTTTTTTTCTTAATCAATAACATTTCATCTAAATAAGTCCAAATCCTGTATAAAGCTTTACTATTTCAATTACCATCTTCCATATTGTTATTCTAAATACATAATTAATGCTTTGGGTATCTCCCCATTCCCTTTTTCCATAACATAATAAATATTTGTTAATATCATATCTTCTTTTTTTCTTTCTTATTCTTCCATTACAAAATAGCTATCATTCCTAATAGTAAAAATATTAATTCAAAAAAGAAAAGAGAAAAGAAAAAAAACCTATCATTCCCTCAATATCTGTGTCAAACTCCTTTAACCTCCTCCCAAAATTACGATTACCACATCAAATCTACTAATATAGAGACAAATGTCTTCTTATTAAATTCAAATCTTAAATTAATTTTTATTCAATCTAACATCTTATTTAACCATTTTAAGCCATAAATCAATCCATATCTAGTAAGCCTTAAAATCCAATATATAGAGCCTTAGATCAAAACTCTTAAATCTTATTCTAGGTTTCCTTTTATGCCAAACAGGTTTCTATAACACCGCCTCTATATCAATGAATAAATCATTTTTTATGCCTTGTAGTATCCTTTGAATCAAACAAGAGCGTCTCCTTTTCTGTTTTAAAGACCTAGCTCATTTGTAAGTAATCCCTTGTTGTTTTAAAGAGTCAAGTTTCCACATTTGAAATTGTTGAATAACAGGCTCAATTATGTCCAATTTTGTAGTTAATAGATGCTTATCCAAGCTGCCATAGTTTTCAGTTAGTTGAGCTTGTCTGTTCATTTCTGTTAATTTTAAAGTTGTAAGTGATTCAATTACAGTTTTGGTTCCTCGGAGATCTCATCAGCAAGCGTATAAAATAAGGTAGAATCTTCTTTGATCTTAGTTGATTCTGCTTCTGTTGTTTTTTGATCTATAAAATACTCAGATGTAGTCTGGGGGTCAGTTTGTAAGTTCAAAGCAAAAAGTCTGTTTTTATTGCCATAGTAACTCTTTTATTTGGAAATGTATTTGGTCAGTAGCTTCGTAAAGTTTTTCCAGTATAAGTTTATAGTCAAGTTGAACATTAGATTTCTCCATTTCAAGGAAAGTTAGAAACAATCTGTATCTTTGGTAGAGGCTGTGTTCAAAGAACATTTAATCAGTATCCACCCCCACAAATACAGCTGTTGAATTTCTTTGTCTTTTCCTTTTTATGGTAGTCTGAAGGTCAAAGCCAATCTCACCAACAGAAAAAGAAATAGTGCAACTTTAACTTTATCCACAAGGTGTCCTCAGTAGAATATAAAATCTCCTCCCAGACACCAGAAATATCATTAACAAGATCAGAAAACGTAGAAAAAAATAGAATTCTTCAGATGTAGACAAAGTCCAATAGTAAATAATATTCAATATTAAAAAGATTTTCCAAGACTCCAAAGTGAATAAAAAAAAATTAAGTAAAAATAAAAAGGCACTTTAAATTAATTCAATCCATAAGCTTCTTTTTCCCACACTCACCAACGCCGCCTTCTCAGAGCATGGAAATGATTTCAAAAGTGCTTTTTACAGGCACACACACACACACACACACATACACACACACACACACAGGAGAACCAAGAGAGGAAGAGAAAAAAGTCTCACCCGGCTCAGCCATGGTGGTTCCTGTGCTTAGATATTTTTCTGACTTCTGGTTTCAGCGGCTAGGTGAGCGGCCATTTTAGTGGCCGCTCTTTCTACCGTCGGCCCAAAGGAGCAATCTCAGTCCTTGGAAGAAGCTGCCGCTCTCCCAAGAACCTCCTCACCGGTAGCCATCCCTCCAAGGCAGCTTTTCAACCCAATTAAGGGTCTGCCGGCAGCGGAGAATCAGCTGGCGAGGAGAGCAGTCTCTTCGCCTAGCTGTGAGTGCCGCGATCCAGAACCGGAAGTCTCTCCCCCCCCCCTTCTGTTTTTGAAAATGAAAAACAGAAGGGGTCTCTGAATCAGATCAAGACCAGTTTTGTCTTGGAGCTCCTGGGAAACTCACAAAGATGGTCCTCTTTCACTGGTGTTCTCCAGTATGTTTCCTCTGAACTTTGGGGATATCATAAGTCATTATGTTTGTGTAATAGCAAGTTATTCCAAAAAATGAACACATTTCTGCTTTCATCCTTTGGATATTGTCAAATGTATAATTCCTGCCTGCAATAAATTGTTCTATTAAGCTAAATTATTTTAAATTTTAAGAGCTCAATGAATCATCATGTCCATTTCCCAAAATATGGTTGACAACACCAGAGGCTAGAAGATGTTGCAAGCATTGGAAGCCAAGCCATTTCATCATACTATGCTCCAAGACACTTACATTGTGGTGCATATATTGAGGAGAAGAAAGAAAACAGCAGTGCATCCCATTGTTATTGTCAAGCTCACTCGTCTTCCCAGGAAGTTGATGCCAAGAATATTTAAGGGATTTACTAAAAAAGAAAAGAAGGGGGAAAAGCTGTCAAATTGTCAAATTAAATTAATTAACCAAGCCATTATTACATAATTATCACACACGCACATATAGGCATACACCCCTACCGCATTAGGGAAGATTCTGTTAACTATTTTCTTCATTGTTTCCCTACAATTATTTGAAAACTATAAACGGGGACTTTGCAACAGAACTTCCCATCAGCATCTCACTCAATATTTTTCAATCTTGGCAACTTGAAAATATGTGAACTTCAGGAGCTGAAATTAGTGAGTTTAAGGGCTGTTCTGGCATTCCTAAATTAATTAATAAATTAATGAAAGCAGCTGACAGCAGCAAGTGAACTGTTTTTCATACAGAATTCCTAAATTTTCATCTCTGTATGTCTGTAAATCTCTCTCTGTATGTATGTCTATACTGTAGTTGTGGGAGGTAACTTTAGGGTCTCTCTCCCGTTCTCCATATTTATTTCAAATAAAGGCAGAAGGGAAAAAATTACATGCAATTTCTCCTACTGTGCTGATGAACATGATCTGATAGTCAGATGGTGCAAAGGTATAGCAGAGACAAGGGCTCTGAAACTCATCCTGAGTATGGCCCAGCTCTGCCTCTAAAGCTGATCCTTCTCCTGTTGTACAAACCAGATCCTTCTCCAGTAATTCTGCACTGGCCAGGATGACACCATAATAAGCAAAAGAAATTCCAAGCCTACCATAGAAAACAAAAGGGGTTAGCAATGGGAAACAATCATTCCTTAGAATACTTAATAAAGATAATATGGACATCTACAGGGTACGTTTGATAGTCCCAAATAGAACAAGAAAGGGCTTCATGGCAGCATTCAAACTAATTAACAGCACACCACGCTATTAGGGGATTGATAAATAATATTAATTACCTAAACAACTTCCAATATGCAAGGATGAAGAAAATGTTTGCTATTGAACTAAGCAATTCAAATAATTCCAGAAATTCTTTTGTACTCCTCACTAAATAGTTCAACTTCTCATAACTTAAATTGATTCAAAATTTTGCATTGATCCTAATTCCAGAGTAGAAGAGCAACAAAGTAACTGCAAATATGTTGCCTCTTTATTTATTTATTTATGGGACTTATATACCGCTTTAAGTGCAAGCACTCTCTAAGCAGTGTACACCAGTAAGCAATGTATATATATATTTACATTGCCCCCAACAATCTGGGTCCTCATTTTACCTACCTCGGAAGGATGGAAGGCTGAGTCAACCTTGAGCCGGTGAGATTTGAACCGCTGACCTGCTGAACACAGTCAGCTAAGGTGGCCTGCAGTACTGCACTCTAACTGCTGCGCCACCTCGGCTCTTCTTGTTCTTTGCCCACTTTAAGGCTTCAAATGAATTAGGTACAGATCAAACTTTAACTGGCTAGAAAATCCAAATTATCTGTCTATGTTACATAGTCACTTATCTTTATATTTATGCTTATAAGCCTGCATTTTAAGATACAGAAGAAAACATCACAGCTAATGCTTATATTTTTTCTACACTGGGTTTCAATTGTATTTTTATTGCACAATCTGGAATATACAGTATGTTTCTATTGTCAAGACTATATTGGCATATGAATGTGGCACTGTGTATATATACTGAGTTTTATTCACTGATAATTTTCTAATCCCCCCCATTGCTTAAGCAATGAAGAAACTCAATGCATGACATAACTCCAAGAACATTAAAAGATTTCATATAAATAATGCAATGCACAGATCAAGCGACTATGTACATTCATCCATATGTTTCAACAGTTCAGTACATTGGATCAGGTAAATTAAGATGGATTGACTAAATCTCTTAGTTATAGCCATAGGGCTATCTCAATATTCATGTAATTTTCTTGCCTGTTTTGCTTTTATTTTTATTCAGATTTTTTTTCCCATTCAATCATGTACAATTCTCAGAGAGTGCCTAGACAAGTCCCTACAGTTTTCTTGGCAGGGACATCACTTTCAGAAGTGATTTGTCATTGCCACCTTCCTAGGGTTCAAAGAGAAGACTAGTCCAAGGTCACCTAGCTGACTTTGTGCCTAAGGTGAGACTAGGAATTATAGTTTCTAGTCTGATGCCTTAACAACTACACAAAACTGTCTCTTTTATTCAGATATTCATTTCCAAATTGGAAGAAAGAATAATAATTTTATCAAAATATATCAACTGCATTGAAGAATGCATATGGAAGCTTTCTGATCTGGTGCTATTCAGATGTGCTTGGAGCAATAATTCTCAAAATTCCCAGGCAGCATGCCATGAGTGTAAACAACAGCTACGATAAATTTTATTGGTTAGAGTTTATATTTCTATGTGTCAAATGGATGGAACCATGAAAAATGCCTGGCTGGAGAAGACCAGTGCAGAGAATCCTGTACAAAATCGAATGAATGTAAGCTAAATTACTATAATTGCTTGGTATTCTGATTAACTTTGGAATAGTAGTTTTTAATTCTTAAGATAATCAGAGCTGGGAGCTGTAATAAAGACAAAAGAAATCTAAATTTTCCTTTTAACATTCATCAATTTTACTTTGTGCACTGTAATTTAAAAGAAGAAAATCATCTAAATTTACCATATAATCCATATTTGCAAAGATGTCCGTAAGTATTTGGGATCAAATAGGTCTTTGAATCTACCTCGTTTTTCCTGGAAATAAAGGAACAATCAGAAATACACTAGATATGTGCTGCTGAAATGCTGAAGACACATCCCAAGCTTTGAAACCCTTTGTGAATTATAACCTAACTTTTCAGTTCAATAACTCCTGGTAGCACCAACAAACATAGGCAAGATGAAATTCAGAAACATCGGGAAGGCCACATATTGGGCACTCTGGAGTTGACTACCATATTCACTTTGTTGGACTATAGATTGTACAATACATACTACTATTGTATCATACATTGTGTCAACAATGGAATATAAGAAAAGAAGAGTTGGACCAATAATGGTTTCTTGTTTTTTGTAATGTCTAGTAAGTTAAATTCCATTGATGTGAACAGATAGTTAAGCATCATTGTTTATGGATTTAATTAGTTTATTTAAGGAGACTTTGTCTTTTGGGTGACCAAATCTGCTGTCATTTTCCTAACAATTCCTATGATAGTTTAACACAGTATTTCTCAATCTTGGCAGTTTGAAGATATGTGGACTATGCTGGCTGGGGAATTCTGGGAGTTGAAGTCCACACAACCTCAAAGTGCCAAGGTTGAGAAACACTGGTTTAATGGATGGATAATCAGCAGGTCAACTAATAATGGGGGTCAGACCTGCACCTCATAGTTTTGGGTATGAAAATATTGAAAAACTTACTTCAACAGCTTCTACCAACTTTCCTTCAGGCATAACAGAACGGTTCATTTTAGCAATCCACTCAAGGGTAGCAAGGGCTGCGTTATCATTTCCACAAGATACATTATATCGAGCAGACTCGGGGATAAACTGCAAAATACAAATGAGTTAGATGAACAAGTGCCAGCATTTCCAGCATACCATCAATCTTATAGTCTTATTGTAATAAAGACTGGATTTGATGTAGAGTTTGTTTTAGCAGTAGAGCGTTCAGGTCAATATGATGAGTCACTGCAGAACAATTCATGCAATTCATTCATTTCTGTCCACACAAGTCATTTTTGGAAAGTCTTATCAGAAAGCAATAGAATGTGCCAATTCACAAATTACAATTATAGGTAGAAACAATTCCAATAAACCCGAAAGATAATGAATACTAGTGCTTATATATGTAATTACAAGTCTACACATTTGTCTGAATAAAACGTGTGGCCAAACAGAATGGAAGCATAAACATTTTGTATAACTTAGCTCAGAGAATAATGTAAAATAGACTGTTTCTTAGCCAGAAATTTACGGCAACAAGTCAATAGGATACAATTGGTATACAAGGCTTTGAAGCCACATCTTCATACCTTTGTTCCCATTTAACTATGAAGGACCTTTCCCTCACTTGCAAATTAAGTTGGCACCAGACAGCCTTTGCAATATCTGAATTCCTGCATCACCCAATATCAGACTTAGCTTTTCTGTAACTCCCAATGTTACGGTCTTAGGCAAATTCTTCCAATCTCAGAAAATAATTATCTGTCTTAGCAATGAAATGTCCCCAAATAACCCCTTGAAGGGTTTATGAGAAGGGTTGATCAACGGTGTGGCAGAATGTGGCCAGGCAAATGGGAATATGTGGTCTGTCTTTTCTCTTAAGACTCAATACAGCAGGATATACCAGCTATGGAGTTCCAAGAAGGCTCCACACACGTTTGCATTACCCAGGTGACCCTGATGTCTGATAAACCTCCAGGTGGCATCAACAACTCTCTAAAAGAATGCAAATGAACAGCTGCCTGCAAGGAATATAAATCCTTCCATTCCCCACCATCCAGTCAGAGCTGAAGAAGCTTTTTGGATGAGAAGTGAAACGTCTTCAAAGAAAAATAAAGTCTAGTTGCCTTGTGAAAAAAATATTTTTGAGATAAGGCACCAGGTTAGAAACTGGGAGATTGTAAGTCCTAGTCGTGCCAGTTTGGTTATCTTGGGCCAGTCCCTTTCAGCCATAGGAAACAGGCAATGGAAAACCACTGCTGAGCTCTTGCCAAGAAAACTGCTGGTCCAGGCAGTCACCAGGAATCAAGACTGATTTGAAGATAGAAACAATTTATGGCAACAATTTTTGACAGTTAATAATAATAATTTTTATTTTGCGGTCACAGACCAAAATAAAAGTGCAACAAAAGAAAACACAAGAAAAATATAATCACAAACAATTAACACCAGAAGCCTTGGCTAAGGGGAATTACAATGTTCTCCTCTAATAGTTACAGCTCTTAAAAGAAATTTAGAAACCTGAGAAGTAATATAGGAGGAGTTTATGACAGTTACCGTCACAACTTGCAGGAGTTCCACACAAGACAGCTTGGAAAACTTTGGAGCTTTTGTTTGCATAATTTATAATCAGTCTTCTGTCACATGACATCTTGTTATAAAAACATGTTTGGATTTTGGGAAAGCCACAGATATATTTACTGGAAAGCAATGATTAGAAAGTACTAGATATTTTATTTCCTTTTTCTTTATAATACATTTTTCTTTGATTGTTTTGGTTGTTATTTCTGACTGGTGGTAGCTCTAGGAATTTCATTTCTTTAACACTTTATTAGAAATAGGATATTCTTACATTACATATAAAATACACTGGAGATTAGAGCTGGAAGGGACCTTGGAGGTCTTCTAGTTCAGCCCCTCGCTCAAGCAGGAAAACATATATCATCTCAGATAAGTGATTCTCCAGTCTCTTCTTAAAAATCTCCAGTGATGGAGCACCCACGATTTCTTTTTTTTAAAACACATTTTATTGTTTTTTTTCCCTTTAATTCTTAAGAAAAAGTACTCAGGACACACCGTGGTGTTTGGGTAATCAAACATTCAAAAGTGAAAACATATATAAACAACTCAACTCAGTACATTCACTATCCCCTCTCTATTTCCCTCAAATAGCATAATACATTTAAAATATTCCATTTCTAATTTAATTTTCTATTACTGCTAAACCTGTTTTAAAACTTTGTCAATTAACAATTAGCATAATCAAATTTAACTTTAAATCAACAAGTTATCAATTCAGGTATCCCTTCCAGATATATTCTAATTCTTAATTTCTCATATCCCTCATTTTATCACCAATCTCATTTATTTCTTCTTCCACAATAGATATCCTAATTAAAATAAAATATTAATCTACCCTATTCATATATAATCCCACAATCGATCAATCTCTTTAAGATAACAAAATAATGTTAAACCTTAAATCATTTCAATTCATTAAACAAAATTCAAATTTCATCCAGTTGATTATCATGCCTTATTACATCTATGTTATCATATAGAAAGATCATTTACTAATTTAAAACACTCAGTTAATTATTGAAACCATCCAAATCTAAAAAGCCAACATTTTTTCAATTCCAATGCATAATAATTTTCAACAAAATAAACCTATTATTCCAAAAGGTACATTCTTAATTATTTAAAATATCTATTCTAATAATCACCCTCCTATATTTTTTTCTTACTTCTAACTCTAAATCTTAATCCTTAAAACAGTCCATAAATCCAACATTGCCTTTTAATCCATTACACAATTTTAAATTTCTCTTTTCAGTCTGATACTGGCTTTTTTTGTGTGCCAGGCAGGTTTCCATAACCGAGCTTCCCTTTCAGCCAGTAGATCTATTTTTGTTGCTTGCAGTGACCTTTGAAAGGATAGGAGTCCCATTCTCTGCATTAGGCATCTATTTCTCTCATCCTTAAAGCATCGTTGCTTTATAGTTTCAAATCTCAGTCTTTGCTTCTTCTGTTCCTCAAAGTTACAGATGGAAAGTTTATAAGATAGAATAAGTTCTTCTTTTATCTCTGTTGATTCCCCTTCTAGTATGTTTTGATTTATAGAATAGTCAGATTTAGTCTGGACATCAGTTTGAATGTTTGAAGTGAGATTTCTGGATCTTAATTCTGTAGTAAACTCTTTCATTGTAGCACATATTTCTGCAGTAGCCTCATAAATCTTTTCCAATATAAATTTACAGTTTAATTGTAACTGAGGTTTCTCCATTTTGATAGTAATTAAAAAGAGTCTCTTTTTTCTTTTTTGTGGAGGCTATATTTAATAAAAGTTAGGCAGTGTCCACCCCCACAATTCCCACAGCTGCACAGCTTATCTTTTCTCTTCAAAAATAATTTGAAGGTCAGGTCTATTCCATCTTCAAAAAGTAACCAGAAGTTGCAATATTAAGTTTTCGCCACTAGATGTCCTCAGTAATTTAAAAAGAATCTTTTCCAGACACCATTTCCTTTTTTCTGTCTTTTAAAGTATAATGTGAAAAAAGAAATAATATTCCAGCATAAGATGATAGTACAGTTCTTAGAAAGAGAAAAAAAATTCTGTACCCCAAAAATATGGAAATAAAATATAGTCTTTAAAATTTTGTTCTATTTTTATACAACGCCTTTCTTCCCAAACATGTAGAAGCTGCTTTTTCAAGCCAGGGAAATAATTCTAACAAGGCTCTTACAGGCACAAAAAACAAAATAGAGTAGAGAAAGTAACAAGGAAAAGTCTCACCCGGACTCACCACAGGGGTTCTTACAGCTTAGATGTTCTTTGACTTGAGGTTTGAAGCGGCAGGGTGATCGGCCGTTTTACTGGCCGATCTTCTCCGTCAACCCTCAGAGATAGCTCGGACAGCTGGAGGAGCCGCCGCTCCTCCGCAGCCGAGCAAAGCCTCCTCGACAGAAGTCACACCCTCCAGGGTGACTTTCAACCCGCATACGGGTCTACTGGCGGAGGGAAGCTAGCCGATGAGGAGACAAGTCTCTTCATACAGCTAGAGGCGCCGCGATCCAGAACTAGAAGTCGAGCACCCACGATTTCTGAAGGCAAGCTGTTCCACTGGTTAATTGTCCTCACTGTTAGAAGCTTTCTCCTTAATTCCAGATTGCTTCTCTCTTTGATTGGTTTCCAATCATAGTTTCTTGTCCTGCCCTCTGGTGCTTTGGAGAATAATTTGACTCCCCCTCTTCATTATCATCAATTACTTCAATTGGTGGGAAAATTACTAAGAAAATTTCAATCAGAGAGAAAGTTTTTTCAAAATGAAAGGATTGAAGTATAAAGTCTGGTCCTTTATACAATAAGTTTCAGATATGAGGTTAACCAGGGCTTTTTTTCTCATAGAACGCCCAGAATGGAGTTCCGGCACCTTTTTTGGATGGAACCTTGTAGGGTAGGCAAGGCGGGTTGTGTGATGTGTGTGAGTTCCAGCACCTTTTTTTTTTTTTTAGAAAAAAAGCACTGAGGTTACCTCTGCTCTCTTTTTTTGTGATAGGTTCATTCTCTTTAAGAGTTTCAAGCTAAGCATATACAACATTGCACTCTGTATCACAAACTAAATCTGTTGAATTTGACAGAAGAATATGGTTGAGCATTTTGCCTGATATAAGTGGATAATAATTTTGATAATTTCCCAGTATCAATGAATTTTTTATAAACAAGAAATGTCTACACACATACACGCACACACACACACACCTCTACCTAACTATATATGCAAACCTATCTTAGTTCTAAGTCTTTCATACCTTAAATGCAAGGAGAAGTAGAATGCCTGGAATAGAAGCAATTCGTATCAGCCACCGCCACCCAAGAGTTGGGTTAACAACTGATGCCAATCCAATAATTAATAAGGAGCCTGACAACCAAAATATCTGAAACAGTGGGACAAAAAGATAGATTAGGAGACAATGAGGTTTTCTACATCTTTACATTCTTTCAACATTCATATCTTTCTTCAAATTCTGCTGCTGCATAAAACATGACTAAAATATTGAGTTAAGCATTCCCACATCTAATTTTTTGGTACGTCAATACAGATTTTGATAAAGTAAGCAAAATGGTTATCAGCTTGGTTCTTGAAGCTTGAATGTCAGCTGTCAATCTTTCTCAGAATGTATGAACACTTCAATAGAGAATAAATTTCTGCGGCTGCAGAAGTAAGAATAGAATGTAGGCATTTCACAGACTAAAGTATAAATTTGTATAGAGCTAAAACACATGGATTTTTCCAATTATATTTAATATGTTTAACTATAGTTCCACTTTCTTCCCACTTGCTCATGCTAAATTGAAATCACCAAATCAATTATTCATTGTAAGAAAAATTAATACTGAATAAGGGAATAAACATTTCTTTGATTGGGACAGGCATAATGGACTTTCAACAGAACCCTGAACAATATCAACAATCACTTTGGAGAGTTCATGCAGTCCCATGATGGAGATGTCTGAGAAAGTTCTGTGGATCCCAGATTTTATTTACTTCAGACTATGTATTCCATACAGGTAATCTTCAACTTACAGCCACAATTGAACCCAAAATTTATGATGCTAAGCAAGACAGTTGTTAAGTGAGTTTTGCCTAATTTTATGACCTTCTTTGCCACAGTTAAATGAATCACTGCATTGTTAAAAAAAGCATGCTGCTTTAGAGTTGCCATTACTTGAAGGTCTCATCAGTTGAGGTCAGTTGTACCTTTATCCTCTATAAATTCAACTTCCTTGGAAAGCTATTCAAGTTGTTAGCTATCCCTACAACTTCTAGCAACAAATGCCATCATTGTAATTGTCCATTGGATGAAGAGGCACTTTAACTGTCCTGAATCTCTTATCATTCAGTTTTATTGGCTGACCATGACATCTTGTATAAAAAAAATGAAAGAACATTATCTACATATAATTGTACAAATATTTGCCTCTTATTAACCTTTTTTTCCTATTAAAACTCTAAATATTTTAATCCTTCCTAATAAGATAATTATCCAGTCTTTTGAACAATGTATTGCTCAAGATGAATTGGTATCTGGATATCATGGTAGAGAAAGCTCTTTCCAGATGATTACCAGCTATACAAGGACTCCCAGCCATACATGTTTTTCCATCTACTTTATAAAAATACAATTCAGGGTGATTCTTCTTTTGGTTTAATCCAAAAAAATCTAAGCACATAAATGGGATTTTTATTTAACACAATTTTCAAAATATTAAACATGTTGATAGTTGGCCTCCATATGGCCTCTTTGGCAGCAGTGACATAGACATTGTATTCACACACCCAGAAGTATGGTTTATTGGTATAAGTAGCAACATATAGATTTCTCAACAAATAGATTTCTGGCTTACCTGTGATAATGGCAAAATGTAACCACGGTATTTTGTGGGCAAAAATTCTGTTTTTATTATAAGCCTAAAGCAAATTAAGAAAAGAAGGTAAGAAAGTTAAGGAAAGACAAAGAAATGTATTAACTGGGTTCAAATATTAACCAGGTTAGTTTTAATGAAGGTTTGTTGAAGTAGCCATAATGGCTGAGTTCACACAATGTACCCATCCTAACAACCCAAACTAAACCAAACCAACAGACCCTAACTAAACCAAGGCAGACCAAACCAACCCAACCCAACCTAAACCAACCCAAACCAATCCTTTACTGATTTTTGTTTAACTGCAACACCTACCAATTCTAACTGAACTGTTTTATTTTAGGCTTAAACTTAGAACTTGATTAAGAGATATATCATAATTTGCCCTGGAAGATAATAGATGTCATATGCAATCTGCTGTTAGAACAAATCCCTTAGTACTTCTGGACTTCTGATCTCATGGTAAAATGTGCATGCATAGAAACATCGGAAGGTCCACAATATCACATGAAAGTGCTGATGTTTGTCCTGTTATTGTTTGCACCATGACATTACCCTTGTGAATGACCTGATACGCCACATCCCACAAGGGCTCGGAGAAAGACAAACCAGATGTACGAAGGAGAAAATGATGTCAGCAAAGAGAAATAGGCTCCCCATGCAAAAGAGATGATTAAAACCTGGAAGACAATGCATAGACAGGAAGACATTGACTTCAACGCAACATTCAACACTGTAGGATATTTATTTCAAGTTTTCCTTGTGGATGAGTTCTGAACATTTCCAGCTAATAAAACTATACTGCATATATAGTAACTATACTGCATATATGTTCCAGGTAAAATGCATAAAATGCCATGTTCATCTTTTATTATTTTTTATCCTGCCTTTATTATTTTTATAAATAACTCAGGATGGTGAACATACCGAATACTCCTTCATCTCCTATTTTCCCCACAATAACAACCCTGTGGTGTGGCCTGCGTTGAGAGAGAGTAACTGGCCCAAAGTCACCCGATTGGCTTTCATATGGCAAAGAAATGAATATAAATCTAAAAAGATAACTTATTTGATTGTTTATGATTAATTCTTTTAAATAAAGGGCTGTAAGATATATTGACAATTTTTGGTATACCATTATCAAATTGGAGTTTGGAAAAAAAAATAGACATGGAAGAAAACAAAAGGAATGAAAGAAACACAAATGAAAGTACAACTGCTGGAAGAGAAGGGGGGCTAAGGAGATAAATAAATGTTCCAACAGAATAAATGTGGAGAGCACAATGAACAATAATATGGAAACTCTAAGGCAGTGGTTCTCAACCTGTGGGTCAGGACCCCATTTGGGGTCGAATGACCATTTCACGGGGGTCACCAAACAACGCAGTCCACCATTTTTTTCCCCTTTTTCTTAGCTGTGCTACTCCCTTTTATTCTATTGGCTTTTGAAAGCCAATAGAATAGACTCTCTTGAATAGAGTCTAATTCTATTGGCTTTCAAAAGCCAATAGGAATTGTCCAGGCTGTCTCTGCCCTGCTGAGCCCGCCAAAAGTCCCATTCTGCAAACGGTGCTGCACTTACGACCGGTTGAGTAATCATCGACTTACGACCGGTTGGGGGTCGCGGCATTAAAAAGGTTGAGAACCACTGCTCTAAGGAACAAAGTGAAAAGAATTAAATTACAAAGTTCCCCAGAAGTCTATGTAGTTTTGCGGACAGGAAGTATGAAAAAGATATTCAGTGGAATGATGAGTTATAGATAAGAAAGTATGCATATAAAAATGCTTGCTTCAAAAAATAAGAAAAAAATGTTGAATAATATATTTATAAAGAAATGTTTGAAAATATTTCAAAAGCAGCGAAATGAGCAAGGAGAGAGAGAGAGAGAGAGAGAGAGAGAGAGAGAGAGAGAGAGAGAGAGAGAGAGAGAGAGAGAGGTTCCAAAGAAAACATATAGCATAAGTGACCATTGAGGACTACATGTATAGTTTTTTCTTTACCATATCTTTTTTTCTGCATTTTCTATCTTTTCATTCTTTTATCCTTTTCAGTTTGTATTGGTTTTTTAATATTTGTATCTGAACACTATAATAAAATTATTATAAAAAATAAGTGGAACAGTAAAAAAAAAAAAGAAAGAAAGCACTTACCTTCCAACGGCCAAATTTATCTGCTAGCATCCCAAATGTTACACTAGCCACCATGTAGCCAAAAAACACCATCTGAAAGAAAGTCATCAATTCCACATTTTACCTTTTATAGACTGTAAATGTACAGTTCCAAGCAATATCAAACAGTGATTTGATACACAAATTGATGAGAAACTAACATTAAAGTACCTTTAGCTCTGTCTTCCAATATCTGAACCTCTACCCCTACCACCCCAGATTTTTATTTGGCCAACTATTAATGCTATTAAATTAATATGAAAAATCAGCACAAGGGTGACCAGATTCTATTGTTGGTGTCACTAAGACAAAGGAAATGATAGCTTCCAAACAGACATGCCAGAGAAGGAACATGTTATACCACAGAGCCTTCTTAAATGTCAAGAGCCCGTCTTCAGACCCCCTCATCCAATTACTGATGCCTCAGTTCTCCACTGAGGTTGAAGTTTCCAGTTTCAGTAGCTGAAGGTCAGTTAAAGGCACTCTTTACAGTTCAGAATATTCACAAATGAAAAATATTATAGCCACAGTAATTTAAAAAGCAGGTTTAGGTGGTTATTATTTAGAATATTAAAAAAATGAAAGGAGTGAAAAGAATCATCACAAATATTCTTAGCTGAGCAGATGAAAATATATGTGGCCATTTAATTTGGGAGACCTCTTTTGGTTTGGTTTGGTTTTGGAGCCAAGGCTGACCTAACACATTTATACTAAGATATTCATAACTGGTCAAAGGGTTTTTGGAATCTGAATAAGAAAATTCTATAAGCACAGAAAAAAATGGAATAATGTCTCATAATGGTCCTAGTACCTCCTCCCCCAATGTTAGCCCAATGATCATGTGACCATAGAAGTTCTACTCACTGTTGTCACTAAAGCCACTTGCCAATTTTTAAGCTGCCATTCACACCGGATGACAGGACCCACTACAGCAATCAGCATGATTTCCATAGCTTCTACCACCTTTGGGGATGAACATATGAAATAATATTAAATATATATATATGCATGATTTTCAACATATCCAAGACACAAAGAGGGAATCATCAATTCTCATTCCATGTCTCCTATGCCTGTATAGTACTATTATAAACTCTGTGTTACTTCAGTATTCTGAAATGATGCTGTCTACAGCAGGGCTTTTCAACTAATGGTATGGGTACCACCTATGGTACATTGGCACCTGGCAGGTGGTATGTGACCATCCTAGAAAAGTGGTAGCAGGGTAAGGGAATGAGCTGAACTGGTGTCAGCACCGCACAAGCCTGAGCGAGAGATGGCTGGAGCTGCACGGCTGTCAGAGCTCAGTGGAAGCGCCAGGATCAACACCAGGCTCTAGCTAGAGCTCGGTGCTGATCCTGGTGCTTCTGCTGAGCCCAGAAGAAGCACCGATCAGCTGGAATGTTGCAGCATCTCCAGGGTCTTATGATTTACATTCAGATGCTTGGCAACTGATTCATATTTATGATGGTCACAGTGTCCCAGGGTCATGTGAAGTGACCAAAACCTGCTGCAACCACCCAGCAGACGGGGGGAATAAAAACCATACACCCCCCCATCCCACCCCCGCTGCCAATCCTCAACAGAAATGCTCACAACAATGGAAACCTCGGACAGGAGGAAGAGCGCTGCCGGGTGGGCAGGCAGGTGTCTTGCTCGGCTATGGCTTGGGGGGCACTATTTTCAGTGCCATTGTAAGTCACTAAGCGAACTGTTGTAAATAGAGGACTACCTGTACTTTATCACTTCACCCCCCCTTTTTTTTTGGTCTTGTTAGGCGACTGGTGGTACTCGGATATTGCCATATCCTAAAAGTGGTACAATCGGTGAAAAGGTTGAAAAACCCTGGTCTGCAGCTCTTAGTTTTCCTACAGTTCAAAACTCAGAGGGTACTAGTGACCCTAGAGATTAAACACATTTAAAGTAAATAGATACTCCAGTCTTTGGCCAGGTCTCTATCTTCAATCCCTGCCCTTCATCTTGCTTGTCACAGCTGCCTAATGGATCCCATACTTCCTTGCTGGAGAAGTCAGAACCACATTGTTATACATTAGAATACTGCCTGAACATTGGTTAGCATTTAGTGAAACTGGGCAGCAGCCCAGATTTGAGAGAGCAGAGGAGATGCGAAAGGGTGAAAATTGAGTGCTTTCTGCAAAGAACTTTCTGACTCATAGTTCAGAATGTCCCAGAATATCCCTAAAGGAAGTGTTAACAAGACAGAGGAAAACAGGCGATGTGCTTGGAAGTGTTAATACAATAAATTTCATCAAAACATATTGTTATGCTGAAATGTTCTGCATCTTTCAGTCGTGTCTGTGGAGATTCTCAGTCATCCAGGTCATAGTTGTCTCAAAGTTGCTTTTTTTCTTCAAAAGGCAACTGAACTGTTTTCTTCTTGAGGAGGAAGAAGAAGAAAATGTTTTGCTTCTCATCCCCCATTCCCGCCTTCAGAACTGCTGAAGCTTCTTGAATGAGAAGCAAAATGTTGTCTTCTTCTTCTTCTTCTTCTTCTTCTTCTTCTTCTTCTTCTTCTTCTTCTTCTTCTTCTTCTTCTTCTTCTTCTTCTTCTTCTTCTTCTTCTTCTTCTTCTTCTTCTTCTTCTTCTTCTTCTTCTTCTTCTTCTTCTTCTTCTTCTTCTTCCTCCTCCTCCTCTTCCTCTTCCTCTTCCCTTTCCTCTTCCTCAAGGAAAAAACAGTCCAGTTGCCTTTTGAAGGAAAAAGCAACTTGAGATCTTTCAATCATCTTCACACCATGTGATGGAAAAGAAATTGCATGTAATTTTCAAAAGTGTGGAGGGCTGTATGAATCTCTCCAGCCTGCCCATCCCCTGCAAGGTTTTTAGATTTCCACTAAATCTCAGAGACTCTATCTACATAACTTTTCCTGATCCAGAATTGTGGGCAACAAATGAAGTGGGAAAGACTGTAATAAAAGAAAAGAGCAACAAATTTTCTGATATTATAGAACAACAGACTGAGCTAAAAAAATACCATGGAATCTGAAAGAAATTCAAATGCTTCTCGACAATCAATAAAACTGAGGCCACTTCTGCAAAGGGGAAAAGTTTTAGGAAATGATGATAAATTTCAGTACAATATTAATAAAAACTTACACCAGTGCTACCCATGATCATAAAGAGTGCAATGTGAAATCTTCCAAAACCGATTGTTTCCACAGCTTCTTCCACTGTAAAGGTCTTTTGCTCTAGAATATTAAACAGAATATTAATAGATATAATAAATAGAATAAATTAACATTTATTTATTATTCTTAAACATAGAAAACATAAAAACACAGCAGGGGAGGAATACAGATTTACCTGAAATGTGCACTGATATGCACATATAAAAGCAATTAATTTCACTACAATCCACAAATCTACAATTAAATATTCTACCTTATTTCCATCAGCACTCCAAAAGCTATCAAGGAGCATTTGCAAGGCCTGTTGTCTTCCTTCCGATAACTATTTATGATTAAATTGGATTTATAATGGACAAAAGAAGAATCTTATGTAGGTATGATTGAAACAGAAGATGATTTCAAATAAACAATTATGAAAGGACAAAAGACCATCCACCAACAAGATGTTATAAGTCTGAATAAGTCACATTTTGTCCATAAGTGTCAGGAATACATTATGCACCCACATCCCAAAACTGCTCCATATGTATAATATTAAAGTATGCCTAAATCTGTAAAGTTACAATTCTGTAAGAAATCATTAAGACTTTGAGAGAATTTTAGTCAAGAACTCACAAGTGAGAGAGAAGATAAACACCAAACTACTAGATTACCTTTCTTTGGCTCCTGTTCCTGAGTTCCCATTTCCTCAACAGTCACAGCATTTGTTCCTTGTTGCTGCTCGACTGACATCTTTCTATTTGCATTCATTTCCTTGGTGATTTTGTATGTAGAAAACTCTTAATTCAGCTGAAAACTACATAGAAAACATAAAGGAATCTTCTTAAAGTTGTGGGCTTGGATAATGGTAAATTAAGAACAATATGGTTCCTGAGATTATTTTGCACTTAAATTTCTCCTGGTCACCTACTCATTATTTTTCATCTGCTACTGTTGGAAAAAAAATTCTTTAAAAAAAAAGACCCCTAAAATCAAAATCCAGATCCTAAATGTCCCCCCATCTCTTATATAAAAAAAATCCCTTTAAGGGCTGTCGGCTACTACTCCTCGGTTGAAGAACAGAACCAGCTGATCAATACTTAGCTCTGTTTAAATTGGACATTGCTTTGTAAATTATGCTTATTTCATTCAATCCAGTTTTAAATCTAAGTATATGCCTCCCCCCCTGGCTTTGTAAAAAATAAACTGTAAATTCTATAAAATGACTAGTCCTAATTTCAGATGGCAATAGTTTGATAATGAGTGATAATAGCAAAATAATTATGATTACTGAAGGAATGGATAATTATAACAACAGTATGAGGGAATATTGCAATACTTAGCAAATGTATGAATTCCTTAGTGGCCAGAATTATCATGCAGTGTGATCCTGTATCTTAATACAGAAGAACACTTAGGTTCAACAGGAATTAGTTGCAGAAACATGTTTATACATTTACAACTTTATTTATTACATTTTTATTTATTACACCATCCAACTTGAACTTCACAGCCATCCTTGTAGGTAGATTAGATGAAACCCCAGAGTATTCAGTAAGATCTGTGGCTGATTTGTATTTCAGACTAATTCTTTTTCACAATCTGACATTATATCACATCTGGAGAACATCAGCTTGACATTGCACTAATACCATAAAATTCATTACTAAATGCAGTTAAGTAAATTAAGTTCTTATAATGAAAAAAAATTAGGGAACTAACTTGTTTCATACCTCTACAGTGAATATTTTTCTTACCTTTCCTCAAACAGTTAAGTCTTGTTCTGTCCTTGTCTTTTCAAATATGTAGCTCTACTGTGCTTGCTATAATCATGCAATATACCTGGTTTTACCTCCTTCCTTCATGGCTGAAGGTGTACAGTTCCCATTTTAACATCTTTGCCTCTTCAGATTTCAGGTTTAAGATCTTCCCAGTAATTATTTTCCTCCACTTAGAGAGCAGGTGGCCAAACCAGGAATTTCCTAACAAGTGTGCAATTGTATGCTCTTTTGCTGTTGGTTTACTTTTTTTTAAAGCAAGACATGGGATTGCTATTTCAATCCCATGTATCACTGCTGCCCTTGCATTCTCACAAAAGGTTGGCTCTGTTATTTCAGTGATTGATTAAAATAAGCCAGAGAAGGAAGCAGGGTCAAATTGCAACAGTGCAAATGCGTTGCTCAAAAAAAATATCTTGTGCTGTATGTTATTAGTCTGAATTCAACCAATGTTCTAAGAAGGGAACTAGTTGGAAAGCAACATGGATGAATCTGCCTATTTGGGTTTCTCTCCATTTCTTATTTTTGTGAAAGTATATTTATTCTCAGATCCTTGGTTTTACTGATCAGTTAACCTGGAATTGTTGCAACATTTCCTTAAAGATGACCTAATGTTAGATTGTGTTTCTGTACTTATTTTCCAAAACATGCTTTTTCTGTCAAGCCCTCCTGGGTAGATAAAACAGAAAGCTGACTCCACAGGATGACTAGATATATACTTTAATGAGATAAGACATATTAATAGGATCTTACAATTCTCCTCATGTTTTTCTTTCTTTCCCTTTTATTCTTTCTTTGTTATACTTTCTTGGCCCGTTGGGTTTAATGCATGCTATCTCTGTACTTGCTGTTCTCCTGTTCTGGAGGCCTTCTCCAAGGGTCCCTGCATATTGTTTACAATTTCCCAAGAATTGAGCTCAGTACATTCTCAGAAACTTTGCACTGCTGCTTCCTCAAATTTCTGTGCCTGCCCTGCATGCAAAAAATTCCAGTGAGACAATCCAGGAAGCAAAGCAGTTGTGCAAGTACACATTTATACAGATGTCCTAGGAAAGCCCTTGAAGCATCTGTGCAAGCCTTCCAGAGGGGATGTGTCTGCCACAGTTCTTCAAGAATATTGCCGCACTTCACAACATGCTCTTTCAGAGGCTTCATAAAGGTGTAATATTTACTGTATGCATGTATGAAGGACATCGCCAAATTTGGAAAACTGCAAACACTGAAGGATAAATAAGGTTAGGAGTCTACCAATACAGAAGAGCAAATTTAAATATATAGCACAATTTTAATACATTTTCAACTCCATTGATAGGTTGGACAAACCTATATATTTAATTGAACAGGGCAGCAGGTAAGAGGAGCAATTCTTTTTGAAAATACAGGAAGACCAGAGAATGGAATGATAGATGAAAGTGAATATTTAGCAATAGAAAAAAAAAGTACGGATGTAAAGTCTTTGGGCTGTCAAGATCGGGAGTGCATATTGAGAATAACAAGTTTAATGATACTGAGACTCTGTCTGGCCTTTTCACAGACATTTTATTTTATTATTTATCATCTTTATATGGTGGCCCATCTCACAAAATATAATTCAGAGTGGTGTATAATTAAATAAATTGCATGAATTTTAAAATGAAGTGGCCACCTCAAGAAGCAGATTTGGGCCTGGCAATGGTTTCTGCTTTTCCTCTTGAGTCTGTACTTAGATTTTATCTGTTATCTGTTTACCTATTATTCTCAATATGCACTCCTGATCTTCGCAGCCAAAAGATTTTACATCCTTCCTTTTTTTCTATTGCTAAACATTTCACTTGCAGAGATCATGCCATGCTGTGGGCTCAGAGCATCCTTAGTTAGCCTGCTGCCATCCAAATGTCCCATCAGTGCTGAAAAGTCACCTGATAAATCAGCTGATTTCTGATGCCATCTTTTCCTTTCTATCAGATGATAAAACAGCTCTGGTCAGTTCTGGCTAGAGATTTAAATTTAGAACAAGAGATTTAGGAGTGTATTTTATTGCAGGGCTTTTCAACCAGTGGTAAGGTACCACCTGTGGTACATTGGCACCTGGCAGGCAACCATCCTAGAAAAATAGCGAGGGAGGGGAATGAGCAGAACCGGTGGCAGCACCACACAAGCCTGAGCGAAAGATGGCTGGAGCTACAGGGCTATCAAGGCTCAGTGGAAGCACCAGGATCAGTGCCAGGCTCCAGCTGATCGGCACTTCTTCAGGGCTGTCAGGGCTCAGTGGAAGTGCCAGGATCAGTGCCAGTCTCCAGCTGAAGCTCGGCGCTGATCCTGGTGCTTCTGCTGAGCCCTGAAGAAGCACCAATCAGCTGGAAAGCAGCACTGATCCTGATGCTTCTGCTGAGCACAGAAGAAGCACTGATCAGCTGGAATGTTGCAGCATCTGCAGGGTCTTGTGATTTACATTCAGTGCTTGGCAACTGATTCATATTTATGATGGTCACAATGCCCCATGGTCATGTGAAGTGACCAAGACCTGCTGCAACCACCAGCAGATGGGGGGAATAAAAACCAAACACCCCCCACCCCACCCCCGCTGCCAATCCTCAACAGAAATGCCTCACAGTAATGAAAACCTCAGACAGGAGGAAGAGCACGACTGGGCGGGCAGGCGTCTTGCTCAACTGTGCCTTGGGGGGGAGGGCTTTTTTCAGTGTCATTGTAACTTCGAACAGTCACTAAGCAACTGTTGTAAGTCAAGGACTACCTGTACTTTATCACTTTTTTCCTTTTTGGGGGGGGTCATCAAGTTTTTGACACCTTGCTAGGTGACTGGTGATACTCGGATATTGCCATATCCTAAAAGTGGTACAGTGGGTGAAAAGGTTGAAAAGCCCTGTTCTATTGATCAATGGGGTAAGAACTAAAATGGCTTCATGTATATTTAGCTGTACAGGAAAGAAAACCTGGCAATCCAAATACAACCTGTACACTGTATTTCAAAGGACAAAGGATAAATCCTTTCTTTCAGAACATTCAGAAGTAAACAAACATATTCAGTTTCAGATAATCTTCTTTCCACTTAAACTCTGATCATTTGGAAAGAAGCCATTGCAATAATATCCCATAATGCCCAGAAAATGGGGGTAGGGAGAAAATCTTGAGCAGCTACATTTGAAATCCTCTGAAAACAGTGAAATCACATACAAAACTAGAATTACATTAAGAATGCTTGTCTTCTGTTTTGAGAGTCTTATGTTTGTCTCATAAAGTTCAGAGTTGATTGAGGCTGATGGAGACTCTTCAAAGAAGCATAATGATTGGACGTGATGTTATATTTTTCATTGAAAGGAGAACTCTCACAACCAGTTTACAAATGGTCAATACGTGGTTGGTGCAATTCCTTGTCCAGGTAATCCTAATCAAACATTAGGAACATAGAACATAAAATATTAGAGTTGGAAAGGACCTCGGAGGTCTTCTAGTCCAACCCCCTGTTCAAGCAGAAGATCCTATATCATTTCAGACAAATGGTTGTCCAGTCTCTTTTTGAAGGCTTCCAGTGACGGAGTAATAGATCAAGATGCAGGTAGAGGGTTCATCACTCTCACTCTGAGTGAAATCAATCAGGCATTGTCAAAGTGCTGAAAATAGATGTCCATCTTCATGCATGAAGCAAGGCATCAGTCCTTTGCAGGCATTTTACAGTATGTTTGTGTTGGGTTCATTTCTGGGTTGTTTCAAGTATTCCCCTTCCAATCTAATGGAAAAGAAAATACTGTTGCATACTTGTTTCCCCAAAAGAAATAACTTGTAATGATATTTCTGGAATATCTTAGTTACAAGATAGCTTAGGATTGTACTTAAGTATCCTGTCTTCCATTGAAAAAGAAGGTTTCCCTGGCATCTCAAATTTCCAGCTACATTCTGTTGTGGATACCATCTGTCCAACTAGTGATTGTTACTTGGCAATAACCTCATTATCTCCAGTGGAAATTTGCATAAATGGGTGTGAATTCCATGATAATGGTTCAGGAAAAAGACTGCTTAAGATGATGTTAGATGGGCCTTGGTATATTTAGCAAGGCACTCATGAGCTCAGCGTCTTACCCAATTTTAATGGTGAAGATGCTCTGAGAGGCATCCTGATCCAAAGTTGCTTAGTTCTTTGTAAGGCATAAACTAAATTTTGAACTCAGCTTGGTATCTGAGCTGTAACTTTAAAAGAAAAAGGGGTTCAACATGTGCATGACCAGGTGCCCTGCTCAGTAATTTGGCACCTACATTCTTCACAGTGGCAGCTTCTGGTACTGGCTCAAAGAGGAACCCCATGGAGAGTACATTAACCTAAATGTGAAGCTACCAGCAAATGAACAACTATAGCTATGATAACATCCAGGAAAGAATGCAGTTGGTATATCAACCAAAGTTGGCAATTGACAAGCATAGTCATGGCAGCTATCCAGACTTCCAATGGCAAGTATTATTTAAAACACTTCAAATTACTACTGTGCATTATAAATAAGTGCAACTCCTTTTAGGTCAGCCCTATAAGGTAGATCACACTAAGAAACCAATACCATATAGTTCTAAAACTATTTTTATGAGAACAGCTATAAGAACAATATGCTGCAAGTCAGAATATGTTTCCCTCTTCCTTATTTTGTGTGAATTGAGGAACCTATCTGAGACATTTTCTAAAGTTTGTTTCTTGGAATGGACTTAAGTCACACTTATCAGATCAAGCCTTTCATAACAGATCTTCTCACTATCCTTCAAGACTGTTCTTCATGCCCTCTACAATGTATCAGAAATTTCCTGTTTCTGAATTCCAGAAACCAGCTATTCTCCATCATGGTAGGATTTAATCTCAGTTTATTGGCCTTCATTCATCCATTTATCACACTATCCTGACACTAGTTCAGAGTATATATAGCTTTTCCTGATTTAGATGTTAGGATGTAGAGGTGAGTAACTTCTGGATACTGGTAACACCAGACTCCCAAATCCCCCATCATCTCCTGCAACAATATCACATAGATGTTAAATAGCACTAGTGATAAAGATTCATGGTATTCCAAAGTTGTTAGGATATAGAGGCAAAGTCATAGAAGACTGTCTCCAAAAGAAGGAAGTAGAACCATTCTAACACAGTGTCTAACCCAATGTGCCCAATTTCCAGACAATCGAAAGGTAATAATATGGTTAACTGTATCAAAGGCTTTTTAGAAAGTGCATTCCTTTTCTTCTTGTTGAACATTATCTACTAGGGCAGAGGTCTCCAAACCTGGCAACTTTTAAGACTTGTGGACTTCCATGACTGACTGAGGAATTCTGGGAATTGAAGTCCACAAGTCTTAAAATTTGGAGACCTCTGGAGTAGAGTAACCATGACTTATTCTGCCTCCAAATCAGACTTGAATCTTAATGAAAAAGATTGAGATAATTAATGAACCCCAGGAATGTGTGAAGCTGCACAGAAACCATCCTCTTAAGCACTTTGTCTCCAAAGGGAATATTTATAACAGGGCCCAGAGAGGGTTTCTTCAGGAGCAGATGGACTATTGGTTCCTTTAGATCAGGACCACTCTGGCAAATCCAAATTCTGGCAAAAATTCATTTATCATTTCTTGGATCCAACAGTCAATCCCCACTGGCAAATTCATATAGTTCAAAATATGTGGGGTCAAGAGAGCAAGTGGTATGCATAGGTATGCATGTCCCTTTCTTGGTAATTTCCAATCCCAGTTGCTGTAGGAGGGTTCTGAGAAATGGGATTCTTAAAGCATCAGCATCTTTTTCACTTATTTATTGAATAATACAGATTGTGTCACCATATATATATATATATATATTTTTAAAAAAAACTTCTTTTGACTCATTTTTTTAAACCATGCACAACCCGGGGCTTCAATGTGCAGAATATGATCTCAAGATGTAATGACTAACAATCTCAGCTTGTTTCTGATGGTTAGCTGCTTGGACTAGACCAGAATAGGAAACTGACTCCATGGGAAGACTAGGATTTTACTTTATTGACATAGGCTCCGATAACAGATTCTTACAGGCCTAATTGTGCTTAGTTGTGCTTTACCTCCCCTTCTTATTCTCCAGTGACTCAGAGAGGAACCTGCCAGAGTTTCTTCTGAATACTATTTTGTTTCCCAGGACTTAAGGCACACTCCTTATCTTATCTTTCCTTATCTAACAGTTCTTGCTTATTTCTCTCAAATCAGATCACCGATTAATATGTTTAGCCAGTTAATGATAAATTATGGAGCAATTAAGATAATAAAGGATTCTAACAGCCAAACCTGTTTATATACTAAACACTTGCCAGTCATTTCTTGTCTTGTTTGTATGAGGTGCCAATACAACTCCACCCCTGGAAAAGATTAATTTTAAAAAGTACTTTGTCATCCAATCATGCCTTAAGGTAAATGAAATCTTTTCTCAGAAGCTCTTCACGTGGTGTGTGTGTGTGTGTGTGTGTGTGTGTGTGTGTGTGTGTGAGTGAGAGAGAGAGAGAGAGAGAGAGAGAGAGAGAGAGAGAGAGAGAGAGAGAGACAGAGACAGAGAGAGAGAGAGAGAGAGACAGAGAGACCAGGATGATTGTAAAAATTTATTTTTGTTTTGTGACTAAATCCAAGAACAAGCACTTGAGTGGAGGAAATAGGAAAACCACACATTTTATCTTTTACACTAGGTTGTGAATTTAAATTTTACATAATGTAATATTGGAGAGAGAGAAGCAAATAGGCAGTTTTTGTCCTTGGTTTTATATTCATGTTTGAGTTTCAGCATGCTGTTTGAATATGTGATAGTACAATCACAATTGTGAGACTGTTTCAACAAACTTTACCAACAAGTAAAATATAAATCAAGAGCAGATTTGGCAGTTCTAATAGTGGTAAGTTAACGTTGGAATTTCATTCCTATGATGATAATAAAATCCTGGTTCATGCCTTATTTACCATTCAGATTTCATTAGACAGATCAATAATTTCAGAATTATGGTTCATTAAGTGAGGAATGTCTGACAATTGTTATGTGAATCGAGACTTGATATGTTTTGTTTTTTAATTTTCCTATTTTTTTTTAAAAAAGAAAGAATACCTAATCATATGGTAGTGTACACCAGCAGAGTCAAATGGTATTTCTAGTTCAGAAACAGTTGCAGTGAATTCATTTGCATCCAAAACATAATAGTGAAAGAAAAGGTGTGGTTTACATGAATGGGAGAGATGAAGTTTCCATCAACTTTCACAATTCTTACTTCATTATTTTGACAAAATGGTTGGATTTTACACACACCTCTGAGTCAGTGTTTCTCCACCTTAGCAACTTTAAGAGATGTGAACTTCAACTCCCAACTCCTGGTTGGGGAATTCTGCAAGTGGAAGTCCACACGTTCTTAAAGTTGCTAAGGTTGAGAAAGACTGCTCTAATTGTTTGATGGGGTTATTTTTCTAAATGGATTGCAAAGAGAAAGCAGCCTTTTTCCAACCTAGTACATTCCAGAAGTGCTAGAAGCAAATTTTTCAGAATTCCTAAGCAGTAGAAGAGTCACAGTCCTAACACATCTGGAGAATAGGCAGAGCTTTTATTATGCTGACAACATGTTTGGTGTCTAAAGTCCTAGTGTGGAAGTTCTGTATCCCTCCTGGCTCTTAATTCTCAAGGAAATGCTCACCAAGAAAAAGAATAGCAGAAACCTCAGAAGTTTCAGATTTCAGCATCATTAATAGGAGTCATTCTTCGTTTCTTTCTATTATGGTCTTGAAAGAGAATGGTGCAAAGGAACAGCCAGAACCAGAATAGAATTTGTTCTGGAATTCCACCCTGATAGGAAAAAGATGAAATGATTTCTTTACTTTTATTGTTTTTACCCCATTTTTCTCTGAAAAATAAAAAAGCAGTTGGCCCAAAAAAGGAGAAAGAGTACAATACAAATAGATTAAGGTAAGATATCTTTCAATGGAACAAAACTTTGAAGTGCCAGAAGAAATTAAAAAGGCTACAATTTCCAACTTCTCCATTGCTAGTGGGGCCACTGAAGAAAGGGACCTTGAATGACCTTATTGTTGTGGGATTGTTTCAGGCTAGTTTTTCCCCCAACTTTGCATCTACCAGATATGTGAAACTATAACTCCCATCATATTCACTCAACATGGTTCTGGTCTAGAGCCCTATCAATATTTCACAACCAATTACCCATAATATCATGCATATTTATATGCATATTTCAACTATTCTTTGAGCCATGCAATGCAAACATCGCAGGAAATGTGCACACCTTCCTGTTACTATGGTTTTGGGGGGGAGAGGTTGGCTGATTCAGAAGGAAACATCTGTGCCTTAGAGTTCTTATACAATCTACTTACCAATGAAGCCTGAGTGCATGCAGAAAGGCAGAAAGACCTTCCATGATGAGTAGAATTGCTATTGTCAGAGCAGCAAACACAGTAAAGAGGACAAAAATCCCAATGAGTCCTATCCAGCCAGTCATTTTAAAGCCTTGTGAAAACAGCAAAGTCCAAAGAACCTCTGAGAGCTCTGAAAAACAAGGAAACACAAAATAAGCTGAATTCCAAGAAGCTTCAAGGACATACCTGGGAACAGAGTTGGCTCAAGGAAGACTTTTTACTAGGTGTCAAGGTTTAGGTTTAAGGCACTCATTTCAGATCATGAAACCCCCATTCTTCCCAAAAGAATTAGGCTGATTTAGAAGTGGATGCAAAGAGGGCCTTAAGGCATTAATTTCAGTCTTAAAACCCTCCATTGCTGCAGAGAAGGACCCAGAATTTAAGTTCTATGCACTCTAGTGCATCTTAGTCTTGTTCTGCCTGATCTAAATGTCAAGTATGGCAGATAATTGGAAAACATTGACAGAAGTGATACTCCTAACTGTCTACGGGGAGATACAAGGTAGCAATTATGACCATCGGATCACAGGCTGAATGGCATGGTCACAGTGACCTTTTTATGATTTTTGATCCCTCCTGTAAATGTCCCTGCACCACCACCCTTTCCTATTCTAATAAAAGATTACAATACTCTGGAAAAGCTCTAGAAACACAGATACTAGCAGTTGTTAGATAACTATCAACAAGGAAAGAATTCCTACAACTAGGAACATAGGGAAAAATTGCTAAGAACCAAAGTGCACAAGTATCTTTGAAAAAAATTGGTAGAACCACAACAGAGCTCAGGATAACTCAGTTTTGTCCTAATCTGCAAACTTTAACTGGACTAAATATTTTCCAGTTTTAATTTGCACTGCTTAGTGCCTTGCAACTGCTCCTTCACATCATTCACTTAGTATTAGAATGATGCAAGTTTTATTTCTCATTGTGACTAAACTAGATTAAACCTAGCTCACTGGATCAGTGCAACATCAAAGTGCAGTTTTCAAGAGTAATGTTACAACAAATTTATCTGCTTGCAGCCTTAAAAGAAGCACCTAATTGCTATCTTGAAGGAATCAGAAAATTATAAAAATATAATTAACATCTTTGGTTGAAAAGGTTACAACCCTGATTAAAAGAGATTATTCGAAATCTTCTGTAACCTGACGTTGTCCAGCTTCCATCATGTCCATCTAGCATAATCAATGTCCATGATACCTGAGGAACTACAATACCAGCCATCGGTGGGCACAAGACTGGTGAAGACTGTTCTGAGTGGATACCAAATATTGATGTATCTTAACTGATGGCCCAACCCGACTCTTTTTCATAGTCAAGAGGATCAGTAGCTGTAAACTCACGTGCATGAGCCAGGCTAAGTGCCCAAAGCCGGAGATAGGAAGCTGTATTGGAAATACAACCCAAGCAATATTCAATGGTGTGGATCGCCTGGTGCACACAGATGTCTCCAAAGTTGAACTGCAATAAGGGTTTTTAGGAAAATAAGGTTAAATACTCCTATAATGTTTCCCATTCATTGTACTGCAATAAATGGAACTTGATTTAGTTATTTTTCAATAAATCCTATTGATTTCAGTCAATTTATTCTAAACACCATTAAATCTAGAAACAGTAAATGGGTTCTAAACAGCACTACATCGAGAAACTAAATGGGTTCCAAAGAAAGTGTGAATGGGATTCACGGACCCCAAAACGTTTTAAGCATACACACCACCAGCACTACTTAAATCATACTAAATTAATTGAATTATTGTACTAAATTAATTGAGTTATTGTACTTCCTTTAAATCTTAAATCTTCCTGCATCTTCCTGCATCTTCCTGCATCTTACTTCTCCATGGTCATGTCCTCCATGTCCTCCACTGCTATCAACTTCTTGGTTTGTTTTCTCAGAGTGGTTGGAGTCCATGATCTCTACTTCAATATCACCAGTAGGACTTTCTGAGAGACTTGATGAAGCCAGCTTTAGAGAAACCAACAAAGATTGATTATCAGCATCTGATAATAATCCTTTGGGTCCCCATATTTTTCCCAATACTTGAACAAAGCAAGAAATGGAGCTCCATGATGACACCCATGCTTTGTAAACAGGAAATCTCAAGTTAAATCCTCCATATTTTCAGCCTGATGTGAAAAAAAGACATGCCTGAACTTCCTGGAATCAAAGCTGCTGCCAGCCAATGAAGACAGATTTGGGATTATGTTCTGACTTGGTGTAAGATACCTCCCTATAATTCACACAACAAAGTATTGATCACAAAAATAATGAATATGACTTATTGTACTCTAGCCAACTGTGATCGCAATCTTTTGTACCCATTTCTGTGGGTTGGTTCAGGTACAATGTTACACGGTGACTTATTCTGACTGGAATTTAAATCATAATTTATGTTCCAAACACATAAGCAAGCCATGGTTGGTGCAGTTCCTCATTTGTCTGCCTTTTTTTTTTTTTTGCAGTAGCAGTTTTTAAAAACTGGAATAAAATCATGTTATCTTTAATGGTTTTTAAAGAATTGCCCCAATTCTTGTTTGCAAACTGGCTTTAACTTTCATCTGACAGATCCTGATCTGGCAGTTATTCCAAAGGCATATGAAATGGTATTTGTTCAGACATTTATGACCTTGACTTGATATGACAGATTGAATACCGTATTATGGCATTTCTGCCTGAGCCTGCCCAAATTTAACTCTCTCTATTGAAATAGTAAACATTTTCCTAAGAGGAAGAAAGTTTCCAAATTGACAGGATAGAGTAGGTTCAGCAAATGGTGAAAAGGTGCTACAGGGAGTTAGGGATGGCCTGAAGAAATCTGGAGTGTTTGGTATAGGGAAAAAATATTCAGGTGCATAAAAGGGTACTGTAGAGAAGATAGGCTCAAGATATAGAAGGATCTTCAGACTTGAACCCTGAGTGCTACCTAACAAAATGCAATTCAGTGGTGAGAAAAGCAAGGTTCTACATTTAGGCAAGAAAAACGAAATGCATAGGTATTAAATAGCTGATACCTGTTCAATAGCAGTAATTGCAAGGGGGATCTAGGTATTCTGGTGCACAACCACTTAAGTGTGAGCCAGCAATGGCAAAAAAGCCAATGCATCAGCAGAGGGATAGTATCAAGATCATGCAAAATGATAGTACCACTTTATACTGCACTAGTAAGACCACATTTGGTATCCAGTTCTGGTCATCATGATACAAAAAAGATTTGCAGAGAAGAGCAACAAGGAAGATTAGGTGTCTGGAGGCTAAACTGTAAAATGAACAGTTGTGGGAATTAGATATGTCTAATCTAGCAACGAGAAGGACTAGGGGTGATATGATAGCAGTCTTCCAATATTTGAGGGACTGTCACAGAGAAGACAGGGTCAATCTATTATCCAAAACACCTGAGGGCAACTGGAAGATCAATAAAAAGAGAAGCAACCTACAACTAAAGAGAAACTTCCTGACAATGAGAACAATTAATCAGTAGAATGGCTTGCCTCCAGAAGTTGTGTGTGCTCCATCACTGGAGGTTTTCAAGAAAAAGAGATTAGACAATCATTTGTCCAGAATAGTATAGTATACCGTTTCCTGTTTGAGCAAGGTGTTGGACAAGAAGACCTCCAAGGTCCTTTCCAATCCTGTTATTCTATGTTCTAATATTACAGATACCCAGATTTCATTTAAATATAAAAGAACAACTTCCAGATGATAAGATTTGTACAACAGTGGAACAGTCTTCTTACAGAAGCTGTCGATTCCCGACCTCTGAAGTTTTTTGAGAAGAGGGTGGATTTTCATCTCTCATTGATTACTTACCTTTTTTCTCCATTCACTGCAAAAAGTTGGTTTACATCAGGGGTAGGCAACCTTGGCTCTTTTATGACTCGTGGACTTCAACTCCCAGAATTCCTGAGCCAGCCTTGCTGGCTCAGGAATTCTGGGAGTTGAAGTCCACGACTCATAAAAGAGCCAAGGTTGCCTGCCCCTGGTTTAAATGGTTTTTGGGATGCCTTCCAACTCTACAATTCAATGTTTCTATGATATTTGCCCCAGTCTTCTGTCTTTATCTATGTAGCAATCCCTTGACAGAAAAGACCCTTTCCCTTACTTTATCCTGAGCTTTCTGATGCTTGGCTCGAATAATAAAAGGCTGAATCAGAAGCATCCAAGGTATGGCAATCAAGGCGAAAATGACCAGGAAAGTTTGAACTTCTTGCTAGGAAAAAAAAAAAGACAATTGATGCTATCATACACAACTCTAAGCCAGTGTCAAACTCACAACGTCACATGATGTGTCATGACATATCGTGACTTTTTTTCCATTGCCAGCAATGGGGTGGGTGCGGTTTCGCCATGACGCATCCAGCCCGCGGGCCGGCAGTTTGACACCCCTGCTCTAAGCCAAATAAACCTAACTAATCAACAAACCATGTCTAAAGAAATCATGGCTTGGCACAATGTGTGAAATCTGTAAGTTTTCCATATCAAAGATTTCCAGGCTCCAGCTATACTTATTAATAGCTACATGAAAGCCTTTTCCGTTTTCCTTTAATCATAAGATACTTCTATCAGAAAACCATAATGATCTGGCTGCAGCTAATTACATGAGTGTTTCTTACTGAAGTGTGATTTTATTTGCATAAAAGTATCATGATCTGATGGATGACCCTTACCCACAACGATGTGGCTGGAATATTTAAATGCCTAGCTGGGCCATATATTATCATGCAAAAATAGATTCTACATGGTATGTGAGTTGTACTAAGCTATCACGGTTTGTTGAATGAATTTCAGAGGCAGACAAAAGATATTACAGTAGGGTTACCACAACTGGGATGCAAAAATCTGAATAGTCATTAGATGGCATCAATAAATTTAAAAAAATAAATAAATGATACAGAACACTAAATCTTTGCTGCCATCTAGTGGATACCTGGTAGCCTAAATATACTATCTTAAATTATGACTTTTCCAATGAGGCTAACTTCTAAATGCTTGTGTGTAATAGACTGAGATCAAGAAATAACTCAAATTGGTCAGAACGAGAAAGGTTTCTCAAGTCAGTCTCTGCCTGAAAGAATAAATTAATTATCTATAAGGAGTTACAGTATAAATTTTAAATAGAAATGGGGCATGCGGGTTCACACGGGGTAGGAATGGGGTTCCACAAAAATTAAGAACTTGCATGATTGAAATCCTGCCTTTTTAATAATATGTTGTACAGTACTCATAAACAAGGGGCAGGGATTTGTTCACACAATTGCAGAGGCCATCTTGATTTTTGAACCCTTCCCATGAATACCACTGAGCCAAAGAAAATTATTTCCCTTTCAGTTTGACATTAATTCTCAGCTGCAAGCGAACAGAAATGACACTGAGTTTGCTTCAAGATAATGCAAGATGGTTAGACAATGACAGCAAGCTGACTGCAATTTTGCCCTTGAGTAAGTAAACAACCCAATTTGTCATCTACGTTTAAAAATATGCGCTGGCTGACTTATTTTTTTCTCTCTCTCTATGCAATGCTAATTCTGTATCCTGACCTAAATTATTATCATTCAGTTGAGTGATGTCTTCAGAACTTACCAGATCTGAATATCTATTTTTTTTACAAGCATAATTTAATGTTCCAAAACATCCAGGCTGCAAGTAGGTGGAGGACTATATACCAGCTACCAGTCTTGTAGTTACCTCATGTCCTGCTTAGCTAACCATTTTGCTACTGATGCCAAGGCCAGCTAAATAACCTATTTCGGAATAATGTTTCTCTGAGTCTGGCTTTTCATAGGACATAATGCTTTAAACTATAAAGTATTTTATTGGATTTGATTTTATACAATCTGTGAATGCAGACTTTCTATTTTTTTTCTTTGTGTATTATATGAAGATGGCCAAATATTGGTTAGTTTCACAGTAAGCCAAATTTTGGATTTGTTTGGCTTTACATGTTATGTGAATCCAGATATTTGCTCCACTTATTCATTTAACAAACTTGTACAGATGCCCATCTTAATAAATAACTCAAAGCTGCTAACAATAAATATAGATAAAGATACATTATTGTAAACAACAATGAAACTGTAGGAACTGAAGAATTGTTGAGATACCTCACGTCTATTTGACAACACAAAACAAGATATCCATGCTGGGCTGTACTATATAACAAACCAAGGCCAAACCTGATGTGTGGTCCCAGGGAGAATATCTACACACTTGCATTAGTATCTATATTACTATTGCAATATCTCTGTATTATGATACCGAATGCTTATGTGCAGCGCTGTCTGTACATAACAGATATAACTACCATAACACTGAAATGTTAGCACGTGGGCAATAACATCATCACACAACTGCTGTCATTATGTGCTTGCTGATGTGAATAAAATGTGCTGTTTGTTAGATGTGCTGAAATGAGTAGGACTGAATCATAACCAACACATACATCAAATAAAAGCTCTCTAATTGTAGTGATAGATTTCATTTGACATTCATAGTTGACAATGAAACATTTATACCTGATGCTCATATAAAGGACGATTTGTTGAATCGTCGTAACTAAACATAAACATATTGATAAAGTGAATGAGGATGCTTGGAGCGTTCTGGACATTATTCACATTAAATCGGCACCACTTGAAAATAATCATGAAGACGAGGTAACCAAATAGGGAGATTATGAAGATCATCTCTGGAATGAACTGCAGGACAATGTTGGTAGTTTGCTTGAAATAACTAGACAAATAATGAAACAAGAGAAAGAAAGCATTACTAGGGTGGTTATAGATATCCATTACATAGTGTGATCTCAAGGAGGAGTAGAAAAACATAAAGATTAGTACGTGGAACACCAAGGGAAGTCAGTCACTCTGATATCTAGACGGAGTGGATTGGGACAGCTGCAGCAGAATATCATCCAAATGTTTGCTGTGCCTGTAAAGGCACTAACACTTACATATGGTTGAAGAGACTAAGTACCACCCCAAAAACCATGTGTGTGATTCCTATGATGACAGACATTTTCATTTTGTACGAGTTCAAGAAAGTCAGCTTATTGATGGCAATATTCCAGATCTGAAAAAAAATAGATAAGGAAAGCTAAGCATAAAAGACAATTGAATTCATAAACTAAAATACTTGCTTTCTTTCTATCCTTGGGGAAACACAGGGAGAAAGGAAGAAAGGTGACTGAAGATCACCTCTGTTAGGCTGAAGAATTGGAACCCAGTTAATCTTTGTTGCTCAATTGTTACAAGTTTATTAGAAAAAGAGAAAACATTAAATCTTTCATTTTTGTATTATTATAACAACACAGATGCCTCTGCTTCTATTTGGACCAAAACCAATTTTTTTCAAAATCAGTGCAGCTTTTCCAAGAATGCTATATTGCAGGTTACAAACATGAAACTGCGTATTTTCTCCATGGAGAAAAGCAACAAGTTGGGATTCAGGGTTTGAAAATATCATTTTTAGGGGCTGTGATCTTCCTATTTATGCTCTTTGCTTATCAACTCTACTTAAATAAAAATGCAGCTCAACCAAAGCTCGGTAGGTCTTGTTGAGGATAAGGAAATGTGGGATAAAACTTCCAGCTTAACATAAGTTGCTCTTCACTGACCAGAAAAAACAATAGATTTCTGGTTCTGCCAGAATATATTCAAGATCTCACACATTCACAAAATATGGGATGGAAAGAGATTTGTGCATGACGGATTGCTAAAGTATTTTTATTTTACGATTTGTATTTTATAGGTCTTTTAAAGAATGAACCAGCTGAAAGGCAATCTGTGCTGTACAGAGGGCTGTTCCTGGCAATGCTGGTTGATGAATTCTGGGAGTTGAAGTCCACAAGACATAAAAGGGCCAAGTTTGAAGACCCCTGCTGTAAGCAGAGGAGACACAGTCAAGTCTACTGCATCATTCTATGATGTATTCTGGAATCAGTCTGGAAGATGACTAGCTATCCATGCTGCCATCTGCCGGCCAGCTACACTGATCTCCTCTGACCGTCTTCATTTTTTTTTCTCTCGGGAACCCTTCCCTCTTTTAAAAATTATGGAGGACCCCAAAAGAGGCTTTGTTTGTATGGTTTATATTTATCAATATCCACCAAATTAAAAATTAAAATTGACGTATTCACTGCTACTACCACTTCTCATGATGGTCTGATAGGATTTTAATATTGTATTGTTTTTCAATATAGGTTGCTAAATAATTTTGATTTAATGTACCCCAAGTGGGTTCTGAGAGACCCCAGGATCCTAGGACCACACTTTAAAAATCACTGTCCTATGGTCTTTTGTCTTTTCTCATAATCAGAAATACCAACATCAGAAATGCTAGTTATGGAGGCTGGAAGAGAAACAGAATATTCCCAGCATTGTAAGGACTAAGCCTTCCTACCTTGTACCTTAATTTAGATTTTATTTTTTACATATTTTTTTCAGATACCTTCAATAAGACATTTATATTGAGGTTTTTTTTGGGGGGGGGGGGAAGCCTCATGACACAAGTTTAAAAAAATGTTAGAAATTTTTTGTTCCATTTTCCAGAAAAATTCAATACACAAAGCATTTTCCTACTTTTTCTGTAGCAATTTGTTTATATATTGTAGTAAAAAAAGACAGTTAAGACAAAGTTGTAGTCTTGGCTCTTAAAAACTTTTCGAGGAACCCTATGTTTCCTGACTTGAAGTCCCAATTGTTCATCCCTAATCTCTCTATTCCTTTTAATTGACAAATAATTATTTCTGATTACCGGATCAATTCCAAAAGGATAGGGGTTTCCGGAATATACACCTCTTGTTTTTGGATTTAACTGCAGAAAACCATTGTCGTGAACAATTTCATCCCTATGGATGAACAGAAAAATATTAAATTGTTAGGTTGTCACTGAGATGTGATAGCTTTTCTCATAATAAAATAGAATAAGAAGAAACACAATATAAATGCACTGAAGCCCACAACATTGGTTGTGCAGCTTCTATGTAGACAGCTCAGATAATGTGTGATTGTACTAGCAGCTTATATAATTTGTGTACATTCTTTCTTTTCCTGTGTTGATTCAGCTTGCTCTTTCTTCAATGAGCCCAAAGTCTCACTCTTCACACCTTCAAGATTATCTATTACTGTATAAACTATCCTACATTGTTCTATGATGATGCTCCTCCCTAAGTTAGGATGAAGTCTGGAATTTGATGACTTTAAGAACTCTTCTCTATAACTCATTACAAGCAAAGATATTTCTATATGTAGATCGCTGCAGAAGATACTAACATGGTAGGTCTCAATTTATATGTTTCTGTCACCTTGATGGTTAAAAGCGAATATTCTAGAGATCCTATAAAACAATTCTCCAATTCATCTGAATATGGACACCAGATGTCCTGGAAATTACATTAAGTAATTTTCAGATCCTTAAGATAAACATACTCATGTCTCTTGGAGACCTATAATTTCTATCACCACATCCATAGACAGACATTTCAGGGCTAGGGGTTATGAATAATTTGAGGGCTCTGTTTGGCTTCTATTATGAGCTTGACAGAATCAAAGTTTAGAATGAGCTCAGAATAAAATATTTAATAGCCATGCCTTTTCTGGATCAAACTGAGAGAAGTTTCCAGTAACTACTGTTTTCTGTTTCTTTTCATCAAAGTCAACTGCTGATTAAAGACAGCAATATTTATGAAATATGAAATGTTGCACTAGAGATTACTAGGGATAAATTCAGAAAGAGACTGTGGAACAAAAGAGCAAATTGGGCATTCAGCTGCTATTTTCTACAATTATAAACATTGTTTACCACTTACGTCCATACACCATTGTTGTACATGGGTCGGACACGCCAGGAAGATCCAAATATGTTGAAAGATTTGGAGAAGCAATCGTTGTAAATAAAGCCAGTGTAAATGGAAAAGATACTCATGAGTAGGATCAAGTAGCGTCCACCGAAAAAGATGTTCCAGATCTGCACAAGAATATTATATATAATCAAGGGATGATCAAGAATAGCAAACAAATGAAGTTTACTACAGTCTTATTTACAGAAGTCTTCTCCATTTGGCGTCTTCCAGAAATGTGGGATTGCAATTCCCAAAACCAACCATGTTGACTGGGAGGACATCAGGTCGAAGAGATATGCAAAAACAGTTTTTCACCTATTGTTTACTGCCTTGGAAAGAAATGAGTCATCTTCAGAGGCCCTTTTCACCATGAGAAGTGAGACGGGTGACAAGGAAGAAAGCCTGCTCAGATATGGGACTTTGCCTGAGGGGATTGGACTAGATGACCTCCAAGGTCCCTTCCATCATCATCATCATTATCCCTTTTCAGGGAGTATGACTGGCCCATTTACATCTCTTTTTCTCAGCATGGCTACAAGCTTGTTCTCAGTTTTAAAATGTTCTGTATGTTAAGTTGCTTTGGATAGTTAGACGTGCGAAATATAAATTTAATAAATAACAGCTTTCGTTTGTTATCAACTGGTTGATTGGCTTCCTCTCATTGCTTGATTGTTTTTCTGTGATCTTTTAAAACACAATTTTAGAAACATTATGCTTTAAATAACAGTGTAATCTTGCCCACGAATTTCAGAGATTGGGCAGAGTAGAACATAATAAATAAACAAACATTTTGAAAACTGCTTGCTGTAAGCATTGAGATATCACCTTAAACCACTTACCTCGTTCTTGCTTTTCTGAGCTAAAAAGGACTTTTCATTGCTGATCATCCACAGAGCAAAACCCAGCATGACTGCACCATGACCACAATCGCCAAACATCACCGCAAACAAAAAAGGGAAGGTAATGATAGTGAAGGGGGCTGTGGGAAAGAAAAAGACTATCACATCACTTGTTAAAAACATACACATTGCAAATCAATTGAGGTTTCAATGAGAGAACATTAAAAAAAATGGATGCCTCTAATTTTTTTTAAATTGTTATCCTGCCTTTTTTATATATACTGTACAGCTCAAAGTAGCTAACGTACCAATACTCCTTCCTCCTTTTATTTTCCCCACAACAACATCATGAAGTGAGTTGGATTGAGAGAGAGTGACTGGGCCAAGATCACTCATCAGGGTTTTTTTCATAACTAAGGTGGGACTAGAAGTCATAGTCAGCTGATTTGTAGGTTAACACTTTAACTAATACACCAGTTTGATTTAATTTCAAAAGCCATTGTTTCTGTAATTGGAAATTAGGAGAAATGAAGTCAGTAGTTGGAGGAAGTGACTGCTAGTCTTGCTGTTAAGGGTCACTCCCAAAGAGCCAGGAATACAATATCACATTTCTCTGTTCAACTGATTTACTAGAAGGGACAAGCTTTATTTCCAGGGTCCCACAAAAAGCAAGGGGATTCCAAATTACTTCACAAGCAACTTTTTATTATGAATGCTGATGATTTTTACACATATACATATGTGTATGTATGGATCTAAGAACACTTTTCCCTGATACTGAAAGTCTGTTTCCCAGCTTCTGAGAAGCAATGGAAAACCTGGCCAGAGAGAGAAAAAATGAATATATTATGGAGCACTGAGGGGAAATCTACTCATTTTTCATTCCCCCCCCCTTATTTATTGATGCCAGAAGGTGCAGTTTTGACTACAATTGGGAATCAGCTGATAAATCTGCTAATTTAAGTTAGGGCCGCCCCGTCTTTTAACCAAAACTTGAAGTGAGACTAATGCCCTGGTCCAATGAGAATTTTAAAATATGCTTTCCCAATTGGAATCAACAGATGGCACTGTTACACAATATATTATGCTAGTTTTACACACACACACACACACACACACACACGTGTGCACACACACACATATAAATAATATAATATAATATAATATAATATAATATAATATAATAATATACATATTGAAATGCTATTAATTTAAAATCACGTTTTGGGGGGGGTTGAAGTACCCCAAGCAGAGAGATCGGCATCTATCAAAAATGAATTCTAACTAGCAATTATAATTAATTTCTATAAAATAATTAACTTCTATAAAAACATGGGCAATTGTACTGAATATCTGAAATTAAATGTTTGTTCGCCTAATTATATTGTTAATTCATCTCCTTAGTCCTTACAGGACCTGCATATTATATATGTATATGTATATGTATATATTTTCATAAACTACATTTATTAATTTTTAAACATTTTCTAGATAAGACTATAATTTTAGGATCTGGACTTAAAAGATTTATGGAAGTCTCTTATTTTAGATCGAGGCCTCTCAATCTTTTTAAATTTTAATCCTCAAAAATCTCTCTATAAAAAAAATTGTCTTTGACAATTATAGAAACAAGAAAAGCCAAAAATCCTTTATATGCTTCCAAGTAGTCTATTATTATATTGGTTATTTATAGTAACCTTTAAAGATATACAATTTCAATGCCTTACTTTGAATTTCATCTAGGCTAGCTCTGAGTTCTACCTGCAATATATATTGCATGTATATTGTAAGAGAAGCAGTATTTTAGGTGGTAATATTTTATTTGTTTGTTTACTGTTTATTTCACACCTTTATTATTTTTACAAATAACTCAAGGCAGCAAACATATCCAACACCTTCCTCCTATTTTCCCCACAACAAAAACTCTGTGAGGTTGGTTGGACTGAGAGAGAGTAAGTGGCCCAAGGTCACCTGGCTGGCTTTCATGGCTAAGGCAGAACCAGAACTCACAGGTCTCCTGCTTTCTAGCCTGATGTCTTAACCCAGGGGTCTTCAAACTTGGCCCTTTTATGACTTATGGACTTCAACTCCCAGAATTCCTCAGCCAGTGTGCCTGGCTGAAGAATTCTGGGAGTTGAAGTCCACAAGTCATAAAAGGGCCAAATCTGAAGACCCCTGCTAACCACTAGACTAGAATAAGAGTTGGAAGAGACCTTGGATGTCTTCTAGTCCAACCTCCTTCTCAAGCAGGAGACCCTATACTATTTCAGACAAATGGCTGTCCAATCTCTTTTTAAAAACGTCCAGTAGGGCACCCACAACTTTGCAAGGCAAACCATTCCACTAATTGATTGTTATAACTATCAAGAGATTTCTCTTTATTTCTAAGTTGGATCTCTCCTTGATTAGTTTCCATCCATTCCTTCTTATCCTGCTCTCATGTGCTTTAAACAATAGAAGTCTATGGAGATTCTCAGTAATCTAGGTCAAAGTTGTCTCAAAGGTGCTTTTTTTTTCTTTTCAAAAAGCAACTGGACTGTTTTTTATTTAAGGAAGAAGAGGAAGACGTTTCACTTCTTATCCAAGAAGCTTTACCAGTTATAATGAAATAAATAACTTATTTGGAAAACAGGTTGACCTCCCTCTTCTTAGACCAGAGATTTATATGTGTGGAAGATCTACCCCAAAGGTAGCAAGTGATCATTAGCATGTGGATACATTTGGCATAAAAGAAACAGACAGCATAAAGATCTTTAAACAAAGTCACTGAAAATATGCTATCTTTAAAAAAGGGTCAAAATAAATCAAAGTCCATATACCTGGGTTAATCTCCCTATAATTCCCAACACCATAAGCATCTACAATGGCCTGGAATCCAGCAGTGAATTTATTGGTTCGGTTAAAAGTAGGAGGATCCAGCTTGGTCTGTATAGCAGTCAGGATGGGGCTGATTGTAGAACCACTTCGTTCCTGAGAACAAGTCAACAATGGTTAGAATTAGACAGTGATTACGTCCACTATAAATTTCTCCCAACTCCATGTTTCTATTAGTCTACTGCAGTGTTTCTCAATCTTGGCAACTTTAAGCTGTGTGGACTTCAACTTGCCAGAATTACTAAGCCAGCATGGTGACTGGGAATTCACAGTGTTGAAATCCTCATGGCTTAAAGTTGCCAAGATTGAGAAACACTGGTCAAGTGCCTAGAATCTCAACAGATTGGATGTTAGGTTACCCAAACAGTTAAATAAATAAATACATTTACACTAAAGTGTTAAAATTGGCTGTATATTACACTCACAGCTGTAGCCTCTACCAAAAAATAATGGGAACAAAAGTCTTTAGGGAGCTGTCAGTGAGAATTTGTGGAGTCTTTCTCACTGTTGGAAAATGACTTCAGTTTAATTTGTCTGGGAATCCCTGTGCCCACATCCAAGGAAATACACATGCCACTCACACGTTAATCAAATATACATGCCATTCACACAGTAATAGATTGGTATTTATTAAATATTAGCAAATATCAAAAATTGTTAGAATCGGACAAAAGGAGGTTAAAAGAGAGACACATGAACAACAGACAAAAGCTAAAAAGAGCAGGGAATTTAATAACAATTATATACATTACTTATATCTATATATTAACAAAAGACTTTCAAGAGCCCCTGAAAACAATACTGTAGTTAATTAGCACAGATAATCCCTTTCATTTATTTAATTATTCCAGATTTAGTTATTCCAGATTTAACCCTTCTAAGTACATAGCAAAATGTATATGTCAGTAGTATTTCTATTTCCAACAGAGATGAGAAGTTGGGCACCAGATGATCCTCCTCTATTCTGCACCATGAAAAAAATATCTGTCTAAGTAGGCCAGAACTGGAAATCAACTCCATAAAAAGGTTAAAAGTATATTTATCACATTTGGTTGAACAACAGAATCTTACAAGTCTGTCTGGGCTGTACCTACTCCTCCTTCTTATATTCCTGTGAATTAGGAGGTATTTGGCTGAGCCTTTCAAAATGTTATCTGTCTGCTGTGGACTTAAAACATTTTTTCACTCCTTTGTTGCTTTGCTTAACAGAGCTTATATATCTCCATTAAGTCATTTTCTTTACTCTCTCTGCATTATTCAACACTTACCAGTCCTTTTTCTAATAGAAAAAAATATATTAGTCAGGGCTGAACTGTGGATTCCGTGGTGCTCTCTGAGCTTGGTTGCTTGCAGAAAAAAGGACTGAATGAAATGTGCAGACATTTCATTACCCAACTAGGGAATATCTTGTGCTGGAGAGTGTGTGGTTTGCTCCCTGTTTATATGTAGGAATTTGCCTTGCCAGTTTGGTGGGGATGTGGTTTTCTCCTTGATAGTTCCTTGATGAGAATATTGTTTCTTCTTGATTGTTGACTTGGTAATAATCTAGTATTAGCAATGTTCTCTGTGAGTAATGAAATGCCTGCAACTTTCATTCAGGCCTTTTATTCCTGCAAGGCAAAGTAAGTAGTTTGCTACAGATTCAGGGCATTCAGTTGAGTAAATATAGTTTTCTATGAATGACACAATTCTCCTTACCATTCCCTGATTCAGTGCTCTTTTTATCCTAAGGATATCTACCACAGGGAACCAGATCTCTGCAATGACACACTGCTGGGTGACATCAATGTTGCAAGAATTCAAGATGTGATAGATGGCTTTCATTTTCCTCACTTTGATTCCCCAGGCCCACAGGTTTGCAGATGCTTCCTTCAACAGCCCCTGTCGATGGGACTCAGTTTGGGTGATCACCTGTAAGTAGGGGCAAAGGTTTAGTTTAGGAACCCAACAAATATATGGGCTACAATTATTAAAAATTCCCAGCCAGCCTGCAGAATGCTCTTCCTGGTTGAGGAATTCTGTGTGGGATGAAAGAACAGCTTAAGATTCATAGTTTATATTTGCTCTGTCCCATTATTGGGACCATTTGATTAATTTTCCAGCCTCTTACATTTCATTCCCATCCCATATCAGCAGCTTTCCCACCTATTGTTCTACCTGCTATTTGTCCTGATGACAACCATAGTGGTGTTTTATTTTAATTGGCAGCTGCCATTTAAATCTCCCATTGTGCCCTAAGTGATGTGGCTCTGAATCATTATAAGAAGCAAAGAGAATGGTCTCTAGATACAACTGCTTGCTGACTGGCACCCTAGGAAAGAGGCTAGGACACATACCTGAACTACATACTCTCCACTTTTTCTAGAGTTCCAATAGCTGCTTATAGATTGGCACATGCTGACATACGGCGTACTCCAAATTACTACAAGCAAGGCTAAAGACTACTTACTGTGTTGAGATCTTCAATCCTTGTGTTCACACCAGCAGCCACTTCTCGGCGTTCTCCAGCTGACTCAGAACAGGGATATACAGTGGCACGGAACCTAATGAAGAAACAACACCTGTTTCCAGCCATTCTGTCCACTAAAATGCACTTTATAATAAAAATATGGAAGTTGTAATTGCTAGAAAAGGCAGTAGCTAGATTGCTAACTAGTACAAGGTACACAGATCCCATAAGGCTTTCCCAATGAAAGTTCTACAGTAGTTGCCAACTGCTAAAGGGACAATCTAAGACAAATCTGCTTTTTAAAGCAATTTTGAATGGCTCAAGAGTTGACTAGCTAAATGGCTTAAGGACTATTAAGAGCTTATCAGGCCATTAAGTTCTTTAGGAGGAATGTTTTGGAGTCATCTTTCTCAGAGACTCATCTACCTAATATGAAGGAGAAAGCTTTCTTTCTGTTGATCCCAGGCTATCAGGGATATTCTATTGGGAGTATTATTTGGTTCCCCCTTGTGTTTTTAGAGAATCAGTGAAAATGCTTTGTTTTTGCTAGACTTTTCATTTTTATTGCTCCTGCAAATTGCCCACCCTATTAGTCTCTCATCTGTAAAGAGCAAATATACCAGATATTTTGGTATAAACTTTTGGAATGGATGTGTTCTAAGAATATTTTGTTCACAAGCAGGCAGATTGAGCTCCCCTTGCTATCCTATTGCTCTTGGTGAAGTCAAGATCTGAGATAAAGAGTAACATTTACTCTTTCAGCTCCATCTGCCTGTTGACTTTTTCCACATAACGTGTATCAAAAGAGAAGGTCTGAATGTTTTAATTAACATTATTATTTTTCAGGAACTGTGGGACAGAGAGAGAGAGAGAGCAAGGCAGGAATGTCATAATGTCACTAGTGGCTGCACAGACCACTGGAGCTTAAGATATCTTTTTACATAATTTCTAGAGTAGATTATTTTAACAGCCAAATTGATTTGTTGCAATGCTGTATAGAATGACTGGATTTTCCATTACTAGGCAACCTGAAAACTGGGGGGAAAGTGCTTCATTGTAAGAGGGAAGTGCTACCTATCCAGTGGCACCATCAAACTTGCAGAATGGTGGGCTTAATATTACACTAGCAATAGCACTAAGACTTATATACCACTTCACAGTGCTTTACAGCCCTTTCTAAGCGGTTTACAGAGTCAGCATATTGCCCTCAACAATCTGGTTCCTCATTTTACCGATCTCGGAAGGATGGAAGGCTTGAGCCGGTGAGAATTGAACTCTGCAATATTGCATTCTAACCCCTGCACCACCTGGGCTCATGCAAACGTTTCTCCTTTCAGTACATCTGCATACAAAAGTGGTAGAGTTACCACCACACTATTTTGTCTTCCACCCCACCTTGATGCTGCTATACATGCCTATATTATTCCACCTTCAAGCATGGCATGGATTCACCAATAATCTATTCAAATCAAACCATCAACTGAAGCATATTTTCATTAGCAAAAGCTTTAAATGCTCACCCCATATTTTAAACTGAATTTTTAAGTTCTCAAATTGTACTTGAAAAAATATTCCTCTTTAAAAAAACCCACACAAGCTACGTTCCCTTCCTTCTCCCTGACACAGGCAAGGTTTCAGCCTGATAGCTTTGATCTTTTCACAGTTCTTTTGCATGCTGGTTTTGTCTGTCAGAATGTCATTTTTACTTTAATGACACCTTCATCTAGGAAAGCACATGAACCATTCACTGGAGAGTTTTGAAATTGATAAAATCTGCTGGAGAACTCCCATTAGTGTTTCAGCATCCTCCACTGAAAGAGAAAAGGCTTGGAGAAATGCTTATCTTTTGCTCTGCTTCCCATTTTAATAAATCTGGTAGGTAAAATTTAACACTAATTAATTTTTTCTAGCATTAAAATTAAGAGCAACATGCAATAAAAACAAGAGGCAGGGAAACATTAGCAGTAATCTCAAACCTTGAATTCCTATAGGACAAAGAATATTGCACAGCAGATGGGGTTTTCTTGTTCATGTTTAACGAATTTTTGCACTCTTTTCCCACCCCTTGCTAAAAATAGACAAATTTTTTATATCCCACTAAGCCCATGAATAATTCGCCTGGATTTGGAAATGTGGTGCTTCAAGTTTTCTAAGCTACTGCAAATCTACGAGGACCTCTATCTTCAGCTTGGGCATGGATGACAACATTTTGTCCCTTTAAGGAGCTGTCCTCATCCCCAAACCTTTGTAATCAATGGGGCATGTTCAATATGTCTATGGAGATTCTCAGTCATCCAGGTCATGGTTGTCCCAAAGGTACTTTTTCAAGAGGTAACTGGACTTTGTTTTTTCCTTGAAGATGTTTCGCTTCTCATCCAAAAACGTCTTCAGTTCTGAGTGACGTTTCTTATCTAAATTTGCAATCAGAACTGAGGACAATCAGAAAGTTGTGAATAAATGTTAAAACTCACACAAAATAGACTTCCGGTGGATTTTGCGCGCGCGATGGCGGCTACTTTGTAGCCGTCTGTCCTGGGTAAGTGTAAGAACCGCTATGAACAGCAGACACCAGCTGTTCAGCGGTTCAAAATCCCCCTCCCGGGCAAAGGGGGGGGGTAGAGAGTGTCCGAATAGTGGTAGAGCCTCTTTTGCACCCCCCAAGTTTTTTTTGGGGGGGGTGAAAGGAGTGCTCCCACGGAGTTCGGACTTGTCTCCGCTTCCCAGCTGTTTTTGTCCTCAGGGACAAAACGAGCCGCTGCAAACACCTCCGTGCTTAAAGAGAACTGGTGAGTTTTTTTTTTTATAAACGGACAGAGCTGAGTAGAGGATTTAGTTTTTGCTTTCTTTGATTTATTTGGATTTTAAGTTTTAAGACTTGCTTCTATTTTTATTCTCTCTTTTTATTTTATTTTATTTTTTTTTTTCTCTGTTGAAAGGGAAAGTAAAATGGCGATCGGCAAATCTCTCGGTGTTTTTTTTTTTTTGAAGTTAGAATGCTGACCGGCAGGCTTTTTGGTGTTTCTTTTTCTTTCCTTTCCCTTTCCCTTTTTATTTTCTTATGATTGGAATGGTTGTTTTTGGTATCTCTAAGTATTTTTTTTTTGGAATGGACTTTTTCTATTTAATTATTATTATTATTATTATTTTTTTTTTCTTCTCCCTTCTTTATATTGTAATGACTCTTTTTTGAAGGACTTTTTTCTGTTTAATTTTTTGCAATTTTTAAGAAGGAGTAAAGCTTTTTTTAATTCTTTTTCTCTTCCTTTTTTTTTTTTCTTTTCCCTTTTTTTTTTTTATTATAATGACCTTCTTTGGAGGGAGTTATGATTTTTGAAGGAATTTTTATAATTTTTTAAGAAGGGCTAAAGGTTTTTCTTTAAGATGGCTCCAAAGCGTCCAGGGATTTCTACAGCTTCTAAATCAACAGTTTCACCCTCTTCTGGGGGTCAGCTAATAACTATGAAGGATTTGCAAAACATGATGGGAGATGTTATAATTCAAATTAGGGCAGAAATGAAAAAGATTTTAGAGGAAAATAATAAGATCTTGAGACAAGATTTTGTTTTGGCTTTAGAAGGAGTTGCTTCTGTTCTTGAAAAGGTGAACTCCCATGTGGAAGAGGTAGCTGAAAAAGTGGACATAATGGAGGGGAAAATTGAAAGTATGGAAAAAGAAATGGAAAATGAGATTCTTATGCTTCAATATGGACAAATGGAATATGCCTTAAGAATCAGAGGCCTGGAAGAGTCTTTGCAAGAAGATTTGAAAGAAATGGTTGCAAAGGACTTTGCATTGATTTTGAATAAAGAAAAAGAGGGAATACTTAGTGAAATTGAAAAATTATTTAGGGTTAACTCTGTGGTGGCAGCACAGAAGAATCTGCCAAGAGATGTGGTAATTTACTTTGGTAAAAGATCCTTACGCAATCAAATTGTGCAAGCCTATTATAAGAAGAGATTTCAAATTGCTTCACAAGATGTCATAATTTTTAAGGAGATCCCATCTAAAATTTTAAGAAGAAGAAAGGAGTTTGCTTTTCTAGTAAATGAACTTAAAAAGAGAAAAATTCTATTCAGATGGGATATTCCGACTGGAATGGTGGTGAACTACCTGGGGACATGTCATAGACTTAATACTGTTTCTCAAGCAAAAGATTTTTATACTTCGGTCCTGGGGGTATGTGCATCGCCATCTATTAGGTCTCAACAAGTCCAGATTGAGGAGCAGAAGACAACTTGTGTAGCACATAACTCCAAAGAAAAGCAGCAACAGAAGAAGGTTAAGGAAGTTTCATATTCAGCGGTCTCTGAATCTCTGGGAGATGTTGGACTTACAAAGTCTTTGGAGCAATCTTCAAGGGTAGCTCTGGGAGAAGTTAGACCTACAAAGTCTTTGGAGCAATCTTCAAGGGTGGAATTGCTGCCTGAAATCGAAATTGGGAAATTTCAGCTTGAGGGGCACCAACAAGAGAGGAACGGGCAGAGGATAACTTGTACAACTTACAACTGTGAAGATCAACACAAGGAGGAATTTACTGAGGAAGTTTTACAGGTATCGGTCCCTGAGACTTGTGCAACATATAAATGTAAAGAAAAAGTAACATATAAATGTAAAGAGAAAGACCAACAGAAGAAGGAGGTTGAGGAAGTTTCACAGGTACTGATTCCTGAGCTGGTGGGTCAACCAGGACTTACAAACTCTTTGGAGCGATCTTCAAGGGCAGAATTCCACGCATTTTTTTCGATGCTTGCGGGCAAGAGAGACCAATATGGATTGTGCTTATAGTAGATGCAACTGGCTATTAGACAGAAGATTATGGATATTGAATGAAAATTTTAGATAAGAAGTTTGTGTTTATAGTGGGTGCAACTGGTTATTGGACAGAAAATTATGGACATTGAATGAGAACTTTAGACAAGAAGTTTACTATTGAGATTGTGGGAGAAGTAAAACTTATATCGTTTTTGGAAAATGTCTTATGTAATGTCTAAATATGTGTTTTGGGATAATAATATATTTCAGTTTTAAGTTTTAAACCTTTAATGATAATATTGTTTAAACCTGTGTTTTGAAGGGATTATAATTTGTTTATTTCAGTGAGGGGATTCTAATAAATTTGTGTTTCGAAGGGAGTATAATTTGTTTAAGTTTCAAGTAATGCTTAAATTTGGTTTTTAAATATTATTATTAATATTTCTAAGAGAAAATAATTTGTTTAATTAAATGTCTAGATTTGTTTAGGAAAGAAAGTAATGCTTAAATCTGTGTTTTTTTTTTTTTTTTAATTTAATGTATTGTTTAGTTTTATTTTTCTGTATATGTTGCCTCTTGTTTTGTATTATTTTTCCTTTTTTGTAAAATTTATAAAACTTTCAATAAAAAAAATAAATAAATAAATAAAAAAAAAAAAAAAAGCAAAACAACATGCACACAAAATAGTAAGAAATTAACCACCCACTGCTGATTAATCTGATGAATCCCCTTCAAGATTGCAAATTAATCTAACTCAATGACTCAAGGAGCTTCATTAATCAATCATGTTCACAGTTCTCAGTCATCCAGGTCATGGTTGTCCCAAAGGTACTTTTTCAAGAGGTAACTGGACTTTGTTTTTTCCTTGAAGATGTTTCGCTTCTCATCCAAAAACATCTTCAGTTCTGAGTGACGTTTCTTATCTAAATTTGCAATCAGAACTGAGGACAATCAGAAAGTTGTGAATAAATGTTAAAACTCACACAAAATAGTAAGCATTAAAATCCCACTGAGATTAATCTGAAATCCAACTCAAGATTCATTAATTAACCAACTCAAGATTCATTAATATCAGTTACAGTCAAATGCTCTTTCTCACCCATCACAAATCTTCTTGATTTTCTGTCTGAGCTGTTCCCCTTGGTAGAAGATGATGAACACATTCTTTTTCATCTCTTCTTTCTGGGAAAGGAAATGTAATTTAAAGAGAAAGAATTTCAAAATAATCACAGAGGCAACTGAGTACAATCTGAGCAATTTCATAACATTATATCCCAGGTAAAAGATCTGAGACAACAAAATTAAAAACCTATCGGTACCTACAGTGATAGGATCTTCCAAGGGTGTATCCATTTCACTGAACTTCAGATAGATGTTTCCCCTGCAGGCTCTCCACAACAAACGTTCAAAAGGCACCAGCCTCTCTCTTTTAATCACACCAGCTATGAATCTATGGAATGCAAACCAAATATAATGCCCTGTAAATCCACTCTTGTAAAAGGTAATAGTTTATGGAAATATATCAATTGTAAACCTACTACCAGTTCCTAGATTGGCCTTCTCCAACATGGCACCTTCTGAATGTGCTGGGATTATTTTATTTATATTTATATATATAAATAAAATGAATGAATGAATGAATGATAACTCCTAGCATTCTTAGACACAGTAGTATGAAATATCCTAAAACAGAATGGGCAAATTTTGGGAGCAAATGGTTGGCATGCTCTCAGGAACTTTACAATTGAGTAATGGTCACATTAGTAGGGCAGAGATGCAGTAGTAAGACATGATTAGGTTTAGCTTCATATGTGTAAGTGGGACAGGTTTTAGATATTAAAAATATTTTGTGGAGAAGAAGTTGGTGCATCCCTCCATAATTTTTTAAACTAAGCCTGTGTAGGTTATTCTATAGCTTTCTCATTTTCTGTCTCAAAATGGTAGCATTTGGAAATTTAGTGATATGGTTAGAAAGGCTGGGATACCATGCAGAGATGGCCATTTATACAGAGGGATTTACAGAACTGAAGACTTTCAGCAAAATGATGAAAACAGCATCACAAGGTAAGCTCAGCCCTAAATGCATGCAATACTGCAACAGATATGCCAAGGGGATGAAGCTTGTATTATGATGGCATGATCCTCATTGCATTATTTGCAACCTCATGGATGCCTCTGCAGCTCAGTTCCAGGAAGAAGGGAAAATACTGATAAATAAATAAAATGCTAAACAGAGAACTTTCTTCTCCATCAGCTATATCTAGCCAGGAAGAACTGTGTTCGTTTCAATGAGATGCTTGAATCATGGGCTGCATCTCTAAGACATAAATATTGTGGATACAGCACAAGAGAAACAACACTCACCCCAGTTTTGCAGCAACTGCTGCAGGAGTGCTTCTTAATTCCAGCAGTCCTGAAGTATCTTCACTGAAGAAATCATCAGGCAAATTAGTTTCAGTCTGAAAGCGGAAGAAAGACTTAACTTAAAGCCCTATCCCAAAACTCAACCAATGCAAGATCCTCTTTATTATTGCTTGTGGTTTTAGGACAACTTTACATAATCTAGCATCCTGTAGATATCCCAATATTAGACTCTAACCAGGGGATTAACAGAAGCTTACATCCAGCACTTCTGAAGGCCACTATTTTGAGGAAGGACATATGCGGCATAATCAGCTGGGAAGAGCTTATAGACTCAGGGAGATGACAATAGAAATAGGCAACTACAGGTTGTCCTCGACTTGCAACAGTTCATTTAGTGACTGTTCAAAATTACAACGGCACTGGAAAAAGTGACTTACGACCGTTTTCCACACTTATGACCGTTGCGGCAACTCAACGGTCATGTGATCAAAATTCAGATGCTTGACAATTGTCTCATATTTATGACGATTGCAGTGTCCCAGTGTCATGCGATCCCCTTTTGTGACTTTCCGACAAGCGAAGTCACTGGGGAAGCCAGATTCACTTCACAACCTTGTTACTAACTTAACAACTGAAGTGATTCATTTAACAAATGTGTCAAGAAAGGTCGTAAACTGGGGGAAAATTCATTTAAAAACTGTCTCGCTTAGCAACATAAATTGTGGTTGTAAAGTCAAGGACTACCTGTGTTACATCATCAGAGAAAGTGGAAACATGCCTTAAGCTCTGGAATGCAAGACAGTAATAGGAAGAGACTCGGACAGGCTCAAGAAGAGGAGCTACAATACATTCTTGCAAGGTTCTGCTATCATAGCTCTAATATTCCTGAAGAGTTGGTTTCCTAACCTGGTCTACCACACAGCACAGCAGCATATAGCCAACCTTGGCTGACATTTGGGTGGGAGATCAGTGAGAAATCCCTGAGTCATTGGAGGGGCTGATGTAATGTTATGTAGGAATGACCTTGGGAGACAAGGGAAGAGCTGCAGCCAGGGCAACGGTCAAATATGAGGAAGCTTAGCCCATAGAAGGAAACGTGGAATGACAAATGTTTCAGTGGGGACCATCCCTAGTTTCCTGGACTGTAAAGGGGAGAGGGGAGAGATGTACTTTTCAGATTTGCAAAATTCTGTTAATGTAACCTTACTATAAAGTAAAACTAGTACTTCTGGTTGTGCTTGGTCTGGACTACTTCAAAAAGCTGAAATCAGAGAAGTCGAAAGAATATCCCAGAAACAGAAAATGGCAAATCATTTCTTTACTGATGCCAAGAAGACTGAGAGACTTGATAGAGCAAACCTGTGGATTTGAGTTTGGTTGATTTAGTGCAGTTTATTCAACCCATTGCCTTCCAGTTATACTGAGCTGCAGTTCCCACTGTATCTAACCAGCACAGCCAATGGTCAACTTTTCTGGATGATAGCAAATCAGCCTACTGAGGATCCTAATAGAGTTAAAAGGCTTAACAAACCTATTTTGAATGAAAAGAAACAAAAACAGCTGAATGATAACAGTACCATTCCTTATATGGAGGAAAAAACTAAAATGCATCTCATTGAGCAAATAAAAATTCCCAGTTCCTAATTTGGCTCAATTGGTCTTTGTTTGTGTATACAGTGGGGAATGCTGTGAAAAGAATACATCCCCACTCAGACTGTAAATTTGGAATTTGGTTGGGCCTCTTTGATACAAATTGCACTGTGCTCAGAGAATTCATGGCTTAGGCAGTTATTTTGTAGAGAGCTTTCCATTTACTGCCAAGGTGTCATCCCGTTTTTTGAGTCAGCAAAATACTATATTGGTATATAACATTATTGTGTCCTCATTGCTGATCCTGCATCTTTTGCCACCAAATGACGTCCTGCTTTCATATACACAAGGTATGTGACACAAAATAATTGGCTCAACTTTCTGCTTTGCTACCCTTCCCCTCCCTGAATAACTGGCAATAAGAATGAGGCAAGGGAGTCACCAGAGAAGGTGAGTTTTGACAGAAGGTCGGAGCCGTGTTTTCTGCTAAATGGCCAAATGTCTAGAATTATGCCAAGAGTCTAGATTTAAAACTGGAAACCTGTGTCTACCACAAATCCACTCACGTGCACCAGATCCTCAGCTTTGCAAGCAACCACCACACACAAAAGAAGCTGTGTCCAGGCTCTCTTCAGAAGGGCCAGGACACACTGCAGCACTACAGCACTAAGAAAAGTGGAAGAGAAACGGTTGCTTGATGTCTTTCTCTGCAACGGCTATCCAAAAAACTTTGTATTGCAACACACAACATCCAAACTGCAACGCTTCACATAGCCAACCACCACACAAAAACTAACCCTACCATACACAAAAGGAGTGTCAGAAATGACAGCCAGAATGCTCTAGGAATAGCAATAACCCACAAATCCACAGCCACACTCAGCCAGGTATTATTCAGAACCAAAGATAAGATACAAAAGGATGAAAGAAACAATGTCATTTACAAAACAAACTGTAACAATTACAGTCAATTCTACATGGGATAAACATCATGTCAACTGAAAGCCAGGATCCATGAACACTAGCTGACAGTCAAACACCATGATCCCAATTTCCTAATCTCTACATACATGGACGCCAAACAGCACCAACTCGATTGAAGCAATACAAGAACCATCAGGCATGTTACTACCTGGCACTTCACAAACAATTCCATCAACAGACACATTGACTTACAGTCAGCTTATGAACCCCTCAGAGTTCAAATCAACTGCCAATCAGCACTTCACCTCCCAATGGCCTTTACCTGATGTGATGTCCCTATCACAAGACCCATCCCAAGACCCTCACTGGTTACTCACATCTGACCCATTCCAAGACCCTCACTTGACACAATCCACACCTGACCCATCATAAGACCTTGACCTGATGTGATCCTGACCTGATGTGACTCACCGTCACAAGACATACTGACCATACGAAGCCTATATAAGCAGAACATTGACATCCCCTAAATTTTGCTGAATATATTACCTAGCCTGGAAACCAACCTACAAGCTCAGAGAACAAACCTCCACCTTCAGTTAAGATTTATTTTTAAACTTTGCCTTTCGTCCATCTCCACCTTCCTAGACTCATTTTCTGGCCACCATTTTTCTTAGCTCTGTTTTATCTCCTCTCCTGATTCTTGCTGGTTACCGTTTGGAATCTAGGACTATCAAGGTTGCATAAATCAAAATAAACCACTAGGTGGCAGTTAAGTATAATAGAAAATTCCAGCGCACTGCTGCCATCTAATGGTCACATGGAGAGAATAGAAGAGAATATCAAACTGGAAGCCTTGGGGTTCACTGAGTTTGCTTGCAGATTACCAGTAATGGTCTAAGTAACATCATTAATACCATTTCAAAAAAAGAATATTTGATATAATTCCATTATTATTCATGGCCATCAATGTTGTGCATTATTTTAAAAAATGTATTAGCTTATTAAAATCACACTATCTCCCCCAAGATTGGTTTACCTTCCTTATGTCTTTCCTTGACATATTAAATATCCTTATGAATACTGGTATTTTTGCTTCCTTATTATGATTTTTTGTATGTTTCTACCATTCAACTGTGGTAGGCTTAATAACCCACAGGGCCACATTTTATCACATACAGCACTGATGATATTACCTACTTGGGTAATGAAATATCTGCAAGCAAACAACGAAGCTCAGAGAGTACCAAGAATGCCATAATGCTTTTAACACCGGAACACCACTTAAGGCTGCTTCATACTGTACGTGAACTGAGGATGAGATGAAAGTAATGCCAGAAGGGACAGCAGAGTCAAGGTTGTATGCAAATGCCCACCGTTTGTCTCTGAGATGACTAGTTGAGCTGAACTCAAATTCTGAAATGACAAGAAAGCATTCAAAGATTGTGTCACCTCAAAGAAGTCTTGGGTTTTCTTCAGGAGATGTTTGAGTTCAGTGAGTTCTAGAAAGTTCTGCTTCAGCGCCTGCAGGTTCTGGTTGGCTTCTTCCAACTCACCTTCCAGTTTCTCCAAGACGGTCTGTTTACAGCCAGAGAGAAACAAAAGTACTGTATGTCGAATCATTCTGTCACACACTTCACTGCTGACAAAATAGATTACTCTAAAGATAGATTATTACACAGCAAACATTTCAAAACACATCTCAGCATGTTAGGCAATTTTGCAATGAATATTAACATCTCAGCCCTACTTCTGGGTATGAATGATTCACAAATGAAACAAATTAAGTGCAGACGGCAAAATAACTAACAAAAAATCCAATAAATCTTCTGTCTATGTTAGATAAAACAATGAGGGATTCTAACATGTCTCTGCTACCTAAGCACTTCGCTTCCAAGTCGTTCTTCATTCAGCTTTAAGCAATAATCCTTCTGATCATAGTCTGTTTAGACTAACAGAAAAAAAGAAAATATTCCTTTGAATCATGATTTCTTGTTACTTTATTGACATTGTGGGTTCCCCCCCCCCCAGAAGTTCCCTATCTAGCCTATTACCCCGGTATTCCTGTGGTCTCCTATCTAATACCAACTATGTGCAACCCTGCTTAGCTTTTAGAGTTAGCCAAGACTGAGAAAGTACTGGATCACCCAATTCCTGCCCTCCCAGATTTAAGTATTAGTTAGAGGTATCCCCAATTTGTGCCTTCACAATATATTGGATTATCAATATCATAATATCCAGTTAGCATGGTGGGAGAAGATGAGACCTATAAGTAAATAACTTTATTTTTTTAACCATAATATAGAGCATACCATAAAATAACAGTAGAATAGTAAAATGAATTTTTTTTTAAAAAAAAAAGGAGTAGTAGACCTAAGATTGATAAAACATGATAAAGCCAGAGCTACAATTAGGAACTGAATAAACTCTTGCATTTATAAACTTCCTATATCAAACAAACTATTCTGAGTGTTATAAAGATCTTGACTTAGTATTATTTTGGATTGTCATCTTTGCTGGGTCAACACAGCTGTCTATCATGCTTCTCTAACCAGAAACATACAAAGCCTACCTCTAAGTCAATCATTTCTCGTGGTGGCGGAGTTTCTGGATATTTCCCGGATATGACAGGCAGGATCTCCTCACCCATCTCACTTTCCAGAAAGCCTGGGAGCAAAACAAATGGAAACACACTGGCTAAGTTCACAAAACACACTCTACTGCCTTTTCCACACCATATGAAACTTGGTTAGTTGTAACTTCGGTAATTAAGGATTTTGAGTGAACATGGATGTGGCCTAACTTTTCATCTCTTTAATAAACGGAGTCACAAGTTGTGCTACATTAAGAGATATCTTCTGCATTCATCACTGGGGCAACCAGGCTTTGAGTGGTTAAGGGCAACACTTTTTAAATCTCTGGTTTTCTTAATTGGCAATGCTATGATGGCATCACTGGAAGAAACACAAAGTAATATTTTCAGCCCTGTTTTTCATTTTTACAAGGCACAAGATATCGCTCATAAAAAACATGTAGGTTAAACCTATTGAAAGTTGAACATAAAACAAAAGTTTTATTGCTTAGTTTGTCAAGGATCTACCAAAAATTACAAAACTTTTTCAAAAATAAAAAAAAATCTGGAAAGAGTGGTGGTGAAAGTGCTAGTAATTGCTGTTTCTGTGCACTAAAACATTCTAGAGATTGTTGGACTAAGAACAGTTCTCAATAAACTTAAGTTTTCAATAAATTAAAAGTTACTTACGAAGGACCCTTTCTAAGGATTCACATCTTCTTACTTCATTCACAAACCTTCTTTGAAAGTTGTTCACATTTGCATTCAACTAAAGAAAATTCATATAAAACCAAAAGATTAGCCAAATTAGCCAACATTATCTATCTATCTATCTATCTATCTATCTATCTATCTATCTATCTATCTATCTATCTATCTATCTATCTATCTATCTATCATCCAGGCTGATGGCTAAGAATTGTAGCAATTATGATTCTAGCACATCAGATCGCATGAAACTAAAGAAAGCTGAAGTCATGAAGATTTAGTGGAAGTACATATCAAAGGATTCAATGGACATCTCCATTAGCAGGTCAAAGTAAAATTATTTCTTCAAACTAATCTATCACCATGGAGAATATCATAACTAAAATATTGTGCAAGCAGAAGGTAGGCAAAGAACTTCTCTTTAAGGTCTATAGAGTTAGCGAATGATTGTTCTGATTACAGAAATACAGATAGTTGCATAATCATAATTTTGTAGGTCATTTCTATCTATTTCTTATGTAATATACTTGTCCAGATTATAAATCACAAATGAAGGTTCCTTTAAATCCATTATTTATAAATAGGGTGAAAAATCTGGTGTTTGACCTTCTACATAGGTAATTTTACCAAAAGAATTTAAATGATGGAACTTAACATCAGCTGGGAGACAAACTGCACCAAGGGGAAGATCAAACAGATTCCTTGCAAACCTAGCAGACAATTTTGTCTCCCAAAAAGTAGAGAAGTGAACTAAAGGATTAGCCATTTTGGATCTAATTCTCACTAACAGATGAAATGATAGACGGTGTTGAAGCCATAGGAACCCTGGGAGGAAGTGATCATGCAATATTGGAATTCAACATTATGAAAGCACAAGCAATAGAACACAGTCAAACTAGAGTCTTGGACTTTAAGAGAGCTAATTTCAATAAACTTAGATAGGGCTTGGGAAGGATTCCATAGATGAGAATCCTCAAGGGGAAAACAACTCAAGAAGCTTGGGAAATTTTGAAAAGTGAGATAATAAAAGCCCAGTCCAGCACATTACCAACAAAGAGGAAAAATAAAAGCTCTCAAAAGAAACCAGCATGGCTGCATAAAGAACTCTCTGATAAATTGAAAAATAAAAAGGATAAGTATAGAAAGTGGAAAGAGAGGCACATAACTAAGTCAGAATATCAACAAATAGCCCGAGCCTGCAAAGATGGAGGAAAGCTAAGGTTCAAAATGAACTAAGGCTTGTGACCAAAGTCAAAAATAACAAAAAAAGCTTCTTTCAACATGTAAAAAACAAGAAAAAAGTGAAGGAAATGATTGGTCAATTAGTGGGGGAAAGTGGCAAGAAGGTGACAAGCAACAGGGAGAAAGCAGAACTATTTAACTCGTTTTTTGCATCTGTCTTTACACAAAGGGAAAAAAACAGACCAACCTACCAAAAATAGTGCCATAAAAAACAGAATAGAAATGCAAGTTAAGATAGGCAAGAAAACAGTAAGTGAGCACCTATCCAGCCTAAACGAGTTCAAATCACTAGGACAAGATGGATTACACCCCAGGGTTCTCAAGGAACTGGCAGATGTGATCTCAGAACCATTGAACTATATTTTTCAAAGATCCTGGAGCACTGGGGAACTACCGGAGGACTGGAAAAGAGCTGATGTAGTTCCCATCTTCAAAAAAGGGGAAAAAATGGACCCAGGAAATTACAGACCTATCAGCCTGAGCTCAATACCTGGGAAGATTCTGGAAAAGATAATCAAACAACGAATCAGTGAACACCTAGAGGCAAACAAAGTCATTACTAAAAGCCGACATGGGTTTGTCAAAAACAGATCATGCCAGACAAATCTTATTGCATTCTTTGACCAAGTGACAAAATTAGTGGATCAGAGGAATGCTGTGGATATAATTTACTTGGACTTCAGTAAGGCATTTGATAAAATAGATCACAACCTACTACTTGATAAGATAGAAAAATGTGGGTTAGACAGCATCACCACCAGATGGATCTGTAGCTGGCTGACCGGCCATACTCAGCATGTGGTCCTCAATGGAACCGCATCTACATGGAGGGAAGTGTGTAGTGAGGTGCCCCAGGGCTCTGATCTGGGCCCAGTGCTCTTCAACATCTTCATCAACAATTTGGATGAGGGGATAGATGGGGAAATCATCACATTTGCAGACGACACCAAGCTGGCAGGAACAGCCAACACTCTAGAAGACAGGCTTAGGATACAGGAGGATCTGGACAGACTTGAACACTGGGCGCTATCTAACAAAATGAAATTCAATGGTGAAAAAGGTAAGGTTCTACATTTAGGCAAGAAAAACCAAATGTACAGGTATAGTATAGGGGTACCTTGCCAATAGTAGTAACTGTGAATGGGACCTCAGAGTCCTAGTGGACAATCACTTAAATATGAGCCAGCAGTGTGCTGCAGCTGCCAAAAAGGCCAACACAGTCCTGGGCTGCATTAACAGAGGGATAGAATCAAGATCACGTGAAGTATTAATATCACTTTACAATGCTTGGTAAGGCCACACTTGGAATACTGCATCCAGTTAATGAAGAAAAGGATGAGGAGGGACATGATAGCAGTATTTCAATATCTCAGGGGCTGCCACAAAGAAGAGGGAGTCAAGCTATTTTCCAAGGCGCCTGAAGGCAGGACACGAAGCAACGGGTGGAAACTAATCAAGGAGAGAAGCAACCTAGAACTAAGGAGAAACTTCCTGACAGTTAGAACAATTAACCGGTGGAACAACCTGCCTCCAGAAGTGGTGAATGCTCCAATACTGGAAGTTTTTAAGAAGAGACTGGACAGCCATTTGTCTGAAATGGTATAGGGTTTCCTGCCTGAGCAGGGGGTTGGACTAGATGACCTCCAAGGTCCCTTCCAACTTTTTTATTATTATTACTACTATTATTATTATTATTACTATTATTATTATTAACAAGCCTGTTGCTAAACAAAATATAATTTACTAATGCTGAGTTTCCTAATTAGATGCTGTAAAGTGAATGGGTATGCAGAACATCTGATTCTTCTGATAAATCTTTACAATAAACAAGTTACTAAGAACTGAGCTTAAAGAAACAGAGTGATTCAGAAAAGAGTTGAGCTAAGAAGGCATATGATCTTTAGATGTTTTTAATGGATTAGCAAATATATTTCAAAAATGGCAAGCATGGAATGGCTCCACTGGTAGAGCTGAAAGTCCAAACAATCTGGAATGTACAGATGATACATTTTGTTTGCTGAAGACTTAGTGGAGCTCATATTGAAACTAGAAGAAGGAAGTGAAAAATGATGTTATACTTTATTTAGAAGAAAAAAACATTACCTAATATCCTTAGTGAAAGCACAACTGAGAGCAAAATAATCAAGATCGTGGATAACTTCATTTTTTTGGGAATCAGGATTGATAAAGAAAGACTGTGTGCTGATGAGATTTATCCAAGGGAGGAAAGTAATGACCATTTTAGAAAAGATAATGCAGAATAAGGATATTTCTCAGATAAAAAGATCAGAATAATAAAAGCAATTGTTTTCCAGTGTTAAACTGTGAATGCTGGATATTGAGAGAAAAGGAAATGATTATTAAAAGTACCATGAACAGCAAGAAGAATGAATCAATTGATCCTGGACAACAGGTCCCTTGAGGCAAAGATTGGTAAGAAGAAACTCAGACACTTAAAGCAGATGATGTAAGCAAACAATCAATTAGAAGAGACTATGCTTGCCAAGGCTGAGAGAAGTAGAAAAATAAAGAGACAAAGAATAAAGCAGGTAGTCAGAAGGTATCAGGGAAATATCCTTGCAAGATCCAGCCAATGATTATCACTGGGGTCAGGCCAAGATGATCTTACATTATTTTCCTTTTTTTCTAGAGAGTCATGCTCAAAACAAAGTTAACCAGGGTTAGAATAGAAATTATTCTATATCCATTATATTTCGACATAATGAAACACAACAGCACTAAATGCAAACTTAATGAACAGTCCATGAAAAGCATCCTAAATCAACAACTTACCAATATTCTACACTACATATCATGTTCTATAACACAAACACTTTCCTCCCTATCCTTATTTTGCGTTTGGTTTTTGTTTGTGTAGTGCATTAATGCAGAGAACAATTCTGAAGAACACATCTTTTTGTAATTTTTTAAATTTGCTTTTGAAGAAGATTACATAGTACCATTCTCATCCTTCTTATTCTTACTGACTTCAAAGATGTATTTTAAGAAATATTGGTGTTTTTTTCCTCGAAATGTTTGAAGATGTTCCCACTTTAAGAAAAATCAGCAATAAAGGAATTTCCCAGAAACTCAACTTGCTCGTCATTACTGATCTTTCATCTCAGCATTCTGCTATACAAGGTTATAAAATATTCAAGATGATGCCTTTTCACCTCTCAAAAGGAGAGGATATTACGCGAGCAAAGGTCACCATTTCATTTAATTTAAAATTAAATTAAAATTTAAAATTGTACTATGATGCGGTGGCTTTAACGCTGATTAGTGATTGGCTCAATTTAACAAATAAAAATATCCTTTCTCTTGAGGAATGGGATTTAGTATATGGATGGCATGCTTATTTAATTTATGATAAAAAAGTGGATCAGGTTTTCAAATCCCATATCTTGAGAAGTGCTTTGTTGTGTGTCTGGAAGAAGTATTATTATAGGTTAAATTATAAAATTCCAATTTGGGGAATTCCTGGACACGCGATAGAGGGAATATCTAGGGGTGTGAATTTGGATAGGATTTCTTATAAGGAATTACTTAGTTTGGTAGGGAAGGATTGGTAATTAAAGCCTTTAACTGAGTTGAAGTAAGAAAATATTGTATACTCTTGGTTTCAGTACAATCAATTGTTAATGAGGTGGAGTCTAGATCAAAAGTTTGGTATTACCTTAGAGGATGTGAATTTGGGAAAACAGATTAAATATCAAACTCAAGCTCAAATAAAGAGAATTTATAATGTTTTAATAGAACTAGATTCCAAAACGGAGTTAGTTAAAGATTGTATGGTTAAATGGGCTCAAAATATTCAAGAACCGATTTTATTGGATACATGGGAGACAATTTGGGTTAGAAATGTAAAATTTACCCAAGCGCAAAATTTAAGAGAAATTTTTTATAAAATATTTTATAGATGGCATTTGGATCCCCCAAAAGTTGTCCCGCATTTACAGCCCAAATGTTGGAGATGTGGAAATTTAGATGCAACCTATTTTCATATTTGGTGGACTTGTAGAGATATAAAAGCTTTTTGGATTAAGATTTGGTGGAATATTCAAAAGATTTTTAAGAGAAAGATAAAGTTTACTCCACAACTATTTTTGTTGGGTATTATGGTTCATTTTGATGTCAAAGAAATTAATTTGATGTTGAATCTTATAACAGCTGCAAGATTATTGGTGGGGCAATATTGGAAGAAAAACTCTTTGCCTACTATGGAAGAATGGATACTTAAGGTGTCTAACTTAGCAGAAATGGCGAAAATTTCCGCCTATTTGAAGGACCATTCACAAGAAAAATACATTTCGGTTTGGAGAAGATGGATTGATTATATTCAAAAGAAATATGAGATTGAAAAGTATTATCTTGCTTATGAGTAGATTTTAGATTATTATTAATAGTTTAATATGATTGAATTTATATTATTTTTAGTGTTATGGTTTAATTATATTATTATTTATGTTTTTAATTTGTTAATATTTGTTTTGAAAAGGAGTTAAAGTATGTTATGGTTTGTTTGATAGTACAGGCAGGTAATGTTAGTTAGATTATGATTGTTTATTTGTTACACTGTAATCAGCTCTGGGAAGTGGGGGGAGGGGGGGAGGGGGGGAAGGGGTTTGGGTTATATTGTATTAAATTTGTAAAACTTTTAATAATAATAAAAAAGTATCATATTTCCTTACAAATAAACTGCTGGGTGTTTCATGCCAACAGTAGGTAGAACAGGTAGACCCCAAAGTAGGTGGGGTTAATAATTCCCTCTGACATATTCCTTTTTCTTTTCTAATGCTACTTTCTCTTCCCCTCTTTTTCCTTGTTGCAGTTCTTGTCATTCTTATGTATTAAATTTATACCATGCCTTTTTCTGTGCTCAAGGCAATTTACTGGAGGGTCTCAATTTATTTTAGGGGAGCCAACTGGATTGAGAAACAGTTACTAATGGAGGGCAGATTCAAAGGGATCTCCCTAGACCAGGGGAGATTCCATGCTGGCTCAGGAATTCTGGGAGTTGAAGTTCACGAGTCATAAAAGAGCCAAGGTTGCCTACCCCTGCCCTAGACCTAGTCTAGCATCTTTAAACTCTATAATATCCCCATTCTTGCTGCTGTAGGAAACATTCCCCTACTTTCTGAGAAGTACAGACTGGATTACTTTTAGCGTCTACTCACATCTCTGAACTGGACCAAACCCAGCTCTCCAAGTTCTGCAACACAGCAATAGGCAGATTCCACCTGAAGAAAAAGTTGCCTCAGATACATCTCTTCACTCCGAAACATGGATGCCATCTTTAATATTCTCTTGGGGCAAAGACATGGAGAAAGACAGAAGGTGATGAGTATAAGTAATTCTAAATAACACAAAGCACTGTCATGTCAATAAGAGGTTATTTTTGATGTAGGGGAAACTGCAGAAACCATGCAATGTCAATTCTATTATTGGATAAAGTATGATGGTCATCTCAGGTTGAAGAGCTATAGCAGCACTGAAGTACAATTCAGCTTCTAGTTTAGTCTGCCTCTCTGTGTGGAACAGATAGAAAGAAACACCTGGCTCTTTAGTTCACACAATACATGCTTTGGGCTAGCCTGGAAAACATCAGTTTTCTAGGAGGCTTCTTCAACAAAGGCATGGATATCACATGTGAAGGGGCCTGCAAATGCAATCCAATATCCCCTTCAATATCCTCATTGAACTCCTCAAAATTTACTTTTATGTAGACTCATAACATGCTTGCATGAGAGCCAGTTAGGTGTAGTAGTTAAGGTATCAAGGCTAGAAACAGGATACCATGAGTTCTAGTCCTGCCTTAGGCCAGTCACTCTCCCCTCCTTTAGGAAGGAGGCAAGGGCAAACCACCCCCAAAAAGCCTTGCCAAGAAACTGCAGAGACTTATCCAGGCACTTGCCAGGAATCAACACACACTCAAAAGCATAAAAACAAACAAATTAAAATAACATGACCGTGTTGTAAACTTATAAGTTGCCTAAAATAGGGAGCAAGCAGCGGAGCAGACTTATTCCATGCAGTCTGGTAGTAGTATCTCAAAACCCTGGCAACTTTACCAAAGAAAACCTTTTTCACATATTTACTTCAAAATATATAAAATATAAGCCATTTATTCCTATAAACATATAAACACATACACATTCTCTCTCAGACACATATGCAGACTATATATAGACCGAGTTGCTGAGTCTCAGTACATTGTAGCAAAATTGCAAGACCAAAAGAAGGTAAAGCTCAATGAACCATACAGGTTATGTATACAAAAGCAGCAGCTTTATGACCCATGCAGGTTATGTATACAAAAGCATCAGCTTAATAGGCATAATTATTGACTATATATTAAAATCTGGAGAGGAACAATTTAATTTAATAGCATAATAAAAGAAAACCTTCAAACATTAATATGTTAGCCTTAGTAACTTTAAGATATGTGGACTTCAACTCCTATTGTTGGAGCAGAAGTCCACATCTTTTAAAATTGCCAAGGTTAAGAAACAAGGCTTGGGGCATATTGTAGCTAAAGCTCAGATCATATGCTGTAGGAGAAGGAGAAACAGAGTGTGGGGGGGTGGAGTCAAGAGAGGAATCAATCTGGAATTGTTACATTCCCGCAAGCCCATCCCATCCTAAATCCCATTAACTCTTATCCAGTGCCAATTTAGTGCTGTTTATTTTATCAGATTTTTGTGTATACGCATAACCAATAAATCAGCTTAATTGGAATGTAACAATGGTCCTGCTTTACATTAATTTCCCTATCTTTATGTCTTGTTTTAGGAGTAAACCACAAATATTATATTGATACATGCCTGTATTTCCAAATTTTTAATTCCATGCTACAGAGAAGCCACCTAATACTTGACAAAATTAAGTCATTAAATGCAACCCATTAATCAACAAAGACTGTGATCCTATGCCCAAAGTCATATCCTATTGCTTTCAGTAGGACATATCTCCAAGTACGCTACCTAAAAATACTGTTTCAAGCATTCACACCAAATTCACAACATTTAGGAAAAAGGGAAAGTTTTTCCCTTATGTAGTTCCCTATCACTGTATTTATTCATAGCTAGGCATGGCTTTAGATTAGGACTGAATAATATATTTGAAATGGCAGTGCTATCGTCATTCACAATATTTAATTTATATCCTGCTTTTTTTGCACAGGAACTCAAGGTGGCATACATAGTATCCACTTCTCCTATTTTTTCCTGCAAGAACAGCTCTGTGCAATGGGTTGAGCTGAAAAAGAATGGAATCCTTTTAGACCTGCTATCTCAATTATTTCTTACCACAAATTTTGGGTAAGGACTCAAAAGAAATAACCAACCTTGGAAGAAAACAGAAATGAGGAAGATTCTTGCTGCTTAGTACTTTCTCAAACCCTTCTCAGAAACCTTTCCTTCTGCTATTTATTGTCCTATTCTTCCTGCAAGCAAGAGAGTAAAGAGAGGAGGAAATGGGTTATGGGTGAGCACAGCATCCCCTTCAGGGGGGAGGGAGACTTGCAATAGGGAAGCTCCAGAACTTAGAAAAACAACCAGGAAGAGCTACCAGCCAGCAAAGGAGAACCTACCATGCATACTATCTTGAAAGGCTTAATTCTTTTGGGTTGAATTTGTAAGCAAGGGAATGCTGTCAACATAGTGATCCACAGTATAAGATCTACTCATTTTATTATTGGCTTTTCAACAACATCAGCAAGTGTTTAGATGAAGAGCAGGCATTTAAAAATATTTCAAGCACTACCTTCATGCTTTTTTTGTTGGTATGCATTCAGTGCTGCAGGAATTATTAAATTAACCAACTTTGAGTAATAAGAGGAGAGGGCAAGAAAATGTCAGGGACAGTCCTTGTTTTTAGACTATGAACTGAAGCTTTCTTGAGACATGGTCTAAATTGCTTTAGGACATTAACTGTCAATGTTAGCCTGTTACTTTGTTTATATATTGATCTTCAGAATCAAACACAATTCAGGCCTAATCTGTTTCTCAGTATTTACTTTTTAAACTTATAACATGGCAGATTTTAAAAAATATTTTATCCTATGGAGTCCAAACAGCAATAAGAAAAATTAATCTGTAGTCACAAGGACTACTACTATCAAAGTTAGGAATCTACCATATGAGCTCTGGTGGTGCAGTAGTTAGAATGCAGTATTGCAGATTAATTCTGCCCACTGGCAGGAATTCTATCCTTACTGGCTCAAGGTCTTCCATCCTTCCGAGGTCAGTAAAATGAGGAGCCAGTTTGCTGGGGGGAAAATGCTGGCTCTGTAGACCACTTAGAGAGGGCTGTAAAGCACTGTGAAGCAGTAGATAAATCTAAGTGCTATTGCTATGTGTGAATACCAACACACAAGCTTGAAAAACCATCCTGGATTGCAAGAACCTGCATACAGCACAGATGGAAAACCAACTCTCCATAGTTTTTGTCTACATCACTGTAACCTAAACTTGAAATTTAATTTAATATATCCAGCAAGCAAAGAAGATGCTGAACCACTGCTATCTGCTCATGAAACTATTCTATTCTAAAGTATAAAGTATCCCAATTACCCTACTACAAATATCCACAAATGCTTCGTACAAATGAATTATGGTGAAGCTTAGAAATCCATATAATATAAATATTATCAGACTTATACACTTGTCAATCATCATTAAGGAATCATCATGCTATTTAAATCACATCTATATAACTTCATAAACATGGAAACTCTCATTTATTGCTCCTAGGCACTTACTGGCTTTTTTATTTTAAAGTTATAATTAGACCAGCACACTAGCAATTAGACAGCTTAAATATCCAGCCCCATCAAGTGTTAATTGCCGCTTTTGAAATATATCTTCAGCTATTTGATTAAGGCCTGCATTATTTACTGAGTGCAAAAGAGAGAGAGGCAAATCATATCTTGTTCATGGGAGAAAAATATTCATCATATTTTCAAGTAATGTTCTTTAGGAAAATGCAGAAGGTACTAAAATGCAGAGAAATTACAGTTCACCACAGGACTGTGATAGTTATATCAACGCCAAGATCTCACCTCCTTTATCCAGCCTCTTTTTCTTGTTTCTGGGTGTTGCAGAGAAGTCTGAAGCTTCCAGCATAACAGAGAGCAAATGAAACACTGTGGTGACATGGGGTTTCTAGACGTGTGGCTTAAAACTGGACCAAACTGGACCAAAAAGAACACTTTGCCCGCTAGTCATAAATGGCAAAAGAAAAAGAAAACAAAAAAAGAAAGAAACCAACAGCAAACTCTTTGCCTAAAAACCTTTCAACTTGAGACATGTGTGATAAACACAAATAATGTTATGTCAGCAGCAAGATGTTGCTATAAACAACATAATAAAGTTTTGATAGAAATGGAGGCACCTCCTTGTTTCATTCTTCCTCTTAAAAGAAAAAAACTAAAATTCTTCCCTTCTCTGTTAGCAGAGCTTTCAGAATTTTGCAAAGTTTGCATTAAATACTGAAAATTAAAATGTTCCTAATTTGCTCTGTCAAATTCAACACTTAAAAATATTCTCCGACTGCTCTGTAGATGTTAAAGGCAAAGAGTTTGGTGACAAGAAGTAAGGTAGATTACTAGAATCCAGTCCATATATTTTTGTGCAATGTACATTTCTTCCCACCCAATACAGAGGACTAAGTTTAATTTAGCTCTCCCATAGTTTTGAAATGCAGTGTCCCAAAATGCATGTTGATTTTTAGGATATTGGTCAGTTAGATCTCAAGGAAATGGAGAAGAAACTTCTTTGGGAGACAGCAAAACCTACTATGCTGGATTACAATTGATTATATTCTGAATTGCAGCCATCCAATATTGGGGAAAATGGTCCCTAGGAGAAACATTAACCACTTCTCAGTTCTGAAGAAGTCAGAAGCTACCTATAGAAGCATATAATTTAGTCATTTAAACTCAGCAGATCCACTTCACACTTCTTCAGCACAAGGTGCTAAAGTAGATATATGAGAGAAAGAGGGGCCAAGAAGAGAATGAAGTAGGTTCAATCTTTAGAAAACTAAAAGAAACCTCTCCCTCTCAATATTCTTTTTTTTTTAATTAAAAAGTTTTACAAAAATTACAAAATATACCCCCAAACCCCCCCACACCCTACCCCCCTGCCCTCCCCCTCCCCCACTTCCCAGAGCTGAATACAGGGTAACAAATATAATAATCATAATCTAATTAACATTAACCAACTATATGAATAAACAAATATAATGTGCTTTAACTCCCTTTAACACAGAGTAAACAATTTGCAAATAAACTTAATGATATAAACAAATTAAAATCCTAATTCATAAACAATACAATATAATAAAAATTTCACTATAATAAACTATTAATAATAATAATAATAATAATAACAATAATAATATTCTAAAATTTATTCATAAAATAAATGGAACTTTTTAGTCCCATATTTATTCTGAATATAGTCTATCCATCTTCTCCAAACCAAAATATATCTCTCTTGTGAATGATCCTTCAAATAAGCCGAAATTTTTGCCATTTCTGCTAAATTTGAGACCTTAAGGATCCATTCTTCTATAGTCGGCAAGGAATCTTTCTTCCAATATTGCCCTACCAACAGCCTTGCTGCTGTTATTAAATTCAACATCAAATTAGTTTCCTTAACATCAAAATCTACAATAATACCCAACAAAAATAGTTGAGGAGTAAACTTTATCTTTCTTTTAAAAATATTTTGAATGTTCCACCAAATTTTAATCCAAAAACCTTTTATATTTCTACAAGTCCACCAAATATGAAAGTAAGTTGCATCCAAACTACCACATCTCCAACATTTGGGCTGCAAGTTAGGATACATAGAAGACAACTTTTGGGGATCCAAATGCCACCTATAAAACATTTTATAAAAATTTTATCTCAAATTTTGAGTTTGAGTAAATTTTACATTTCTAACCCAAATTGTCTCCTATGTGTCCAATAGAATCGGCTCTTGAATATTTTGTGCCCATTTTACCATACAATCTTTAAATAACTCCGTTTCAGAATCCAATTCTATTAAAACATTATAAATTCTCTTTATATGGGCTCAAGTTTGATCTTTAATCTGTTTTACCAAATTCACGTCCTCTAAAGTAATACCAACCTTTTGATCTAAACTCCACCTAACAATTGATTATACTGAAACCAAGAGTGTACAATATTTTCTTGCTTCAACTCAGCTAAAGGTTTTAATTGCCAATCCTTCCCTACCAAACTAAGTAATTCCTTATAAGAAATCCTATCCAAATTCACTCCCCTAGATAGCCCCTCTATCACGTGCCCAGGATTCCCCCAAATTGGAATTTATAATTTAACTTATTATAATACTTCTTCCAGATATGTAATAAAGCGTTTCTTAAAATATGAGATTTAAAAACCTGATCTACTTTTTTATTATAAATTAAATATGCATGCCATCCATATAATAAATCCCATCTCTCAAGAAAAAGTATATTTTTATTTGTTAAATTAAGCCAATCACTAATCAGCGTTAAAGCCACCACATCATAATACAATTTTAAATTAGGTGCCTTAATTCCACCTCTTTCCCGTGCCTCTCAATATTCTTTGTTGTGCTCTTTCAAGCCATTTCTTAAAGATAAATTCCCTCCCTTCCACGGTCAGATGAGAGGTTACAGGGAAAGGTGCTTATCAGTTGTACAGCAAGACAGAAAGTGATGGGAGAGACAATGGGTTATAGAGGTTTTCTAATCTGGGAATGCTCATCTATGACAAGATAACCAAGGGTTTACAACTGCAAGCCATTTCAGCATTGCCCTGTACTATTGTGGAGGTAGATCAATGGATGAGGAATCCTGTTTTAAAGCAGTTGTGTGCCAGGTCGGAAATGGCAACATTTCATTGCTTTGTGCTTGCAGAAACAATCTGTGCACTCAATTGGAGAGAACTGTTGGCTTTTCTGCCTCCCAGTTCTTGAGCGTCTGTTGGCATGTCTAATGAATGAGCCCAAGGGAAGAACTGCAGGTAACGTTACCTGATATTTATGGCCATCCATGGACACAGGTCAGGTGAAGAAACATGCACTGAAATATTGCAATGCAAATATAGATAGTCCTCGAGTTACAACAGTTTGTTTGGTGACTGTTCAAAGTTACAACGGCACTGAAAAATGTGACTTATGTCTGTTTTTCATGGTTAGAACCTTTGCAACATCTCCATGATCATGTGACCAAAATTCAGGCACTTGGCAACTAGTTCATATTTATGACCTCTGCTGTGTCCCAGGGTCATGTGATCACCTTTTGACTATTTTCTCACAAGCCAAGTCAATGGGGAAGCCAGATTCACTTAACAACCAGGTTACTAACTTATCAACTGAAGTGATTTACTTAACAACTGTGACAAGAAAAGTCGTAAAATGTGGCAAAACTCAACAAATGTCTTACTTAACGACAAATGTTGGGCTCAGTTGTGATTATAAACTGAGGACTACCTGTACCATCTCTTAATGACACATGCACAAGAGCACTGTTATTTCATAACACACCACACTAGCATCACAGTGTCTAGATATGGACTCATTTGCTGTTGGTGTTAGGGGGTCTGAAAAGATGAGATTTACTGGTACAATGAACAGAATATTATGGGAAATATTAGTAATTTCTTTATGTGTGTTTTGTGTGTGTGCGTGTGTGTATAAGGTAAAAGTACTGTATGTATTTATGAAGCTTTAGAGAAGTAGGATGAAGGGTATAATTACAAGTTGGCAAGCCAACACTGGTTCATAGACATTCAGTAGATCAACTTTTGTCCTGATAAGGATTGATTGGCTGGTTTGTTAATTTACAAACATAAACAGAAAACTTGCTTGTACTCTTGGCATTTTGATGAAGAAATAGATCTGAAAACAATCAAAAGTCCAGATCAGTTTCAGGGCATTTTAAACTACATTCAGAAGAATTTGAGTAATAGAAAGGCTGATCATTTTGGAAGTGTTCTCATTCTACTCCTTTATGGACTTTCTTTAATATAAACTCCCCTCATCCCCACACACTAATTCATTTTAGGTACAAATGGATAAGTTACAATTTATTAAAAGTATCAGGGTAGGAGCTCTTCTTAATTTGCTGCTTTAGTGCTTTAGTGCTGCTGTTGTTCTTAAAAAAGAACAACATGGCAGTCTACATGGTAGTCTACATTACCTGCATTCAAATATCACAAATTATATTTCCAATTAACCAGCCTAACCTATTTGCACAATTTTGAGAGACTGCATTGTGGCCTTTGCTTTCTTCATCTCTTTAGAGAGAAAACTGCAGAAAAGCAACAAAACCAAATACAGGTAGTCCTCACTTACAATCATTTGTTTAATGAATGTTCAAAGTTACAATGGCACTGAAAAAAAATGACTTGCGACTAGCGTTCATGCTTATGACTATTTCACTATTCATTCTCACAATCACCTAGTTAAACTTTGGGCACTTGGCAACCGGCATGTATTTACAATGGTTGCAGTGTCCCAGGGTCCTGGGATTGTCGTGTGCAGCAAGGTCAATGGCCTTGTTAAGCCAGATTCGACTGCATGATTCACTTTGCAACCATGACAAAAAGGTCATGCAATAACTCATTTAACAACTGTCTTGCTTAGCAATGGAAATTGTGGGCTCAGTTGGGTTCATAAGTCAAGGACTACCTGTGGGCTTTGATTGCATGACTGTAGCCACCAATATGACATTTTGACCCCTGCCTATGGACATTTCTGGACAGGGATGTGCAGGGAGGACCCACTTTGGATTAAGGGGGCAATAAAATGCTGCATAGATCCTACCCACTCCGGGTCATCTGACTACTTCTTATTTAATGGGTAACAATGGGCAACTAATTTTACCCACTGTGGCTACTAGCTTAAAAGGTGACAACTCTAACACTGATACAACTAAAACAATGTAAACTGTTTCACTCCTAAGTGATGATGGGAATTAAAGTTCAAGAGATCAAGAGGTAATCAAATTGGGGATTATAGTTTACTTAAAGTTATTGTTGTTTCTAATTTTTCATCTGAATATATGAATCAGGCAAACTGGTGACCCTCTTTGAGTTCCTTGTTTGGTGATGTTCTCCTCCTCCTCCTCCATTTTGGCAATGTGCAGAGTATGTTACTACTCAGGTGCCAAATCAAGAGAAAAGTCAATAATCAGAAAAAAAATAAAAATATACATTTGAATCAGTATTTTGAATTTTGATGAAACCCAATGTTTCAAATATTTCTATTTCTTGCCATATAAAAATGTGCATATGTATATATTAAAAGCAGGAGGATATTTGGAAAACAAGATCAAGAATCAAGGGATCCTAACTTGAAAGAAGAATGTTATTTTGTGGTGTTCAATGGGCCATTTGACTGCTGTGTAAATATGACTGCTGTGTCATGCATGAAAAGGGGAAAACAAACCATCTTCATCCAGCTGCAATATCAACAAACAAAAAGGCAGATCTAACAAGAATAGCCCACTGGAGTCAGGTAGAGGCAGTCACAAGCATTGTGAATTTTGAAACCTAAAGCAACCTTGATTAGGTGAAAAGCTAAATTTACATGTTCTTGTTCTTCTGCCTTGATTTACAGTTAAATATTTGCTCATTTAATGTAAGCAAATTGGATTCATAGTTAAAAAAAAACATACTGCAGATGGTCCTTGCTTTTATGACCATTTGCTTAACAACCGTTCAGATTAATGATGGCTTCCCCCCAAAAATCAGTTGTGACCAAGATTTGAACTTACAACCATCATCCACCCCAATACTCATGTGATTGCAATCCAGGTGCTTGGCTATCAGCTTGCATTTACAACTGGTTGTAGCATCCCATAGTCATGTGATTTCAATTTGCAAATTTTTTGCTAGCTTCTGGCAACCCCCCCCCATAAATTAAACTGGATTCACTCTTACAACCACATAAGTTGACTTGCAGTCATGTGACTTAAGTTATGATTGCAGAAAAATGATTGTAAAGTCGAATCTGGTCATGTAATGACTCAACTTACAACTGCAAAGACTTATAATGGAAATTACAGTCCTAATTATGGTCGTACATTGAGGAGCACCTGTACTTCTCTCCACAGCTTTCATATCAGATGAAGGTATCCGATCATTTCCAGACGCCAAAGTCTTCAGTGGTTTGTAATTGAATGCAGGAGGAAAAAGAACCCAATTTTTTAAATAAGTGTCATTGTTTAAAGAATAAAGAAATGATTTGTCTGGGATGATATCAGGACTCCTGCCATGGGTTGGGGGTTGGACTAGAAGACCTCCAAGGTCCCTTCCAGTCCTAGAATTCTATGATTTAATATATCAAGCACAGTCAATTGGTCAATTTAGTAATGAAGAATGGTGTCCAAATGTAGCTAGTAGGTAATACGCCAATAGTGATAATGTTACCTACCGTAGTTTGGGAAATGAAAGGTCTGCAAGAAAACAAGCTCAGAGAGCACCAAGGACCCCTCATTTCAACCCTGAGCTGCAAATATTCTCACTTATAGGTAATATCCCACCAAGCTCTTTCTAAAATGCTAAGCAACAGGGACAAAAAGTTTATTTGAACTCTCCTTCTTATTTACAATAAGACTACTAACTTCTTGACTGAAGTTAATAGTTAGTAGCCCAATAAGCAGGAATGTATGGGGAAAAATTCAATACTGACATAATTAATGACTAGATTTTAACTGATTAATGTCTTAAATAAAAGAATATAAACCATTTGATCATTTCATATGCTAAATTATATTACGATTGGGGTCCTTTTTGTGTGTAGGGGCCAGGATAATTGGCCTCCTCCAAAACCCAATTCCTTCCTTCTTTCTTATATGCCTTTTAATTTCTACAAATGCAGCATGTCCTTAAAAAGGCAAATCAACCTGTGGAAATAGAACTGCTGCAAATGTGTATATTCTGTTTGTTATTAACTTTCCTGCATGCCTCACCCTTCCTTGTAAGTCTTGCACAGCCTCAGGGGAAATGTTTTGCCTGAATTAAACTCTTTGGCTGCAGGTGAATTCAAGGTGTCCAAGCATAGCAGGAATTAACTTTCTCCACCCACAGATCTGGACTCAACATTTGACTTTGCATTGGATCCTCCCCTTCTACTGTTGGTGTTGGTGACTTTGGGACTCACTAGGACGACAGTGGCTGCTGGGATCCAAAGTCCTGAGATGGAGCCAGTGATCTGCATTGCCATCTCTATTCTTTTGCTCTCTTCAGCTTGCCAGGACACATTTTCAAAAGGTGACACATCCTCTCATGCTTTATCATAGTTAGCACTGCAGTTAGGATATTAGCACAAATATAGCATAATTAGAACAATTGAAAATAGAGATTGGGAGAGAGTTTTACAAAATAACTGTGCTGTGTTTGGAAATGTGCTGTTGTTGCTTTTTTCTTTCTCTTAGATGAATTTTGACTGAAAATTATTTCTAGCTTTTCAGTGTTACAAATACTGTTACAATAATTTGAAAAAATAAACCCAGTTTCTAAGGGAGAAAAGTATTATTACATTTCCATTCTGAAGAAACTTCATACTGTGTCAACTAAGGGAATCTACTCAGCAACGGGTTTTTTTCCCCTTGACTGTGAAGTGTTGAGAGGGAAAGAGGCTATATTCTTGGCTGAAACTATGCAAATAATGGGGGAGAAGCGTAGTGTTTGGCCATATTCTCAGACTCTGGATAGGAAAAGCCAGGGAAGAAAGGAAAAAAAGGTACTGGGTAGCAAGTGATGGGATAATAGGGAGCTGCTAGGAAAAATACATAGCCTACTTACTTCAGTGATTTTTAAACGACCTCAATTCTAGGGCAGGTAGATCTGATATACCTCCTAAGCAAATGAGTGATTAAAATAATTGTTCAACAACTAAAGATTCCTATGAATGCTGCCTTCATTTGCAGCCAAACCTAAACAGAAATTAGAAAATGCAGTACCTAGATATGCACAAGAAGACAACTTCCAATATTATGGAAAAATACTGCATTTTGAAATCCATTTTAGAAGAAGTTAGTTTTTTGAACTAGGTCATTCTTTCTGATATTTTTAGATCATGTAATAAAAAGAAAAAAGTATTTCAATTGGAATAGTGAGAAGCCAAGACTTAATATTTCTCAGGATATAGGACTAAACATATTGTTTATAGTTGGCTGGAAATTTTTTTTAAGAACTTGCATTCTATGGGAGGCATTTGTAAATGAAAAAGAAGAATGACATCAAAACTCTATAAAATATAGTAGAATTATAGCTCAGTGGCAGGCTGTGTGCTTTGTCTGTAGAATATTTTTGCTGGGTTTTGTTCCGACAGTAGGTTGAAAGAAACAGTAAGGAGAAAAATCTCAGCCAGCCAGAGCTGATGAAAATAGGTAAGGTAGAAGAAGGAATAGTTTCACTAGCCTAAAAGGCCATTAAAATGTACAATTTGCCATAAACATCCTAGTGATGTATGGTGACCTAGATTCAGAAAAGAAAGGTGATTTGGAGTGTGCACATCATGCCTGTTGGCAACTCTTTTTAAAGAAGCTACAACTTTTTCTGAGCCCGCCCCTCTATTTCAGTTTCAAGTCTAACTTTTCAAGTCCAATTTTGTTTAAGGAGTGGTGAAACATGCACATATACACAAATTCCAAATTCCCCCTGGATCACCGTACAGCCCTGCACTCTATGATCCTTTGTCATTTAGCCTGAGGTGAACAACCTGAGCCCAAATATGGTCCTTTCTGATAGTCCTGAAGCCACTTATAACCACCATTGCTAACCACTGATAGAATGTCTCTGGCCATTTGGCAGAGGAAACAGTAGGAAACAGACTTTTGTGTAAGCCCCAATATAAAAATAACATGGTAAAACAAAAAGGAAAAACCCCAAGCTCCCAAGAAAACGAGAACTTAAAATCCCAGCTCCACTTATTTGCATTCTTATTCTACCTACTGCAACCTTCAAAATCTCCCCAAATGATAAAGTTAGCTGCAGCAATCAAAAGATTTTCTGTGCCTGACCTATGGTCTTACGTAAACCTTAGTTTTGGCTAGGGATTTAGGTCTATAATACCAACCTGTGGAACTCTTTCTCCTGTCTATCCCCACCCTCTACTGGACTCCTCTGTTCTTTCTTCTTATCTTTAATCAGGCCAAGCTAATGATTTCTCTTGCAGGATCATTTTAGGGATTAAAAAAGAAATAGAATGTAAAGTGTTAAATAAATAATATCAATGGGCAGTGCAATATATTTTAGCTGTCTATCAGGAACACCATGAAATTAAATAATGGAAAGAGTAATTACCTTCTTAACAACAAATGATCACTAGAGTATTTCCAAGGTTGAGGATATGTGTTTACAAGTTGAGTTTCCTCTAGAAAGATACTTTAAAACACACTTATGCTTTTTTTTCTCCTTCTAGCGATGGAAGTAGAATCTACCAATTTTTCCTGTTCTCGTAAGTATTTGCAGTGATGCTGGGATGAGGCATATTTTTGAAATGCAAGTTTCTAAGTCAGGAAAGTTAGGGAAGAATTTTTGGTAATTCTTCTGAAAATTTTTTTTGAATCAGTTTAATACCATCCAGATAATGTTGGAGTAACCCAGTATCTCCCTATGGGTTGGAGACAAGGCGTTCTGATCCCACTCTTCTGTATGGCTATAGTTTGGCTATATTCACATGGCATTTAATTAAAATTAACCAAAGCAGAGTTTGCTCAAATCAGTTCTCTGGATTTGGATAACTGCAGATAGAATTTGTCAAAATGTCACATAAACATTAGCTGCTAAGACCTTGGTTTTCTAGGCAGAACCATTAAAAAAAGATTTCAGTAATTTAAATAAACTTTTAAAAATTAATTTGGAATTTTGCAGTCTCTGGGGTTTTGTTGGCATTATGGTGATTGCAGGCATGTGCTGTGAACTCCTGATAACTTCTAGTAACAAAGATAGAGAAGACACTTTTTCTTTCTGTGCCTCAGATCCTGAATTCTGCTCTGAAGCAGCCACCTGTTGCCAGATTGGTATGGATGGGTACGGTTGGATTGCTGCAGCAGTTGGCTGGAGTCTCTGGTTTCTCACCCTTATCATCTTCTGCATTGATAAAATGACGAAGCTCAGGCCTGATGAATCCAAATATTAGGAAGCACCAGGCTAAGGAAAACCAATCCACACTTCTACTTCTTGATGCCTTTCGCAAGGAAGTTGGAGGGAAAAAATAACCCAGACTATTCAACTGCGAAGTGTAGAATAAGAATTGGTGCGCTCTACCAAAACAATCTAAGAATGAAGCCCACAAAAAAGATTTTATAGTTTTAATCCTGCTCTCAATTTTGCAACATTGGAGAACAGAACCACTGCTCTGGTTTGCAGAAATATTTGCAATCATATGAAGCAAAAATTTGCACTTTGGATTCTTTTCTTCTTGTTATGAATTGAACAGCTAACACTGAAAGGACCATTTATCCTCTCTCTTAAGTGGCTTAAAAGTCAGCTAGCTCAGAAGTCCCCAACCTTTTGGGCACCAGGAACCGGTGCCATGGAGAAAGGTTTTTCTGTGGACCAGATGGGGTGTGGTTTTGACAACTGCCTTCATGATGGAGCTTTGCTTGTTTGTGCAGCCCACTTGCTGGCAAGCCGTGGACCGGTGCCGGTCCACGGACCGGGGGTTGAGGACCCATGAGCTAGCTGACATTTCCTCCTGCTAACACAGATGATGATAATTTGTCAGGGTCATGACTTGAATCAAAGCTTGTAGCTTTTCAATTTTTATTTTCTTTTTCCCTTTCTGAATCTGAGCCAGGGATGATGTAAACTAGTCAGAGCTTGCTGGGGAACCCAATGTTTTCCATTCTGGGGAATAGCAACACTGTATAGCCAACACTGAAACAAGGTGCTTGCAAAACAACCAAATTGTGTTTTTGTTCTCTTCCTCCTCGTTTCTCAATGGCCATACTGTGAATGTTGTTTAATAACCTTGGGTCTTTCCATTATGTTATGAAAACTGTGGCATGCACAAAATAGTCCTGAAAAGCCAGGAAGGATATGTTTAAGAGTTGTCATATGTAATAAAGAATGATTGTACTGTATATCTCTTCTTTTTTCTGACAGTATGGTAGCTCATGGTTGTTTATCAATAAATGCACCAGCCTGTGCAGCCAATCATGGGTAGCATTCTTAAGTTTGTGTATAACCTCTAAAACCTCTTGAAAGTTGTTGCCACATTTTAATGTTTGTGCCTGCAGGATCAAAATGTTCAAGTTAATGGCTGTGCTTGTGTGATCAGAGGCCGGTCCTTTTTCATGTTCTGTTTATTTGTTTATATTCCAACTTTATTTTTATAAATAACTCAAGGTGGCGAATATACCTAAATAGTCCTTTCTCCTATTTTTCCCACAACTCCTGTGTGGTGAGTTGGGCTGAGAGATAAATGACAGGTCCAAAGTTATCAGCTGCTTTTCATGCCTAAAATGGGGATGCAATTCACTCTCCCAGTTTCTCCAAGCTGTGATGGCACAGTGGTTAGAATGCAGTATTGCAGGCTAACTCTGCCGATTGCCAGCAGTTTGATCCTGACCGGCTCAAGCCTTCCATCTTTCCAAAGTCCATAAAATGAGGACCCTAATTGTTGGGGGCAATACACTGGCATTGTAAACCTCTAAGAAAGTGCTGTAAAGCACTATGAAGCAGTATATATAAGTCCAAGTATTATTTATAATATTATTATTTTATTATTGTTATTATTATTATCTATTGCTATTCTAGCCTGGTGCCTTAACCACTGGCCCAAACTGGCTATTTGCAGATGAGTTGCCTTTCTCCCCTTTGCCAGCATGAGGGAGGAACAGAAAGAGCTAAGCAGTCTATCTTTTTCTTGTCTTCCTTTTCAAACATAGTCTAGTTGCCCTGAATTTTAAAATTGATATTTTCAAGGTAACAAATGAAAAATAGAAGAGAGGGTATTTGAGAAAGAAACATATAGATGACAAATTTTCTTAGGTTTCTTTATGTATCAATAACCCAGGATTTTGTTGAAATTAGGGAAACTATGATGTTCCAGTGGGAAATCAGCAGTGTGATTACTCATACTCAAAATAACATTTTTGTCTAATGATGGATTTTGTTGTTGTTGCTGAAACCTAGTTTTTGCATTTGGGTGCACCATTTCATATTGTTTTAAAAACACGATTCAGATCTCTAGTGTTAATGACAGTGCATTATGGACACTGCCATTAATCAAGGTTAGATAGGGTCTTCCTTCAAATATGTGTGGAGGGAGGAATGTTGGCAATAGCACCATGGCTTTCCAGAGAGAAAGCAGCACATTCCAGAGAAAGGTCCAAAACAAAGGATTGCATAGGCCTGAACTGGATGGGGGAGAGAGAAAAAGTTTCAAGGCAGCCACATCCTAGAATCTCCCAGGTATATTTATTAGGTTAGATTAAGGTTCTAGTTTTAGTCTGGCAAGAATCTGTCTATTAGGTGTAAGCAAATAAAGAACAGAACTCAGTTAGATCTCACCTTATCCCCTATCTTTGAGCTTAGGCCTGACATGACTCTTGCCAAAGCTAGGGAGTCAGAAATGGCGATTATGTAACTGTGCCTAGGTAACAACCGGGACTGCCAAAACTGTCATCACAAGTTGGCATGGTCACATGACATTGCACTTTATGATCGCATTGTTTAGCGATGGAGTCTCTGATCCCAATTACTATCAATAATTGAGAACTACCTATAATTCCATTGAGGTTTATGGGAAGTTAGCCGGGACTAACTTAATTCCTGCTAATAACAATGCTGATTCTCCAGTGTTTGGAGAACATGCTTGGATGAGGGACAAATTGCATAATATAAATGCAATTTCAAGGATCAGGTAGGCAAAATGTAACACCATAAAACGATTCATTAGTATCCACAAGAATATAAATGCACTTATCTCACACTCCTGCTCAGACAATTCTTTATGCTACTGCTTTAGCTTTAATTTACTCTAAAAACAGAACAAAAATACACTCCAACAAATAAAATAATTTAGTTAGAATTTTCACTCATATTACGCGGATTATAATTAAAGCAATGTCCATATGACAGTAAATTACATCTCACAACAAACAGTAAAATTAAAATCCTGTATGAATTAGTGCCTGGATGGCCTGTACCACTGTATCAGTAGGAACACATACAAATGCAGAGATTGCTTCTAATGATGAAACTAAGCTTTTGTTATTCTAAAATAGAATTTTATCATTTTAAGTTGTTAGTTTCACTTCCATTAAGATCCAAACGCAGAGTGTGGCTTATGATGAACTACTGCTGGTGACATGATACCACTCAGGCTGGCTTTCTGTTCGCCTCATCATAAGCCATTAAGCCTCTCTATGTTATCCTTGTACAAAAAACAGGTGACATTACTACATTTATGACCTTTGGCAAATGAACAAAAAGCTTAGTCATCCAAGCCATAGCCTCAATCTTAGATCCCAGAAGAACTTTCACAAGTGATCTCAAGAGTACCTTCAGGAGCAATTACAAGGGACGCATTCAATTGTGCAGTGAGGTTTTCAAAGGATATATCTAAGAACACAGAGTGATGAAAATGCTATGTTTTTGTTTTTTTTTAAAAAAGAAATGCACAAATTCATAGGACCATATGTGCAGTACCAGGTATCCTATAGATCAGGGGTAGTCAACCTTGACTCTTTTATGACTCGTGGACTTCAACTCCCAGAATTCCTGAGCCAGCAGAGTTGGCTCAGGAACTTTGGGAGTTGAAGTCCACAAGTCATAAAAGAGCCAAGGTTGACTACCCCTGCTGTAGATAAACCGCAAGTGACTTTTCAACACTTTTAGATTTGTTAGTATGCACTTTCTTTCTCAGCAAGAATGCCACTCTTTCTGTCTAAGCTGGTACACTACACCCTAGGCGTACATTATAAAATTCAAGTGAGGATGCAACCAGAAAGTGAGTTTTATATTAACAGCTGGTACCTAATTTGCTCAATATGATAAACCATTTTAAACTGTTATACCCTTCCTGAAAGCAAAGCATCTATTTAAGCAAACATCTTTGGATGTGCGGGTCTATACTGTTCTTTTTGCAATCACTTTTCAGGAAAAGGAAATTTACCTCATGGGAAGTAAATATGAAAAAACATGTTCAAATATTTTGATCCAGAAAAGAACATAACTCTTGGGCTTGGTTTGCCTTTGTCCATAGAGTCCAATGACCCTCTTTGAAATGACTACTGAGGTCATACTTAATTTTCTAGGCAGGACCAAGAACCATTACATCATTGATCATGTATGATTACAAACTTTCAGATTAGAAGCATCCACTTCCAAAGGAAGGGAAAAGACAAAAACAAAAACAACAACCTGGAGCCACCCAAATGTCTGCTAAATGTAATCTATGATAGATTTCCCATATGGATTTTGGGAGTCCACGGGAAAACAATTCATGTACAGTAATGCCATCATCATGCACATTTAATGTTCTCTGTGTCACTTGTGAAATTGCCCTGGATGTGTCTCTCCACTTGTTGATCCATCTGCTATTTGTCCATCAATAACTTAATAGTGCCAGGTACAGTTTCTATAAAGAGGATTAAATGGTTTCCCCAGCCTGAATAAATGATTATATCCTTCCTTTGTGTCTTCATACTGCACTTTTTTTAAAGGCCATCATTTTATATTTGCAAACACCATGATCAAGGGACACTTTGAAGCTTCAGCACCAGAAGAACAACAAGAAAAGTTCAAAGTTTGGCTTCATTTGGAAGCACAAAGCAATATTAAGCAATGGTTATTCTCTTGGTTTAGGAAGTTGCCCAAGTCTTTTCTTCAAGAAGTCTCACTATGGTCTAATTAAAGTAATTGTTTGCACAGGAACAATACTACTTGCATTGTATGTGAAAAGAAACATGTCAGAAGTATATACTCCCCCACCCTCACCAACAGCAGGAGATTTCCACTCAAGAACTACCATTAATCTGAGATGCTTTTTTCCTTAATCAAGGGCTGGTATGTTCAAATGCACTGTCATTTAAAGGATAGCACTGCCTTCTTTGCAGCGTATGAATTCCAGATCAGAATTATGAAAGAACACCCCTAGTCAAAGTACAATTATAATGCCAAAATGCTTAAAAGTAGAAAGTTTAAAAGATGGTTGTCTGTCAAATGTTTGCTGAGACTTCCCAATTTTATCATTCACAGAAATCTGTCTTGCGCTGCTGCTGCAGCTGCTTGCAGGAGAGTTCTTTTCTCTTGCTTCATAAATCCCTGGTATTGTACATGTTTACTCCTCTGACAGAAGAACAGCAGGCTCTGGCTGATTTTCCTGCAAGTCGAGCTTCCACAGGAAGCAGATAATTGCCAATTTGCAAGGACAGAACAAATCAGCTGTGGAAGTTCTGTACAATGGTCTGTTTCTGAGAGAGCCGGAGAAGCTCCTCTCGGATTGCTTTGATGAGGGAGGCAGAAGAATGTCCTGTTTGGAGGTCCTCAGTGGAGCTGGTGTTGTAGCAAAGCCCTGGACCCTGCTGGTTGCTGGCTGGCAGATGAACAGGTGGAGCTGAAGGCTGTCGAGCCGAATTCCGTGGCATCTGGAATACCAGTGAGGAGCAATATTCGTGATGTCCAGGAGTATGTGTCTAGAGAAAGGCACAGAACATTATTCCAGGTTCAGCTTAAAGACTAAAAGGTATAGAAGGAGAAAAACAAAACAAAACAAAAGGTGCAGGGACAGAGAAAGCAGAAAGTCCCCCTTTGATTTGAAATACAAAACTGGAAGAGTGAACTGTTTTTAGAGGAATATTTGGTCTTGCTGGCCTCTGTCTAGAACAGTGTTTCTCAACCTTGACAATTTTAAGGCATGTGGACTTCAACTCCCAGAATTCTGGGAGCCAGCATTGCTGGCTGTGGAATTCTGGGAGTTGAAGTCCACATGCCTTAAAATTGTCAAGGTTGAGAAACACTGGTCTAGAATTCCTCAAATGTTAGAAGATGATTGCCAGAAGGATAGCTCTATTGCCACAAAAACAGTGTCATGTGGCATACATTTTTATGAGTTAGAATAAACTTCATGAAAAGA